TCAAAAGTTCAAGCCTCTGTCGTTAAAGTTCCAGACAGTGAACTCATTGAATTTCTTCAACGTTACATTCGACGTAAGAGGAAATATTATGCCATCGTTGAATTTATACAGTCAGGAATGCAAAAGACTTCAGAAGAGATGGAAAGAATTATTGACAAACACCACTTACGTCAATACTCAGGAGTTTACGATATGAAACGACTTACAAACTACATTCTGTCAAAACTTTCAAAATACCCCTTCAAAAAGTATCCTTCAAACACTCTGCTCGTTTGCGACGACTTCGCCGGAAAAGGTTTAGTGTCAAAGCCTGACTCACCATTAGCTAACATCATTACTAAAGTCAGACATTACCACTTAACTGTAGCAATACTTATGCAAACATGGAGTTTTTAGCTTTAAACATAAAACGTCTCATAACTGACTTCGTTATCTTTCAAGGTTTCTCACGTTATGATATTGAACTCATTTGGAAACAGTCAGGTATAACATTACCTTTTGAAGAAATTTGGGAAGCATATAAGTCTCTCTTCTCTCCTCGTTCATACCTTGAGATTCATATCATGACTAATACCATTAAAGTCAAAAATATTCCATGGGAACGACCAACATTGTTTTAAAGTTTAACCTTCAATTGACTGATGGTAAACAAATTCCATGCATCTCTGTCGCCATTTCTGTTAATATTTTTGCTGTCATTCATATCATCCACTTCCCCATCCGTTAGCTTTTGAGGATATGCGTTAGAATAGCTGTTCTTAAATGAAGGCTTTTCACCTTTGAGAGCATAAACTCTATAACTTTCTGCATACTTTATGTTTGAACCTCCTGAGCCATCATTGACATAAATTTTTATAGGCTTCCACCCTTTGTTCATGTTCCTGCTTCTTCCCTTAGCTCTTTTGTTCAGTAGTTCTACATCTTTATACACAGCTCCTGTCTCAGTGAATTCAACAATATTTTCATTCGTTAGCTTTACATTCAAACCCTTGTCGAGTATATTGTTCATTTCATACATATAAAAGGTTTTTATTCTATATGAAATGAGAAGCAAATCCATCTTAGCTGGTGCCGTTAATGTTCCAATTGAACCAACATCAAATGTTGACTCACGAACGACAAACAATATTGTCATAAAGAACTATAGTTCAGAGTGTTTTGAAAGAAAGAACCAGAGCTGAAATCCGTGAATTTAAACACAGCTTCAAACGCTAACGCTACATCAGATGTTAAGTTAGAGTATCCACCACTGGACCAAATTCTTTCAAGAGAAGCCAACGACAACCCTTACACAAATGTTCAAACAAATCCTTCAGATAACGTAGACCATTACCTTCTTCAGTTATACCAAACAATTTTACTCAAAGACGATAAGAAGCTTTTGACAAATCTTATAAGCAAGAACCAAATAATTCTAACAAAGGAGGACCTTGAAAATGTTATATCACGAATAACAGGGAAACAATGTGTCATTGACTATCTCGACCCTGAAATCGAATGCTGTGGTCAAACGCCACCATTCATGAAAATAGGTAACATCCGCATCATTGAAATACCAGGAACTACAGGAGTTGAGTTTAAGTATAAATATTCGAACGAGTATACAAAACTTTCAACAGAATATAAGCTTTGTTTGAAATATGTTTTAGTAAATTAAAGCAATTTAGTAATCTATCCAAAACTTCTTCAACAGTATCGAACTCATCTTCATAATGCAAACCTAATCTTATTGACTTGGTGCAGTTTTCACTAACACAATATAGCGCTTTGCGCTCGGCGCCTTTGACGCCTTTTTCTGTTCTCTTGACTGACATAACTAACTCATTTGTTTCATCAAACAGCAATAACCAAAGTTCATGACCTAATACATAACATTCATACTTTATATTTTTAGCTCTGAGTTCTCTTGTAAGCTGTTGCATTTAATATTTTCTAAAAAGTCAACTTCAACAGTCATTCGCACTGGTGCCTTCAGTTCTACAGGCTCTCCTTGAAAGTCAACAAGTCTGAATTGCATGTCTTTCAAATTATGAGGACTAATGCGAACCCATTTACCTAAATGAGTTACTATGACAGGAACGTTTGGAATGAACATTGAATTGACTGCATAACAGAAGGATTTATATTCTACTGAACCTTTACTATTAACTCCTGAAATACCTGTGACATTAGCTATTTTTGACTCAACGTATAAACAATTACCATAACATACGTATGGAACAGATTTCATCTCAATCGTTTTGTCAACACTTTTCAAAGGACATGTCATATGGTATGCTCCCAGAAGCAATTGAACTCTATGACTCATTCGTGTTATCTTAAACTCCTTCGCATAACTGAACTTCAAAACTCCTGCAATAAGTTTAACATTCATTAAGTTTTCTTCGTTCTCCTTGTTTATTGTAGTATTTATGAGCGCATTTAACACTCCAGCTAATGTTTCCATCTTATATTCTACATTATTGTGAAATCTTATTTCGTGCTTCTTTCCATCTATTTCAAGCTCCATGAAATCTGTTTCATCTGTTATAACGAATGAAGCGATAGTATTGAAGTCAACAACTCTGAAAGCAAGCGCTTCATTCTGAAGACCTAAGTTTGTTTGTAGCTTTACTGTCCCGTATTCGTTTGGGTCTGTACTTTGCAAATAGAACAACATTTTATTCTCATTAAAATATGAGTATTGCTGCATATGCGTATGAAGCTGACAGAGCTAAACGTTTATATTTTGGTCAATACTCTCTCACACTTACTGACAAATATATTGTTATTTCTGATGGAAATACCGAGAAATACATAACATGGAAGGACTATGAAAAGTTTGACCCTATTTTAACTCCATGCACTATGCCATTCATTGTAAATGGTGAAGTTGTCATGAAGAACGACACAACTGTTTATAGGTCTGTATATGAAGCGTTAGAATATATGTTGAATTATAATCCCGAAAGATTTGACCCAAGCACTACGTCATGTACAATGCCTTTTATTAAGGATGGTGAAATCGTAAGAGTTCCGAATTCAACGGTTTACACAGCTGTTCAAAACAGTTTACAAAACATTTTAGCGAATATCTTTAATTCAGAAACTACAGAAATAAAATTACCATATATAACAGATGCTAAAGAAATTAAATCAAAAACGACAACATTATTTACGTCACTTAATGATTTAATGACTTATATCATTAATATTCCTGCACCAACTACAGCATTTGATCCAAACTCGACGGTTTGCAGTGTACCTTTCATAAAGTCGCAAACGGACTCTTTGAGTCCTGAAGGTCTTTCAGACCGAAGCGACCAGGGCGAAGCCCATGACAGTTCATTAATTGTTTTAAGGGATTCAACAGTTAATGAATCATTAAAGGCGTCATTAATGAAAATCATTGATTTTAATTCATTCACGAATACATATAATTCATTCATTAATGTTTCATATGCTTCTAAAGAAGGTGAGCCAAAAACTATCGATAAAGCGGTGTATGAAATAAAAGCATCAACGACGAAATTGAATTCGTTAACTTTTGACGGTGATAGTTTCGTTAATGACATAACATCGGGGAAAACAATTTTAACGAAAGAATATTTAAAATCTCATGTTAGTGAGTTCGTTGAAATTGAAAAAGAAGGTGGAATTAAGTTCGATCCACTGAATTTCATTTTCAGCTTAGCGAATGCGGGTGTTAGTTTCGCTGAATGGACAACTATACAGAGTGAAATAAATGCAATATGGACGTTTTTGGGGTCAAAAGCGGGAATGGGTGAGCTTGTAAATGCTGCAAGAACATTAGGTGAAACAGGAAATTTTGTAGATGGTTTTAAAAGACTTGTTTCAAATGTTTTAACAAACACAAAGAAATTATTTAGATATACCATACATAACGGACGGATTTTCGAACAGGTAGCAACAAACCCTCCGGTTATGGCTGCGTTGATGATGGTTAGAGATATAAAACCACGTAACGACGGGAACGAAGAACATGAACAACAGAGCCCAACGGGCTCAGAGCCACATAGTGGCGAGGATACTGGTCGGGTTATTCAAGACATTAAAAACGTGTATCCTGAAGTTATTGATTTATTTAGAGGAGTTAATGATTCAATTTCAAAACATTCTATAACCCTCGATGAAGAGAATAAATTAACAGATTATATATTCGTCATTATTGCAGAATTAATGAAGAGAATAAATGAAAAAGGAATTGGTGATATCATTAATGTCAGCGATGTAATGATGAAAAGAAATTTTGACTCATTATTTACAAAACCGAAAACAGAATATAGTCTTTATGACGTAATTACCGAATTAATGAAAAAGATTAATGATAATAAGAGTTCTGGCGGAAGAGTTGAATTAGAAGTGAATGATGTTAATGAGAAATTAGCCGAAAAAGCAGATAAAAACCACGTTCATTATATAACTTCAGACGAACACAGATTATAACGGACTACCATGGATATTTAACACGAAGTGATGAAGCGAAGACAAAAAATGTTAATGAAAGAAGATATAAATACATTCGTGCTAAAGGTTATGACATAAGCTGTACTGTACAGTATGACACAGGTAAAGCACCAGAAGCATTTAGTTATAACGATGAAATTTATGCCTCTACTTTCTCTGTTAATGGTGTATTAGTTGAACCAAGATTTATGTTAAGAGTTAAGGCAAAAATAACGTTTGAAGATGCTATTAAAAGTAAAGCTGACAAAGTTGAACTTGACGCAACGAACAAAGTTTTGAAATCTCATAAACACAACATCTCCGATATAAATGAACTTCAAACTTCTTTAGACAGTAAAGCTGACAAGAACCATACACATAAATCCTTCACTACTGTTAGAGCAGACGACATAATATTGAACTTTGACCTTGGTTCAAGTGCACCATTAGAAAATCCAAGTACAAGCGTAAAAGATACTCTTAACAGTTTAGATAACAGTTGCAGGAACATTGAAAGTCATGCCAGAAACTTTGAAGCACATGAACTACCAGCAATGTTAGATAAGAAAGCAGACAAGAACCATACACATAAATCCTTCACAACTGTTGCTATAGAAAGTATTGAAGGAACGGTTGAAGAAACTGGTGGGGATGCATTATATTGTAAACCTCCTAACTTTCCACAAGGTTTAACATCGGATGACGACATAACGACGATGAGAAACATTAGATGTAAAGATGTTTATGTCATGAAGGATGAACATAATATTAAATTCACTGCTCAAGATTTATATGACAAGAAAGCAGACAAGAACCATACACATAAATCCTTCACTACTGTTAGAGCAGACGACATAATATTGAACTTTGACCTTGGTTCAAGTGCACCTTTAGAGAATCCGAGTACAAGCGTAAAAGATACTCTTAACAATTTAGATAAGAGTTGCAGGAATACCGAAGATCATGCCAGAAACTTTGAAGCATATGAACTACCAGCAATGTTAGACAAGAAAGCAGATAAAACTTATGTGGATGCAGAACTAACAAAGAAATTTTCGAAACCAGATACAATGACATTTACAACAGAAATTATAAATGGTGAACCAGCAACTCCATTTGAATTTGTTAGAGGTCTTCAACCAGATACTTTTGAATTTTTCTTGGATAATTCTATTGAACTAACATTACATTATAAAAGTGGAACAAATGCAACATTTCATCCGGGAGATACATTCCAAATGGTATTTAATGACATAAGTTCTTTAGAATATGTTTATAGAGTTATGAGCATATATGATTTAATATATCCTATAGGAGCTGTTTATACGTCTATGAATCCAATAAATCCAAACACTTTATTTGGTGGTAGATGGTATGAAATAGTTGACAGTTTTCCATTCTACACTAATACGCAGTCAATGAAGATGGGAGGTTCAAAGAAAATAGGTATTGAAAACCTTCCTTCACATATGCATAGGTTCAGTGGAAGAACATCTGTGGAAGGAAACCATTCACATTCAATAACAAAAAGAGGTTATACAAATCTTGCAGCGGGTTCGGATAGACAGGGAATGCATAGATATGATATCACAACTGACCCCAAAGATGTTAGCACAGGTATTTTCTGTGGAACTGCAGGAAATCATACACATGTTGTAGCTGGTATTACAGACCCAGCAGGTAATGGAAAAGATTATATGCCTCCTTATATAACAATGCACGCTTGGATACGAGTTGGTTAAAATCTTTAACTTTACATAAATGAGCTTGAAAGAAGTATTCGAACAACATCCATGGAGGTCATTTAAGAAGTTCAATGAAGCTGCAAAGAGTTCGGGATTTACTAACAGAGCTGAAGTGAAAAGGTTCTTTGACAAAAATGTTGTACATCAAACAAAAATAAATCCTTACGACTACTTTTTACCAATTTACTCCAACACTCCTGACGCATACCAATTTGACACTCTCATTCAAAGCAGAAAAGGAGGACATAAACCATTCCTCATCTTCATAAATGTTAACACTCGTAAAGCATATGCGTATATAATGAGAAATAAAGGAACTCATGAAGTGTTAAGAGTTTTACAAAAGTTTGTAGCAGAACATAGCCCAAGTATTTTAACATCAGACCAAGACGGTGCATACCTCAGCAACGAAATCACAGAATTTCTCATTAAGCATAACATAACTCACTACACTACTGAAGACCATAACCATAACATACTCGGTATCATTAACCGCTTCATAAGAACGCTCAGAGATTTAAATCAAGAGCGAGACTTTACCGAAGAAACAATGAAACATTTTCTCGAAGTATATAATTCCTCAACACATCTACAACAGGACATATACCAAATTCAATGACACAACAACAAGAAGAAAAGTATATACAAAAGAAACGAAGCAAACACAAAATATCAGAAATTCAACACAATTTACCCTCATTCCTGGTACAAAAGTTCGTGTAGTTCTTGACGACAAACCATTGACAAAGAAACGTTTAAGGTTAAGTCGAAATTATTATATCGTAGACTCTACGCAAGGTAATGGATATCTTATAAAAGCTGCTGACGACTCCATTGCGTTTTACCCTCGTCATAAATTAGTCGAAAGTAGTAATGGCAAACTTGCTGAAACCATTGACGAAGCAAAGCGAGGAGTGGTTATTGAAATACTTGGCTATAACACAAACGATGACACTTATAAAGTAAGATATGAAGGAGGCGTTGAAGATGTTATACCATCTAAGAACTTGAGAGAGTCAAAGCCAACTCATCTGGGACCATTAGAGCGGGAGTACTGGAAAGACAAAAATATGCCAGAAAGAATAAGAAAATTCATCTAAACTTTTTCATTAGATGTAAATCAGACAAAAATATAATTTAGGTGAAGAGACCCAAAGGGTCAGAGCCGCAAAGCGGCTAGGTGACATCTCACCTGTTTTCTCACCTCTTTTTTCACCTCTTGAATTTTCATGAATTTTCACAAAAGACCAAAACTAACGTTATTTTTCTATCTTAAGGAAATTCATGAAAATTCAAGACCCTTTGGGTCTCTTCACCTATAATATATTTTTGGTCATTTACACTCATTTACGAAGAAGTTATGACAAAGCATTTACGAAGAAGTTATGACAAAGCATTTACGAAGAAGTTATGACAAAGTCACGAGGGTGAAAAAAGAGGTGAGAAAACGGGTGACATCTCACCTAGCCGCTTTGCGGCTCTGACCCTTTGGGTCTCTTCACCTAAATTATATTTTTGGTCAAAGCTTCCACGAGAGAAAAGATTCCTCATTCGCTAAGGATTCCAAAAATGAAAAAATCATTGATTTTGGCTGAGAAAAAACAGCAAAACCCTTCTTCCACGGGAACAAAGAAATAAAGAAGAAATAAAGTAAATTTTTTATTTATTCCCGTGGAAGATAGAGCACTTTTATGATACTTTTTATTCACGACAAACAAGACAAATAAAGAAAATAAGAAAATACGGCGCTGTCGCGGTTCGAACCACAGACCCTGACCCCTCCATAACACCACCTTAGACCACTGTGCTACGTAGCCTGTCGACATAAGATTTTATAAATTGCATATTTGACGTAAATTTATTTCCATCTGGCTTCCCACTGCATAAGATATTCATACGTGTTTGTAAGACATTCATTAAACTTCTTTTCTATTGCATCTAATCTTGCGTTATTTTTTCAATAACTTGTCTGTATTCTTCATCATCTCCAGCAGTGTTTGGGTCTTCACGTTTAAAATATTCATTGTTAACCAATTTTTTATCTACAAATTTTATTAGTGTTTGATTCACTTCGTTATGATAACGGTCATATTCTTTCAATACGTAAGTGAAGACAAAATGCGTCGTACCTTCAATCTTAAAGCTTAAAGAACTTTCAACACAGTTTTGAGGGTCTGTCAGTGCGTCAATGAGATAGTATTCGAAGTCAGTCAATAATCTTTTTAAAGTCATTTCATACAGGATAAAATTTAATGTTGTGAAGAAATAGTGTTTATCTCAGAAAAAATAAAGTTAGTTTTTATTTTATTTATTTTTTTATCCTGTATGTAAGAACAGTAATGTCAACATTAGAGAACACAACAACAGTTATAGTCCATGAAGCCATAAATGAAGAATACGAATACATACAATATAACAAACAATTGAGACTCATTCGTTCAGTCAAAGATGACATGTATCAAATGCAAAGTATTTTGACAGCATGTTTTGCTCCAGATACTAAACTTCCTAAAGACTGGTTTAGGAACCAAAGCACTATTGAACTATTAAATGAAGCACAGCGAGACATACTTTTTTCTGAAAACAGCGAAGCACAGCGAGTGGGTATAAAACCCCAGTCGCCAAAACTCTATGAAAATCGTGAAAAATTGCCAAACGGTTTGAGAGGATATTATGTTCATAGACTTTTAGTAAATGTTGTAGCAATGTGGGCTTCACCACGTTATGCTTGGTATGTTTGTAAACTTCTTGACGAAATTCACAGACAAGAACGTGGAGAGATGGAAAAGAAACTTCAAGCAAAAGATGAAGTCATTGAATCCAAAGACAAAAGCATACAGAAAAGAATACCACGTTCAGTACCAAAAGGAAAGGAAAAGAGTTATAAGTATATGATTTACGCTGAAGAGATGGAAAATGAAGAAGACAGAGATATGGTTATGTTGCATTTAGTCAGAAGAAACAACAAAAGCTTTTATGACCTTGCTAAAATATATAAATCTGACAGAAACTGGTTCTATCGTGAAAACTTACCGATTTCAATGACACCGAATGAGCAAATAAAGGAAATTGTCAAAAATACTCTTCCTCAAACACACTATGACATCAAAGGTTGCACAATACTTACATTCAAAGAAGACTTACCATTACTGAAGGAAAAAATAACAGAATATTTCGATAACTTCAAAGAGGAAGAATGAAGTCACGACAACATTAACGAAGAGAGAATGAGGTGAAAAAACAGGTGAGATTTCACCTCTTCACCAAAAATATATTTTTGGTTAAATAGCTTCAGGGTCAATTTCTTCAACCATTTCACTTCCTTCGTCAATGTCAATAGAAGCTTCTTCAACCTTTGGTAAGAACTTTTGTATGACATCTTTGTTCGTTATTGTCTTCAGAGATGAAGGATAATATTTCACATTTGTTTCACCCTTCTTATATTCTTTCTGTTCGGAAAGATTCATAGCAATACTGAAGAAGTCAATGTTGGAGTTCTTTATAATAGTATAATGAGTATCTTTGACATTCACGAAGAAACCCTTTTGTTTCAAAACTACTGCTAACTCTTGTGAAGTATAACGTTTGCGGTCAATGACGATAGCTAATGGTCTGACATACTGACCAAACTTAGATTCTTTCACAAACTTCTTGTTAAAGATAACATTAACGTTTGAAGCATTATTGAACTCATTCTTGATGGCAGTAGCGAGAGCATTGTATGAAAAGAACTTGCAATCTTGCATGTGTTTCATTAAAATAAAAATATTAAATTATTTTGAAAAATAACTTAAAAAAATCTAATCAATTTTTTTTCAAAATATTTTTTTTATTTCCTACTAAAGATGTATCGGAAGTTGTCTAAGTTAGAACACTCGGAAATAAAACAACTTCTTACAGAAGCTAATATAGATGTTGCAAAGCATTACACAACAAACAAAAAGGCACTCGCTGACATCCTCAATGACTATAATGGTGAAATAACTTATGATAGAATTCATGAGTTCATAAAGCCGCAACGCGGCGAGGACGAAGTCCATGCAATAGCATTTCCTTTAAATGACATTGCTATTGACTTATATCATAGACGTTCAATACCTCATGAAGTAAGAAGAGAAATGTTTGACATAACAAATGCGAACGTTGGTCATACTCGTAAAGCTCTTTCGCATGATGTTCGTCAAGAGATGTTTGACATAACAAAGCCGCATGACGGCGCGGGCGTAGCCCATGCGAACGTTGGTGAAACAAGAAGAAGAGACGACACACTGAAACAACAGAGAAGAGAGATGTTTAAGAGCGCTATAGAACAAGTTCGCAAAGCTAACGATGTCATTCGTTCCATTGACGACAAACCAAAAGAAGGTGAGAGATGGTTAAAGAAAGATGAAGAGAATAGGAAGAGAAATGTGAAGTCAGGCAATAGACTCATTGACTTTAACATCGAAGCTTTAGATGAACCAAACAGAGACTACTTACACAAACATTTCGGTAAGGTTTTCATGAGACTCTTAGAGAAAATTAAAATAAACTCACAACAGAGATGGATGGTATGTTATAAACTTGGTGGAAAGTATGAATGTTCTACGTTAAACCTCAATAATATTGGAACATTACTACATCAGCTCTTGAAGGAGAACTTTATATCAGAGATAGAAGCAAATGCCGCAGGTATTGTTGAAATGCACTATGACTTCTTCTTGACAAACATAAAGAATCTTACCGAAATAAAGATGTATGATTTAACAGAATATGAAGGCTTAACGATGTCAGATGTAAAGAAAGGCAAACCAAAAAAGAGACCATATAGAGATGAAAGCACACTGACAAATGACCAGAAAGCCATTTTGGAAGCTCTTAAGCAAACAGGAAACCCAGCACTTATAGAAAGCTTTTGGAAAGATAATGGTGAAAAGAAGTTTTATAAGAAGAGAAGCGGTCAGTTCTGGAAGTATCTTTGCACATTACCTATAAATCTTGAACGCTACCAAATCTTCAATGAACTGAACAAAAGAACTGCAACACTTATGACAGAGGACAATTGTTTCGTTTATGCTTGCATTCAGGCTGGAGTAAATGAAGAAACTATTGACCACATGAGAGAAGTCATTCGTGTTAGAGACTTTCCTCAAAGTAAAGTACAAGAAATTTCTGACGCAACAGGTATAGCATTTAATGTTACCATTGGTTATTTCAATGAGTCAAGACATAATGAAATAAAGAGATATATACCAAAAGAATGCGAAACTGTTAGAACTATTGACTTACTTCTTGTTGAAGACCACTACATGCTAAATGAAAGATTACCAATGACAACATACTTCATTCGAAACTATAAAGAAATTCTCAAAGCTTGTGGTGGAATGAACATTGAGAAACAGATGAAGATTTATACAAAGAGAGAAGATAAATATGTAGTTCGTTATGATAGAACAACACCGTTATGGGATGTTATGAAAACATTGTGGGAGTGCAAATATTTCGAAACCTATTTCTTATGGAGAACTTTTCACATATACTACTGACTTATATAAACAGAACCTTGCACCATTTAAAGATTTGACATATGCTCCAAAGTATTGTGTACAACTGAAGAAGAAAGCAGAGTCAAAAGAAGTAAATAAAGCTAAATGTAAATTCATTCCTGAGCACGTTTTCTTTGCTGACTTTGAGTGTAGCACAGACGGCTTTCATAAAGCTTTTAACATCTGTTATGACAGTGAAGATGGTTCAGAGTGAGTGAAAGCATTTGGGGTCAAAAACTGTGCAACAGAATTTTTGGAAAGACTTCCTGACAAGAGTTTAATATATTTCCATAACCTCAGTTATGACATAAACTTCATCTTAAGACACATGACAGAAGTGAAAGGAACTCCCATCATTAAAGGTTCACGAACAATGCAAATAACTGGCTTATATAAAGGACGGGCAATTATTATAAAAGACTCTTACAGTGTTATAAATAAGAAGCTTAAACTATTTCCTGCTATGTTTAACTTACAAACAGGACCGAAAGAAGTATTTCCATATAACTACTACAGCAGTGTTTTGTTAGCAAATGACAACAGAACTGGTGTCATTTCTGAAGCATGTAAGTTTATCCATGATGCAGATACATTTATGAAGAACATAGATTCCATCAAAGGTTGCAGAATAGATGAAAACCACTTCGACTTAGAAAAATATAGCACGTTTTACTGCAAACAAGATGTAAGAATTTTAAGAGAAGGTTTTGTAAAGTTCCGCAATGACTTATTGAAAGAGTTTGATTTAAACGTTTATGACTACGTTAGTATTTGTTCTATTGCTAACAAATTATTTGAGAACAGAGTATACTTCCCGAATGGAAATCTTTATGACCTCTCAAATAAACCAAGAGAATTTATTTCGAGATGCATTCAAGGTGGAAGATGTATGTTGTCAGATAACATGAAACAAAAGAGCAAAAAGAAACTCATTGCTGACTTCGACACTGTTTCATTATATCCTTCAGCTATAGCAAGACTTTATACTTTAGAAGGTATTCCAAAAGTATTGAAGGATGAGATGTTAAGCACAGAGTATCTCATGAGACATTTATTCGATGATGACCAAAAGGAACCCATTGGTGAAAAGTTTATGTCTGGCTTCTTTGTTCTCATTAAGATAACAGAGATTGGTATACCCAGACACTTTCATTTAATAGTTTGCGACCCTGAACTAAATCCAGAACTTAACGTTCCAAGAAGTTCAAACACTTGCTGTCTCATGTATGTTGACCATATAACATTACAAGACCTCATAAAATATCAAGGTGTCAAATGTGAAGTGTTGCAAGGATACTATTACGATGGAAACAGAGATATGAGAATAAGAGATGAAGTAAAGAAGTTGTTTGAGTTAAGGTTAAAGTATAAGAAAGAAGGAAACCCCTTACAAGAAATTATAAAAACTCATTCTGAACAGCATTTATGGCAAAACTATTCTATCTCCTATTGAGTCAAAAATAACCATAGTAAATGACAAAGATGCTATAAGATATGCTATAAGAAATTACAACCATATAGTGAAGTTCGAAGGTTTGGATGGTTCAGATAAAACTATTTTCAAGCTAACGAAAAGCATTTGCAGACACTTTAACTTCTGTCCACTTGGTGTTAATATTCTGTCTATGTCAAAACGTATTATGAATGAAGTATTCTGTACTGCAGAGGACATGGGACTTCAAATCTTTTACCAGGATACCGACAGTATGCACTTATATAATGAAGACATCCCAAAGCTTGCAGCAGAGTTTAAGAAGAGATATGGTCGCGAACTTATAGGAAAGAACCTTGGTCAATTTCATAGCGACTTTGCAGAAATAACACCTGGAAAACAAAGTTTAGCTTATAAAAGTATTTTCTGTGGAAAGAAGACCTACATAGACTTACTCACTAACGATTTAAATGAAGTTGCATTTCACTGCAGAATGAAAGGTGTAAAACAAGATGTTATTGCTTTAACCGCTAATGAAATGTTTCCTGAAGCTATACAATGCTATTACAATGAAGATAAGAACATTCACATACCTGTTGGAACATATGACAAAGACTCTGAGTTCAGTTTAATGAAACTTTACAAAGCACTTCATGATGGTCAAGAGATTGCATTCGACTTATGTAAGTCATGTCAACCTTGCTTTGCTGAAAAGTTCAACTTTTCAATAACGACTAAAACAAGCTTTATTCGTAAGTTGAAGTTCTGAGGTCATGGGCTTCGCCCTTGCCGCTAGCGGCTTATTTTTGTCAGCAATGAGGTCATTCGTGATAAAAATAAAGCTAGCGTAGATTTTACAATACTGCGATGGTAGAGTTTAAGAGTTGTGCTTCAATGTAGAGACAGTCCTTATGGTCTGGAGGCAAGAACACTGGACATTTATGGTCATGAGTGGAGAACATGTCTATCCAAAACTCACGATTGAAGCCAGTTAATTTATAGTATTTAGGGTTAGGAATGGTGAAGTTCTTGTATGACCAATGAACTCATTTTCAACTCCTTTACTTAAGTTTGAATATAATATAGCTTGCTTTCTATCCCAAATGCCAGGTGTTACAATCTTTGAAAATTCATTTTTCCTCGGAAGCATTGCATCATAATTGAAAACATTCTTAAAATCATCACTTGGTTCGGAGATTTGAAATCTTATACGTAATGGATTTTTTTTCTCTTTAGCGACTTCATTGAATGGTGAGAATACAATGAATTGACAGTCATGAGTTCCATCTTCATTTTCATTAAATTCATAATGAAAGTCTATAAGTTGTGGCTGACTACCTTCTTCTTTCAGTTGTGCAAGAAACTCACGTAAAGGCTGTAAAGTTTGTACTTCAATGTTGAACTTTTTCTCGAACATCTCATTAAATGAAATCATACATTGCAACAATGTTGTATCGTCTTTAAAGTATTTGTATATGTGAATGTTTTGGGCGCTTAAAGACTGTTCGTCATTTTCTATCTCGACTTGAAGTATAAAGTCAACCTTTCTGAAAGCACGTGTTATATACATAGATGTTATGCCAATGTACTTCTCTTCATTTATGTTCACAATCCAGTCTGTTGGAAACTTAAACGTTACTCTGTTCCCCTTTATTTTGACGTCAGGGTTTTCACTACTGAACGCAACAGATAAAGGTATTTGTCTATACATTTAGTTTGGATAAAAATAAACCATTTACTCTTTCTTTGCTTCAGCTTCCTTTGCTTTTTGTTCTTTCTTTGCTTCAACTTCTTCTCTAGCTTTCTTCGCCAGTAGTCTTGGGTTCTTTTGTCTTCCAGCAGCTAATGCAGCAAGTTGTTTTTCACTAAGTTTTCTCTTTGGTCTCTCTGGCTTTTGTTCTTGTTTTTGTTCCTTCAGTTCGGATAAAATTTGCTCACGAATTTCTTTCTTCAATGCTTCAACATCTATGACACCTTGGGTCTTGTCCGTAGGGCTTGTCTGAGTCATTTGATTGCAGATAAAAAACAAAATTAAAACTTTAACCGATGTAAAATGAGCTTGTCAAAATCAGAGCGAGAGTCTATTATATTAAATGACGCAAGAGGAATACAACATCCTTTCTATTACGTAAGTCAGAGTAAAGATGGTAAAATATACGTAAGAAAAGAAAGGTACCATTAGCGAATGCAGAGAGCGACAACATTAAGGTGCATGGCAAGGGCGAAGCCCACGAAGCCCATATAAAACCTTCTGTTCAAACTGAAAAGTCAATAGAACAAGAAGAAAAGAAGCCAGATGTTCTTTCAATAACGAACCAAGAGCTTATTGCAAAGTTCGTGAATTTCATTGAAAAACAAACCGAGTCAAAGAATCCTGACCGCCAGTGAAAGAAGTTGAGACAAAAGAGAATGTACAGTTCATTGAAAATGTCAAGAAACAACTTCCACCACGAATGCCAAGAAGAAGAGTGAGAATAATGAAGTAAATAGATATTTTTATCCGAAGTAAATACATGCAGAACGAACAGCTAAACGAATTTACTCCAGCAGAGCATATTCATCAGATTCGCTCATATTTCGATATCATAGACAATGCAGTTCAAATTGGTGACACTAATAGAAAATATTCTGACGCAAAGATTCCATCACAACCTGGAACTGCTAAAGATAACACATGGGTAACATTCAATCTCTCACCTCCTGGTGAAAATATGTTGGACCTTTACAATACATTCATTACGTATAAAATGGAAGGTCAATTTATTGTAGATAAAGAAATTGGTTCAGATTCCAATAAAACAAACCCACCAGGATTTTGGATTGGTTTCGATGACGCTTTCTATGCAGTTGCTGGATATCAAATCCTTGCAAATGGTCGTATCGTATATTCTCAAGACAACGCAAGAGAAAGAAGCATATATAACTTCAAACTCACAAACTACCGAACAAATAAAGAAAGTAGATGTTTTTTCAAAGACTCGACATGAAGATGTATGGAGTCATTCGGGAACATGCAGAACAGGACAAATTGTTAGTGGTCCAATTACAGCAGGAAAATCATTTGATTTTAAGCTTCGTTTAAGAATTCCTGTTAGAAAGTTTTTACCATTAGAAGCTATAAGATTTATTCCAGCTTTTGCAGGAAACATTCAGCTTAAAGTAAAGTTCAGTAGCGACGCATTACAATGCACATCTATATCTGTAAATGATATCATTGCTTTCAATCCAACTCTTAAAGTTGCATTTGCTTCAGATTCAAATCCACCGACAAATAAATTTGTTCCATGGAATGAACCATTCACTATGATAACGAAGGCAGTAGAAGCTAGTGGAACAGTTACTATTACAACTGTAACCCAGCAACTATTTCGAACAAAGATGGATTTTAATGAATGTTTCATTCATCCAAAGTCATTCTCTTTAGACCCTAACATTTATACAGAACTTGTAGAACATTATACAAACGAGGCTTTATGTTTTCCTGTTAAAGTTATGGATTGGATTCCTATGGACGGTTCATTCTCAAAGAATACAGATAGTTCAAGTGCAACATTTACAGCAGCTTATACGCCTATTAATGTTAAAAGTATTTGGGCACTATTTAGAAAGAAAGACAACTATTATGTTAATTTTGAGAACCCTAAGTTTAAATATCTTCAGCTTTCCATGGGAGCTTATGGAAATATGCCTGCAGAACCTGAAAAATCATATGGACCTGTATTTTATGAAATGGTTGCGAACGCTTGCAATACAAACAATGATATGATAGGATTTAATGAAGATGTTATGAGGTCATTGGTGGATGATGGTAGTGTGGAACATAAATGGGATAGCTATGACAACACACATTTCTTATGTGGTTTTCCAACAGAAGTGGACTTTTGCTTCCAGCAAGGTCAAACATCTACTGCTCCAATAACATACAAATTGTCTGTTAAAGGACCTATTGAACTAGCAACTGAAAACGTACCAAAGCCACTTATTGGATTTATGAGGGATTGTTGCTTTGCAATACAAGTAAGACAGTCAGGCATACCAATAATAAGACTTGACGACTATAACTTAGCAACTGACGACAGTGAGGAATAAAGGATGAACGTTTATTTTTAAAGCTTATAAATGAGTTCTTCATCAAGCTCTCGTGAACCTTCACCATCTATGAAACAAACTTTACCAAACGATTATGGAGCACCTATTGAATATTTCTTACGAGCTGCACAATGGCAAAGAGCAGTTTCACCAAGGTTAGGTGTTCCACCAGCTCCTGTCAAAAATAGCATTTGGTCAAGTCCTTATATAAGATATGGTCTCCCACTAGGTTTGCTAGCTACAGCAGGAGCAGTAATGATGTTGAAAAGAAATAAAGCAAATGTTATAAATAATACTGAAGTAGCTGAAGTTAAACAAACTCCAACACCTTCGTCAAAACCAACGCCTTCACAAGCAAAACCTTCAATGACTCCTGAACCTATGGAAGTACAAACTCCTGTTCAAAAGTCAACTCCTAAACCGACTCCAACATTTAAACCAGAACCTACGCCTCAAATAAATCGTAAAACTCCTGCGTTTCCTTACTGAAAAATAACGTTATTTTTATTTTATTTGAACATTTTTATTTGATTGAAATGACGACTAAAGTCACTGAAGCAATGAAACAAAAGTTTTTGGTAGAATACATTAAATCAGGAGCGGTTCCAGAAGGTTTTTACGTTCATACTATGAAGGATGGTAGAGTTCAGTTTAGAAAGATAAAGCAACCATTAGATAGAGAAGGAATTTTGAGAAAGATTAAACTTCATGAGGACAACATTGCTGAACTTAAGAAGAAGTTAGAAGAGTTGGAGAAAGGAAGAGAGTTATAAAGCAATGAATTCATGAGGTGAAAAAAGAGGTGAAAAAAGAGGTGAGATATCACCACTTCACCTAAATTTATTTTTTCACCTCTGACAACGTTTATTTTTAAGTTTATTTTTTAAGTTTATTTTTATATAAATGACGAAAACTATTGAGATAACAAACTACAACGGTCATGAGTTCAAGAATTTGTTCTTTGTTCCTCGTGAAAATACATTCTATCAGATACGAGGGAGAAAGGGTAAAGTTAGTTTAAGCATTTATGAAGGAATGAAGAATGGAAAGTTTATACAAGCATACGATACAAACGGTAAACGTGTTTCATTAGCTTTGTCAAAACTTACTAACATTTATTTTGACAGTAACTTTGACCTATATGAAGAAGAAAGTGAGTCAGAAGAATATGAACTGTTATGTGAAGCACAGCAATGGGAGGAGTTGCAATACTTTTGTAAGTGAGAACGTTTATTTTTTACATTAGTGAGTTCGTTAGTGAAGTGAAGTGGTTGGTGGTTTTGTAAATATTTAAGGTTAAGTTAGTGTTGTCGTTTGTGTTGTAAAATATACGTTAACGGTTTTGTAAAGTGTCAAATTCACAAGTATTGCGTACGGAGGAACGCAGTGCCACAGTACACAACTTAGGGATACTAACTTGCGGAACCCAACGTGTATACGCTAGTTTGTAGTTCAAATAATTGTGCAGATAATAACTGACTGTTGTACGTGGTATCTTTGTCATCTCCTCTATCCTTCTGAGTGATGCTCTTGGGTCTTCATCTAGCGCTTGAAGAATTGCTTTGATTTTTCTTTGATCCGGCGATTTTTTGTCAATTTTTATGATGGGCGCCTTTTTGTTCATGAAGTGATACATCCTAACATGATACGTTACAGTGGAATAGCTAGGAGCATCCATACCGAAGCATTTTACCAATGTCTCGTAGATTTTTTTACAGTCTTTGCATTTTTTTGCAAGAGCGAGGATGCTTTCTTTATGATTCATTAAAAAAATGAAAAAATCCCGCCAAAATTTCCCGCGAAACCGCCTCTTGTCTCAAAATTCATTTTATATCCCGGCATGGCGCCAAAATACAACATACTCATCATATACATATATTCATATTTTTTATTATATATTTATAATCAGCATATATCTCCTTTAATAGTCTCATATAGAGCGCTGTGCTAAACGCACCTTTGGACACCCTATATTTCATTCTGTACATTTATCAGAAACAAATGTGGAGGTAATAACTGCTTAGTGCATTATATTGGTGCTATTATCAATCATTGCAATATCATTTCAAATGAATGCTCTATTACATCAAATTCAAACGGTGTTATTTCTTCACACAAAACTTCTCAGTTAAGTCTACCTTGTGAAGTTATTATTCATGATAGTATTATTTCAAACAACATAAGATATTATCTCTTCTATGCTGAACCAAGTTGTTCAATTAAAGTTTCTTCTTGTTTTATTCCAACAAACACATATACCGAAATTAAGAACAGCAACTCTATCAGCATTGAATCAAGTGTTGATTCACTGAATATAAAAAATGAACACTTTGTTACAGGACGTTGTTATGGTTCCATTCCATTAAATAATACCCAATATATACCAGACAATTTCGTATATTTATCACGCAAATATTATAGACGTTGATTAAAACAATTCATATCAACTATTATTTTTATAATAAAGCCATATTCATCCTTTCCTTTATTTTATTCACCTTTTTTAATGTATATATTAATAAATATAAGCGGTCTAATTAACTTGACTACCCTTTTGAATGCTTCAAAATGCTGAAAAATATAATACAATTGATATTCTTAATTGAATCAAGTTCTTTCCTATTATTATGAGTTTAAATTCAAATATTTTTCAGCAATTTGCTTATAATTAGTCAAAATAATATGTTTTTAAAGATAAATTAAGGAAAAATTATCAAATTTTCCTAATCCAATAAATCTAAACATCTATTTTCAAGGATAATAAATAGAATCTCATATTCATGCACTTATTTACTTCTAAATGTAGCCGAAAAACTAAGTTATTATGTAAACTATTCAAACTTAGCCCTTAACGATTACAGATTTTAGAATTATTTTTTTCTGAAAAAAACAATTTTTCAAACGATGTCTAGTGGAGGGCTACAAATACAGCCTAAAGCTATCATCGGTTTAAGATCCACTGAAGTTGTTAATGATGAATTCCAAGATCTTTTCTCGGATAATAACGAGCCAGGCCAATTAAAGATCACAATTCAGGCATTACCAACAAATAAAGGCAGAGGAGGAGCGTCTGCGTTTAAGATACAAAATATTACGCAGTATAATCAGATTTCTTCACACATATTAACGCTCTGCAGCCTTTTAGGAAAATTTTCTTCACCTCCTCCATATAAAGACGCTCTCGATTTCATACCACAGAAAATGGCACAAAAAGTTCTTGTCGATGCACTCAACGAATTCTACAAAGATAAAAATTACGAAAAATTTTCGAGATCAATAAGTAAAGTCACAGCAGATAACATACAAACATCTGTTTTAATACAACTTAAACTTGTCAGCGCGCCATATGATCCCAAAATAAATCTCTCAGAATTCGCAAATAACGAAATGGATCCAAAATTAGGATCTTTATTTCATTGGTACTTCGGCTCGATTAGTGATGATCATTTAGCATGTTCCCATTACATGAAAGCCTTATTTGAAATCGCAAAATGCGCATCTTTAGCACCTATTTCGATTTTCTTCCCAGAATTTTCATACGATAATCTTTTATTCAAATTCTGCACCACATTAATACATCTGTTCCCTCGGAATCCGATTTTACCATCAGTTATCGAAAAACTTGCAACATTTTCTTCAAAACCGGAGCAGATTACATCGATTGAATACTCACCAGATTCAGCAGCTCCCGAAGATGATGACGATTCAGATTCTTTTTCCGACTTAAAATTAATTCAAAAGAAAAATCCTGCGACGGAGAACAGCTTTTCCTTTATAAAACTAGCCGAAAACGAAGTTACAAATCCATTAGAATACATTACGAGGTCTTCCGACCAAGTTGTTGTTTCAATGGATGATTCTCCTGTTATGATTACGTATCAGATCGAGAATGGCCAGTCGATGATGACACCAGACAAGTTCCAAGCATGGATCAAGTCACATTACGTTCCCAGGGATAAGCTAATCAAAGAAAGATTTCTTGAAGAATTATATCACAGTCCATTATCATCTTCCACTCCGAAAAAGCTCTCCCAGAGTGAAATTAACGGCATTTACCGCATACTCTACGAGCAGGATATTCGTCCTCACATACCAAAACAACCAGATTCAGATCTCCGAGCCCTCCAGTTACTTCCTGTCCTCCATTTCATCAATATCTACAGCCAGGAATTCTTCGGAAACTACGCTCCCATACAAACATTGCTCAGAAACGAATACATCTGCCATCGAGCAATAGAAACTGGGGATTCCTCGCAATGTAGCCAGGCTTTTAACTATCTAATCAGTCAGATACACGAAAAGCTCGATATTTGTGACATAGATCCTAATATGAAACTAAGACCAATTCCAAACCAAAATTTCATTCTCTCGGAACAAGTGAAACTAGTGATGTTCCTCACCGATATCACACTTATGTCCGAAAGCAGGTCCCCTTTGACCTTGTTGCCGTTCACTATGGCCGTTCAATACGATCCTTCGAAATATGAGTTCATTTCTCAACGAAAGAACCGAATCGGAGCATTGTACAAACTATATTCTACATGTGCTCTACCTCCTTATCTCATTTTCAGGGCTGCTTTCGCTCTAGGAATCGCTGTACAAGAAGCAAAACCTTCAATTGCGGTCAGATTCATATTTGAAGGCCTCTACATACTACTACGTGAATATCCAATGCTTGCAAAGACTGTTTGGGTCAATTCCGCTTTCTTTTCTCTTGCAGAAAATCTCGAATTATGCGGAAAGTACAGATATTGCGCGGAATGCATTGATAACACATTAACATTGACTCTTCAGTCCCCTAACCATGCAGCGAAGGCAGCAAAGATCGCAAAGAAGTACGAAGACTTACAAAGAGCAATTTTCTTTTATACTTATTCTGTGTCACTTTTACTCGAAAGAGGTTTAGCGATGGAAGCTATTTTTAGCTCCCAAATTCTTGCTAAAATATATGAGTCATGCGGCCAAAACGTTGAAGGAATCCAATTCCTTTCTTATCTGTTGAAAGATGTAAATCAAATTTCTTTGACAGATTCAACAAAAAGTGACGGAAGGACACAAGTCATCAAAGAAGCAGTTCGACCTGATACAATACAGCTTCTCATCTGCGCAATCTATTTATGCGAACTTTACTTGAAAGTCAACCAATTTTCCGCCGCAGAAACATTAATCAAAAATGTTGAAGTGACTGTCAAAAAACCAGTTGTCAAAAAATATTTGAGATACTTGTCAGAAAAAATCAACATCTCGAGAAACACTTTCAACGGGTTAGTCAGCATGCCAGACTTCAACATGCGTGGTAGAAACAGATCACAAACATTAGGAGGCATCTCTGCAACACAATTATCAGATCCAACTGTTCCTTTGTTGAAATCTCTGGCAAAACATTGTATTGCTAAAAATGACAAAGAAATGGCTTTGTTTTGGTCAGAACTCATCTGTTATTCATCTCTTTCGCAAGCAAATGCTGCAAAAGAACATGCTTTGGGTTGTTATCTAAGAGGTTTGGCTTTAACAACATTTATTGATGAAAGTTACGCGATGCCAGAAAAATTCTTTATAAATCACGAATTGACATTGACTGAACAAGAATTTGGTTCATTTTTGTCAAAGAACGAATACGATACTCACAAGTTATTCACTGAAGCATTGAGTTCCTTTAATTACTCAATGATTTGTTACGATAGATGTGGAAATCCCGTGAAATTCCTTGAAGCTCAATTAAGTTATACAGAAATATTATTGCTGTATATTCTTAAAATGAATGGCTACAAGAGAGCAACGATTCAGGAATTCAGTTATGGAAAACCAACATTTGAAACAACTACACCTGACAAACAGCCATTTTGTTTGTTGAATGTTGCTTTTGATTCCATAACTTTAACGACATCAAACATCATTGAGCACTTGCAAATGCAATGTCACGCGATAGATAAACTCGTGAGAACATTGATGGATCCTGTATTGATTATAAGATCGCAGATTGTCAATGGAATGTTCATGCAGTTTAGAAAGAAAACTCATTACGCTGAAACATATTTTAATTATGCTTTCACGAATTTGAAGAAATATTTCTTCGATGAACATCATTTTATTATAAGAGATGTTGGATTCTTCATGGGTTGGATGATGAGAAGAATATTAAGGAATTTAATCACTTTGTTGTTGACTTTTAATTCTGAGTTTATCAACAAACATTTGATTGTTTTCGACATGTTTAATGATATGGAAAGTTTCTACGCAAACCAACATAGAATGGTCAGATACTCTCCAAAGATAAACATCATCGAAACACTCGAAGTACAGTCTTCTATCACTAAACTCGGCAATCCAAGATTCCCTGATTTCATGCACATAATTAAGGAATACTGCAGAAATTATGATCCGAATTCTTCTCACGACAGAAGATACGGATCGAAAGAATGGGAATTGCTGAATTTGATAAAGATGAATCGATCAAATGTCAGGTTGTTTACTCAGAACAGACTCAGCGAAGACCAAGTCTACGAAAGCAATAGAATTGGTTGCATGCAAATGGAAGAAATTACTGAATCTATAAGAAAAGAAAATGAATGTCAACATTTGACAGAATTGCCACCACATTCAATTGAAACTTCTGTTTTCATTATCGCTGTTAATGGACAAATAATGACATACATTCCTGTGAATGGACAGAAGAAAGTCCTTAAGTTGAAACAAGGTGAAGATGGAACATTTGTTTTGGATTGTTTGACTGATAATTTCAACTTTTCTTCTTCCATTTTCAAGTCTTCTTTCTTGGAAGCTGTTGCGAATTTGATTGTTTCTGTTCCGAATATCCCTGTTTCTTATAAATTCGGACACAGATTTGCAGAAGAATGCGTCAAGTTCGGAACATTTTTGTTTGGAGAAATTCCTTTCTTGCATGAATTGGAAGAAGAAGAAATAATTCCAGATGATTCCGTTTTCGAAGGAAGTGAGAAACTCAAGCTTGATACAAGAGGATCTTTAGTTTCTTTGAACACAACTAAAAGGCCATTAGTTGTTATTTCTTCTCCTTCTTTGAATTTCATTCCTTTCGAGTTGATGTTTCCGAAACTGACTGTAATAAGAAGCACTGGTTTCTTCAAGGCTTTCAGAAGAGAAAACGCTCCAAAAGGTATCCAAAGAGTCGCAGTTTTGAAGTGGAGAACAGACAGCGACAAATACGGAGTAATTTCTTGTGTCAGATCCAATGAAAACATCAGAAACATGTTGCATACATTGGGATGCCAAAGAAATCCAAAGATATGGGTTGGAGATTCTGAAAGAATGTTCAGTTTCCCATTTGCTCTTTTCGATCCTTTGAGGACAACAAGCAAATACGCTGAGAAATATCAGTTTTGCGATATTTATCCAATAATTTTCGAGGATTACGACAGTGAAATTATTTCACGCGAAAGTCCTTTGTTTGTTTTCTCTTACGCTGATTTGAGTGAATGGTCTCCTGTTGTTGATGAACTCGTCAACGCATCTCCTTCTTCTTCTTTCATGTTCATTCCTGCTCCTTACATTGTTCACGCATTCAACATAATGAATGACGTTTTCAAGAGACATCAGAAACGAATTTGTTTTGTTGAGAAGAACAATAACAACAATCTACAGCTGTCTGACCACACCAAACTCGTTCGTAATACATTCCAGTTTGTTTCAACTTTGCAGAGAACATTGATCTCCAAGTTGAAAGTTCCAATTTCAATCATTTGTCCAACAAGAGATTATGTTGAATAATTTCTTTACTTTGTTTATTTATATTAATTTTTGTTGAATAAAATTATTTTAGTATACTTCAAAATATGAATATTTATGAATTTGGAATGATATGTATATAAAAGTTAAATGAAAGAAACCACTGTCATGAAAAAGAATTTGCTTTATTGGGAGATCCAAAAATGCCCCCTTTTTATTTAAAATGAAATTGTCAATGCGAATCCCATTTATTAATTCTATAAATGGGTAAAAAGAAGTGCCTTGAATTTGATTCTCTATTATATACAATGTGAATGATGTACTTTCTATAATGGTATCAATCGATTGATGAAAAATCGAAAATTGTTAAAACATTCATCTCGAACAGTATTAATGTATAGGGTGTCCAAAGGTGCGTTTAGCACAGCGCTCTATATGAGACTATTAAAGGAGATATATGCTGATTATAAATATATAATAAAAAATATGAATATATGTATATGATGAGTATGTTGTATTTTGGCGCCATGCCGGGATATAAAATGAATTTTGAGACAAGAGGCGGTTTCGCGGGAAATTTTGGCGGGATTTTTTCATTTTTTTAATGAATCATAAAGAAAGCATCCTCGCTCTTGCAAAAAAATGCAAAGACTGTAAAAAAATCTACGAGACATTGGTAAAATGCTTCGGTATGGATGCTCCTAGCTATTCCACTGTAACGTATCATGTTAGGATGTATCACTTCATGAACAAAAAGGCGCCCATCATAAAAATTGACAAAAAATCGCCGGATCAAAGAAAAATCAAAGCAATTCTTCAAGCGCTAGATGAAGACCCAAGAGCATCACTCAGAAGGATAGAGGAGATGACAAAGATACCACGTACAACAGTCAGTTATTATCTGCACAATTATTTGAACTACAAACTAGCGTATACACGTTGGGTTCCGCACAACCTTAATTCAGTTCAAAAAAAATCTAGAGTCCAATCTTCGAAAGAGCTCCTCTCTATATTGGCTGCGTATCAATCCAAGAAGTTTCGCTTTTTAGTAACAGGGGACGAGTCTTGGTTTCAATATGCAACAGAAGCCAAAATCATGTGGATCCCGAAGGATGAAAATCCGCAAACATTCCCGAAGAAAAAAATTGACACACCAATGATGATGTTGTCGGTTTTTTGGGGCGTGAATGGCATCATCGCAATTGATATTCTTCAAAAACCTAATACGATGAATGCTCAGTATCTAATTGACAATGTTCTTACTCAAATTATCAATTCTGATGAGTTTGAGAAATCCAAACAACAAAAACAAAAGTTTGCAATTCATTTTGATAATTCAAGAGTTCACAAAAGTCATAAGGTAATGAATTACTTGGTGGAAAACAATGTCAAAGTTGTTCCAAACCCAATTTATTCACCTGATATTGCACCCTCTGACTTTTATTTATTCGGCACGCTAAAAAAGAGAGCTGAAGGACGCGAATTCGCGAGTCCAGATGATCTTGAAAATTTTGTAAGAGAGCAATTTGAGCAATTTTCTCATGATGATTTAAAGCGTGTCTTTCAAGCCTGGATCGATCGCTGCGAACGCGTGATTGAATCCAATGGTGATTATATTTAAATAAACTTTATATATATGTAACTTGTTTATTTCTATTCGCAGTATTCAGGTTTGTGCTAAACACACCTTTGGACACCCTATATCATTCAAATATTTCATATCAAATACATCAGATAACATCGGTATCGGAAATTATAATTTGGCCATTATAATATAGTTGTATATGTTGATTTATAATATAGTTATAAGATATACCATTTTTATTCTGAATCAATAAAAAAATTAAAAATTTAACACATACCCAATAAAATTTATGATGCCAAAAATGGCGCAGAATCAGAACTACGAGTGCGTAAAGAAATGAAATTTGAAACAGTCATTAAATCTCTTTTGCATCCATGCTCAAGAATGTTCAATGGGTAATAACATTTTCCTGAAGATGAAACAATGAATGTAATATTAAATGATTCTGTTTGAGAATTTTCAGTATTGATAAAATCTGTTGTTCCATTGATTTCTACATCGTAATTATAAATATGAACAATTTTTGAAGATCCTGAGTAGAATGTGTTGTTTGCTATGTTTTGTTTCATGATACAACTTTTGATTGTTATTTCAAAATTATCATATCTTATAAATTGATCAGAAGCTAAACAGTTCAAAATATTTGTTAAATATATTGTAAATGGCTCATAATTGGCTAAACTGAGACAACACTTTCCCAATCCATGAATATTGAAAAATAATGTGTGTGATATATTTCCTTCAAAAACGGAATTATCTAAAAGAAAAGCGCAATGATTGTTCGCTTGACTATTAGATAAATTAACATTATCATTTTGATTAAATATATATATGGCCTCCAAAAAGGAGGCAGGTATATCCTTCTTCAAGCTTTCCTAAGTTTGAAAAAGATGATTGTAAATTTTAATTTACTTTCAAAGGATTATTATCGCCTAAGTTTGTAAATATAAAACAATGCTGTCCATAGCTTACAGAAGTGCAATTGTAAGAGCATACTTTATTTTGGATTATATCTACATGTCCGATGATTAAGATATTTGCGCCTTGTATTAATCCATAAGCATTCCTGACATTTCCAATATGGTTGGAATACAGAAGGGTTGATTCTATTAAGATTTTAATATTTGTATCGTTTTCTTGATAAAAATCAATAAATCTTGTATTGCATATTCATTGAGAAATCCAAGTAACAAATCCCTCAAAATTGAGAGCGTAATCCTCCCCCTCTCAAATAAACGTACATACGGGTGCACCCTTAAAAATCTTCAATTCTGAGTTCCAAATCAAATGAAAATGAAGAGTATTTGAAATTTATTGGGATGTTCAAAAAAGAATCTAAAATATTGAAATTGTCAGTAAAAATTAACAATAATGTGGGTGAGTTTTCATGCAGCCATAAGAATAAACACATCGGCAACCCATGTAAAATAATTGAGAATATTTTACATGGCATTTGCCGGCAAATGCCTTGTAAAACTCTCAAAAGTGTGATCCTTATGACTGCATGAAAACTCACACACGTTATTTGGAAAGTGATATTTATTGTAATTTCATTTATATTCGGCCATATCTTTATAATTGATTAATTGATTCATATCTCGCTGTTCTAAAATTAATTCGATTTTTTTTTAATTTATTTTAAGCCGATCGGAAATTGAATGCAAGCAATGATATGCAGATATTTGAATCATAGCTATTTTCTATCATAAAATATATTTGTTCTATCACTTACAAAATAAATATTAAAAGCTAAATTATTAAGCATTTCAAACGAACGTAGTTATTATTTTGTAAGTGAAAAATTTTAATGAATAGTTATAATTCCAAAAATAATAATTGCTCAATTAAAATTTTTGACAACAGTTGAAACTCCGATAACCATTGAATTTTTTTTTACATTGATGACAAAAAATGAAAACAATTAAATATCGAATCAAAATTAAAGTGTGATAGTGTTTGTCAAGGGAAAATATTGTTTCAAAATAGCTTTCAAAGTGAATAATATTGAATAAGTCCGAGTAACCGTTTTTTATCTCAAAAGTTGCGATCAATTTATTTTCTGAATATATGCAATTTTATTTAGTTGAATTTATGTATATATATATATAAATATTATAATATCCATTCAATGAATTTTATCATTTTCAATTTGCACGAACAGAATTTCAATACAAAATATATAAAATTGTTATGACATCATTTTATTTAAAACATGTTTCCTGAGCAATCAACTCATCGAAGCTCTAGTGAAAGTTCAGCTAGGAGGTCAAGCGAATATTCTAATAGTGAACAGATCAAAGTTCAAAATGATGACAAAAAATTCGCAAAAGGTGCATTATATAAAATGGTATTTGGAAGCTGCAAGAACATACTTGCTATCATCCCATCATTTATCAGTGGTGGAGGTCCCATTTTAGTTTTCTTCTTATTCGGCAAGATACTCAACAAATTAACATTTTATACCTTGGATCCAAATCCAAGTGTGTTTGATGATTGCCTTAAGTATATATATGGAATGATTGGCACATCTTGTGGCTTAGCAATTTGCAAATTCTTTGATAAATATGCCTGGATCAGAATTGGTGCCGAAATTTCATGCAAAATGAAAAAGGAGCTTTTCCGAAGTATGATGCAAAATGATGTTACATTCTTTGATACAAATCCAATCGGAGGTATTTTAACACTACTTGCCGAAGATTCTCAACAAGTTCAACAAGCATTCGGTACAGACAAGGGCACACAAATCTCAAATCTTGCACAGTTTATCACTGGCATTATATTTGCCTATGTTTATTCATGGAAGCTCGCTTTGATTGCTACAGCAATTATTCCAATTGCAGGAATTTTTATGAGCTTTTTCATGCCAACTGTTGTTAAGCTGGCTGCAAAGAGATTTGTTTTCCTTTCCAGATCCATGACAATTGCTGAAGAAACACTTTCGAATGTCAGAGCAGTTAGAGGATTCAATAGAGAGGAGGATGAAATCAAAAGATTCGAGCAATCACAGAATGAAACAATCAAGTGCGAGAGAAAAATAGGTTTATTAGTATCAGGAATGAGTGCAATTATTTTAACACTGCTTTGGGCTATGGTTCTTGGTAATCTTTATTACGGAACACACTTAGTACAGGACTCCCTTAAGTCAGATGGTACCTATGGTTTCGGCCTTGGTGATTTAATGTCATGCTGGGGTTATTGCATGTTCGGATGCATGGGTATCATTATGCTCCAGAGTTCACTTCAAGGTGAGCAAAGAGCTGTTGATTCAGGTGCAAGAATTTTCAAATTAACTAATACTCAACCATCTGTTCCATTCGATGGAGGAATAGAGCCAGACAACTTTGTTGGAGAAATCGAATTTAAGAATGTTACATTTAGATATCCAACTCGTCCAGTCAACGTTTTGAACAATGTTTCGTTTAAGATCCGAAGTGGTGAAATTGCAGCTTTGGTTGGTCACTCTGGTTCAGGCAAATCAACCTGTGTTCAATTGCTTGAGAGATATTATGATGTCACCGAAGGCCTTATTCTATGGCAGTCCCAACGGGAACTGCGGTAATTTACCGAGGTTTCCGCACACCGGTTCCTTTTTTAGGAATTTTTTAGATTAAAAAATATGCTTTGTAAATCATTTTTTGTAAATCGGCAAAAATTTGGAAATATTCTGACGACAATAAATCTGGGAATAGTATTTTAAATACGAGAACAACCTATTTAAAAGTGTTTCGCTCGATTTTGTATAATTTCAAATTTTCGCATATAGCTTTCCGTGAATTACCGTGATTTGACCGCCACATCAATAGTTTACGACACTTTTTCCGTAAATTGAGTAGTTTACTGCACTTTTTCCGTAAAATTGAGTTACGGGAATCCGTAAGATTACCGTACCTCACTTCGAGTTGAAAATAGCATTAGTATATAATAAATAGATATATTATTCATATTTTTGATTTTGAATTACGGAAAAAGTGAGGGTGAAAGTGAAGTGAAAAAGTAAGATATTTTTTGTTGAAATAATCATAGTTGTACAATTTTGAAACTATATGTAAAGCTATAAATTGAATAAATTCAAAAACAAAAATTGTTTATTCTTATTAATAAATTTATATTAATCAATATTTGAACAACCCGTAATTAAAATTGAATTCCATTTAAAATTTAATCCATACGTTAATTTTTAATTTGCTCGGCGAATGCCGAGCTTCCCTACTTCTCTTGTCATTCCTTTAAAAACTCTAATCTCATCGCACTTACAAACATCATGATTTGATGTATTGTCGAGAAATCTTAGACTTGTTTGTCATTTGATTATAGCATTTGAAAGTCATCTCGAAAATCGATTAACAAGACAATTTCCCAAACATCTACATACAAGTAGATGATGGTAAACCCATTAGAGTTGTTTTGCTATGATTCCTCCAATCTTATGATGAGAAAAATCATATCAAAACAGCTCTAATCGAATATTCTACACAGCTTAGCATCCAGCTAGTTCCAAGTAATGCGATTACAACATCAACGGCCAAAGCCTTTCAGAGTCCTTTAATCATTTCTTCTCATCTCAATGTGAAGTGGCCCCAAACGAACTACAAGCTGACGTTACAACGCATTACAACCCGGTTAATACGAGCATATACATTAGAGCTGCTTTGTTATGATCTCCCTCATTAATTGATGAGAGATCTCATTATGAAGCAGCTCCAATCGAACTAAAAACCTACATACAAATGAGTGAAAACAAACTCATTAGAGTTGTGTTGCTTTGATTTCTCTCATCAGAAGATGAGAGATACCAGAACAAAACAACTCTAATCAAACTTTCTACACAACTCAGCACAGTATCAATGCAAAGTAATGCGTCTGTATCGTTAACAAGCAAAGTTGTTTCGGGTCCTTCCATTTTGGAAGAATTCGGAACAACTTTGCGAATTGATAGTGTAAACCCATATACATGAAAGCGTGCATGCATAAAGACAGGTATTGTCAGCAATGACTACCTGCCCAGCTATAAGTGATCAGAGAATTACCATCTCAGGCTTTTTGAGAACGTTTCAGCCAGGACCCTCTTATGTTGACTGTGAGAAAGGCATCCTTTATCTGAAATAGATGCTTTTCCAACAATCAAATTCGAAGATCTTCGACGTTGTTGTAAAAAGAGAAGGAGAAGGAAAGAAGAGGAAGGAGAGGAAGAAGGAAAGGAAAAGAAGAAGAAAAAAAAAGAAAAAAAAAAGAAGGACATATTAAATATAATGCGCACTTAATAGTGCCGAGGCGGCGGAGCCGCCGAGGCGCGATTTTTTTGACCCTATATTACCGCACGGCAATGTTTTTCTCGATTTTGTACAGCCCTACCTTATTCTTCTCGATGGAAGAGACATCAAGGAATACAATCCACGCTGGTTACATCACAAGATTGGCTTAGTTGGACAAGAACCAACGCTCTTCTCAACATCTGTAAAGAGTAACATCCTTTATGGTGTTGAGACAGCTACAGAGTCACAAATTGATTCAGCTGCCGAGATTGCAAATGCTAAAAAGTTCATTGAAAAACTTGATCAGAAATATGATACATTAGTTGGTGACCGTGGTGGGCAACTATCTGGCGGTCAGCGTCAAAGAATTGCCATTGCAAGAGCTGTTATCAAGAATCCAAGAATTCTTATATGCGATGAAGCAACTTCTGCTTTGGATGCTGAATCAGAAAAGAAGGTTCAAGCTGCTCTCGATAATGTCCTTATTGGCAGAACAGGTGTTATTGTTGCTCATCGTTTATCAACAATCAGAAATGCTAACATCATTTATGTTTTCGATGCTGGTGTAATTGTTGAACAAGGCACACATAATGAGTTGGTTCAAAAAGGTGGTTTCTACTACAGGCTCGTTTCAAGACAACTCACTCAAAAGGGCATCATAAAAGGAAGTGAGGCTGCCAAGAAGAACAATGAAAATGCTGCAGCAGTTAACAATAACAGTGGTATCGCAAATCAACAAAATATGCCTGCTCAACCACTTCCAAATCCAGCTAAAAAAGAGGAGGAAAAGAAAGATATGAAGAAGAAAGAAACAAGTGATTCAGACTATAGTTACTACTCAGGATTATACACATCTGACGAAAATCTCTGAAAAAATAATTTTTAAAACAAATCTTTTAATTATAAATTAGGGTTATTCGTAAAGACTGCCGTATTTATAAATCTGACAACTTATTTATAAATTCTATGAATTTGGAGAAACCGCCAAAAGTGGGAACAACTACCAATTCTGAAAAACCGAAAAAAATATGAATAACTACCAATTTGGAATCTTCAATTAAACAATTTGGTTAATAGGTTCTGAGTTGAAATAGTACAAAACAAAAATATTCTCCACAGTGAATTATTCTCTCGCTAAAAGTATCGTGTTTTAGTTTTCACTTCTTTAGATATTTCGAAATCAATTCAAATTAAGAGTTTTGGCGTAACTACATTACCAATCAAGTCTCCATGAAATATGCGATATTTCCATCATACTATTTTCGAGAACTGTGATAGCAAATGAATTAACCTTAATGATTCATATTGTAAACTTCACTACTATCATACTATATGCAACTTAAATGTACAGCTTATTTCGAGCAGGATTAACTTATTCTTCTATAATGTAAAGCTTCTACTCTAACATGCAAATTTTTTCATACAGAAAGAATTTTTTTATTTTATGTGCAAAATTGAGTTGAGAACCATATCTTAACAATATCCTAAGGGTAAATGGTATTTAACATGAAACATTTTGCAAACATTTGAGAAATCTAAATTTTATTCTTTAAATAAGATTATACTAACAAGTTGCCGAATAAGTTCATGGGCAATGCATTAAATTTTTAAATCCATGTTTCGAAGATAATGTCTAAAGTCAATGAAGGAACTTTTTTCGACATTTTTCATAACAAAAGATATATTTTGGTGAAAACCTCTTATCTGCTTTAATTGATGAAGTGAAATCGTTGATCAATTAAAAATAATTAATCAATAAAAAATAATTGATCTAAAAAAATTTTTATTCTTCGATATTATATAGCCTGAGAAATTTCTTCTGGAGATAAATGTGGTATTAAGAATGCCAGAGCATCATCATCTATTATACCGATATCTGATAATGATGTTGAAGGAGATATTCCATAAAACTGCAAAAATGTTGTTACGCATTTTGTATCATGCAAAATCTTCAATCTTTTTGCCGGATCTGTTTCTTTAAAGAACTGGACAATAGTATCTGAATGATCATCCCATTCTAATTCATTGTTCAGTTTAAGCATTTCTTCTTTTTCTGATGTATTATATTGGAAGATTGGATTCAATTTCATCTTGAAAATTGCTCTGAGATTTTCCACATCATATTCTTCTTTAATTTCTGTATTCTCTCTCTTTTTGACCCATAATATTGGTCTTGTTTCTTCATCTTTAAATGGCATCGTTGATATATTGATTTTGTAATAGTTTTCGTCTTCAATCTGCAAAGAAATAATGTCTTCGAATGGTGGAAGAACATGAGGAGTGTGAATCTTTATTGGTTCACCATCTTTTAATGTCAATAATATCTTCATATTGACAATTTCATCATTATCTACATCTCTTACTTCCAAAACTCTTGGAACAGCTGCAGAATTAACTAAATGACGCATTGTTTGCAATGAATATTCATTGTCGCCGCAAGATTTAGCAATTCTTGGATAACTTGCCAATAATAGCATTGCACTTGCAGAGTTGGAACGGCTAAGAGTGAATCTTCCTTTTCCTAAGTTCAATGTTCCAACAGCCATTGAAAGGAAAGCTTGTTGACCACTGACAAACAAAGGTTGGCTTGTCATACATGGTCTTCTTCTGATCAATCTGACGAATCTTAAGAAGTTTGCATCACATGTTCCTGCAATGATGTAAGACATCGCGAGAACAACAGTTACTAAGCAAACTTCTCTGTGCATTGCCGTGCAATCTGTGAAATCAAATGGTGCTTTGTTGAAAAGAGCCAAACATTTAGCAATTGTCATTAATCTCTCATAAGCTTTGGAATTCATTGTTCCTGCAAATTTAATTCCGCATGCAATTGAGAAACCAGTAACTAATGATGCCAAAATATCTGGTTCTAATCCTTCAGGAACAATAAAGTTAATTGCTGTGTATGGATCAGAATCAATCAACAAAGATGCGCAAGTTCTCATCAAAACAACATCAGGAATCATCTTATTGATGAAATTCGAATCTGCTGGTAAATTCAAGGCATTTTGGACTCTCTTGTGATCAGTTCTCATGTATCCTAAAGCAAGAACGAAGATTGCAGCTGGAGCGATTGAAAAGAAATCAGAATTACCAAATGTAGCAATTTTTTCATTACTTACATCAGCTGTTTTGCTTCCTTCCAATATGATGCATAATCTTTCTCTTGTCTCTTTGAGAACAGGAGATTTATCGCCCATTCCGAGAGAGATAAGACCAATTGCTGCTCCTAATGACAATGGAAGTGTTGCCAAATCAAAAATCGCACTTTTTTCAAGAAGTTGTGCAAAAACTTCTGTTAAATGTCTGTTGGCAGAACATTCAAATAAGAAACCAATTCCGAAGATGGCGGCACTCTTTATCAATGAACTCATTTCGTAGTCGCTTTGCTGGAACTGTCTGAGTTCAGGGATATGCATTGTTAGCATATGAGAAATTGCTAAATCTCTTGTTCCGCGATATGAAATTCCAAGTCCGAAAACCATAGCAATTGCGTTGATTTCTTTGATATCAGGAGATGTCAAGTACTGGAAAATATCAAGTTTCCAAAGTTTTCTGAGCAATCCATTAACAGCAAATCCATAAAGAATTCCAGCACTGTAAGGAGTGTATTCTTTACTGATTGTGTCAACAATCCAACTGTGGCTTGCATCAGAAACTGTTAAACCATCAGAAACGCCGTTATTAAACTGAGCCCAAGTAGTTGCAGTGATGTTTTCTGCTTGTTGTTGTGCATTATCATCTGTATCAACAATTTGGGTTCCGTTTGTTGTGTATCCGACTTTGTTTAACTCTTCAGGAACTAATTTTTGTGAAGGAAGTGGTTTTACTGATCTCAAATTGAACATTCCTCTTCCTATTGACAAACTCCATTGTTTCTCAAGTAATATTCTTAACTTAGAAACCATCATTGATTGGTAAACGATATCATCTGTTCCATTTGGTCTTTCAACATCAATTGTTACTGGGAGATGCGATTGTAACAATCTTTCTACTTCGAGGAACCTCAAATCAGGTAAAATTGCTTGTGGAGAATTGAGATTATCGAATGGTTCTTTGATGTATTCCAATAACTTCGCGATATCATCTCTTCCTATTAATTTATAAGCAGCTATTGGCCAATCTTCTGGTGGAGAATCTCTTGTTAAATGGAATATTCTAAGTAAAGGAATAGAAAGAGCTGGCTGTAGTTCCATGATTTGTTTCAAAGTGAGTTTCTCTCTTTCGCTGAGAACAACAATTGTTTTCGCATCTTCAGAGGAATGAATTGATCCGAAAACATGAGTTACTTTCTCTGATAAACTGAATGGTGATGATACTTCAACCAATGACTTTCCTGAAACGCATTGGCTGCACCATCCCATTAAATCATGAACATCACTCGAGAAACTGTTTCCTTTATTAATATCTTCGATGTCTATTTCTTCTTCTGAGTTCATTGCGTAATATAATAAATGATTAATCATTCCGCAATGTTTTGCAAGTTTGATTAAAAACGTCAATATCTTTTTGCGATTTTCCTCTGTTCCTTTTCTGATTTTCATGTCTTCAAACAACAAATGCAAAGCTGTGAAGAAGCTGACAAGTTCTGAATCATTCTCAAAACTGACCAATAAATTGAATATGCTGTCGAAAAATGAGTCAGAATTTGTTAAAGTGCCGCATTCGCTTAATGCAAGAACAAAAGTTGCATAATATTCCTTAGAAACAGAAAGATGGGCAATTTCTAGGATAGAATTAATGAGTTTGTCATTGGAAATATTGATATTTGCAAGGATTTGTTTACCAGATTGGAATGTTAAAACAAATCTTTTTCCAAGCCTTGCAATATTGACGACATCTTTAACATCGAAGTGAGCTATCATTCTATTCTCTTCGAATAATGAAAGATTTCCATTGTTATGAACAACAAAATACATTAATTGGTCATAGGATAGGACTTGATGGGCATCTTCAAGCCATCTCATTGTCTTATAGCCATCAACATATGAAATATCAATAGCATCAAGGAATCCTTCATGAACAAAAATAAGATATTTTCTTGAACCGTCTGAAATCTCGCAAAACGATGAATAGTTCGTGTCTGACTTAAATTCAAAGTCATATAATGATTCTATGAAAAGATCTGGTGGAATTCCTTCTAATGTTGCTTGAATCTCTGATCTTGCTTGAGTTCCTGGGGAATTTAAGCCATTGTATTGACGTGGTGGTGAGAAAATTGATGGCGATCGCCTGAAATGTGGTGATGAGAATAAAAGTTCGCGACTTGATGTCGGTTCAATGAATTTATAAACAGTTGCAATTTCATTAGTTTTTGCAACCATGTAAACACGTTCATTTGATACATGTAATGGAGTAAACGCACTATCTGTAATGAAGCATAATGTCTCTTCTGTCTTAGGAATAGACGAAAGAGGTGTTTTTCTTGGAGATGGAGACATTATTGTAGCAAATTTGGGTTTAATCTTCTTTATCATAGTATCATTGAATGCAACTGGACGAATTTCTTCGAGTGGATGATAAAGAGTGAATAAAATTGGAAAATCGGAATATTGTTCTTGTAAATACGATGAAGTTTGAGCTCTAACAAGCAATATTGATCTGTGAAGAGTAAATATTTGTGATATTGGGAATGGAAGTGGAATCATATAAGATTGTCCTGAGAAAGAAAATAATGTGAGGCCGCTTTCATATAAAACAGCTAAATATCGAACTGAATCAACTGTACATATGATAGATTCTTTGACTTTTGCACTCATTGTTAAATGGTGAAGTAGGCATCTATTTTTTGACCAAATAATTTCATTCTTTGCCCAATCAACCTCAATACCATCTTCAAAGAATCTTGTTTCGATCATTGATGGATTACATTTAAGTCTTGAAAGTCCAAATGGCTCAAAGTTGCCAATGACTTTCAGCATTTTGGAGCAATATCAAATTTCAATTATTTTTCAATCGCAAATATAAACAACAAACTATATGATATATAAAAATAGTTAAATCATGAAATGAAAAATTCTGAAGAAAAGATGACCGTTTAGAAATTCGTATTATAAAGGAAGGTGCTTTGAAAATTGGATACAAATTATATAATGCAAGAATAATTGTTGATTTTTAGTTTTGATCGCAAATTTTTAAGAATTGAGAATAAAATTTTTCAATTCATATGAACAACATTAATTAACATTACCTGACAAGAAATTAATATGTCATAAACTTCAATTGCGCATGAAATTTGCAAGAAAAAACATATAATAATTTGTGAAATCGAGAAATCATAATTTTTAATAAATGATATAATATTGTTAGATTCTTATGTAGATAGTTGTTAAGGATTCTTATGCCAAATCCCAAAATATAAGCTTCTCTAATTTTGTGAATTTTAATTAAAAACTATACCAAATTTTTTTCCGCACCATGTGAAATGAGAACTTCTGCAATTTCTTTAAAATTAAGACGTTCTGCAACATGAAGTGCTGTTTGTCCGAGTATATTTTTTTCATTGACATTCGAACCATGTGAAATAAGAACTTCAGCAGTTTCTTTACTATTATTATGTACTGCAATATGAAGTGCAGCTACTCCATCTTTGTTTATTTCATTGACATTCGCACCATGCGAAATAAGAATTTCTGCAATTTCTGGATAATTTTTGTGTGCTGTAATATGAAGTGGTGTTTCTCTATATATATTTTTTACATTGACATTTGCACCATGTGAAGTAAGAACTTTGACCATTTCTTTAAAATTATTACGTACTGCTTTATGAAGTGCTGTGTTTCCATATTTATCTAATTCATTGATATTTGCACCATGTGAAATGAGAAATTCAGCAGTTTCTTTAAAATTATTACATGCTGCTTTATGAAGTGCGGTTTCTCTATCTTTATTTTTTTCATTGATATTTGCACCATGTGAAATAAGAAGTTCGGCTGTATCTGTAGAATTAAAACGTGCTGCAATATGAAGTGCGGTTTCTCCATATTTATTTTTTTCATTGATATTTGCACCAAGTGAAAGCAAGTATTCGATAATGGATGGAATATTATAAATCGATGAATAAAGAAAACATTTGTTTATATCATTAGTTTGATCGAAATAAACTAAAAAGGGTTCAAGATTATTGTAAAGCCCACAAATTTCTAAATCAATTTCTATATTGTATTCATTCACCAAGAATGAAACAAAATCAATATTGTGTGAAATAATTGCATATTTCATGCATTCTTCATGATCTCTTTGTTTCCTCCTAAAAATGAAAATTCTAGACATTTTTGAGTTATTTCTGAACTGAATTTTGTTCTTAATAATTTGAAACAATCAACTGCACCATGGTAACAACATAATTCAAGTAATGAATACCCTTCGTAAGAATATGGATATATGATGCAGTTAAGTGTTTGGTCTTTATCAAATCTATCTATTCCAGTGAAATTGATGAATCTTTCTTTGTCATTATTCAAAATTGCTTTGTAAATTGTATTTTCTGAATGAATATCGAGATTATTAAAATAATTTTTTCTCAAATCGATTGATTTGTCTAATTTAATTCCATATTCTTTATAGAACAGGAAATCGGAAATGCATTGGAGATTATTGACCTCTTCGATATGATATTCATCAGATATTAGTTTGGCAAGAGATAAATATGACTTTGCGTAGCGATTATTATATGGAATGATATTTAAAATGTCTCTTATTACTCTTGCTGGAAGATAATTCTTTGAATCAATCAATTCTGTTTTGATCATTTTGTAAATTGACTTTAATTCTTCTTCTGTTTCCGTTTTCAACTGATACAACGCAAGATATGGATCGATATAGTATTTGTAGATACTTCGTAATTTGTTGTATTTGTTTGGATGAACATCTTGATCATACATTTAAAAATTTACCACCCTTTTTTACTTTTTTTGAATTTTCCGTCATTAATATTTTTAAAGGATACATTTGTGTTTCACAATAAAAAATACTCATCAAATTCATCAGAAGAAAAAAAAATACTATGATATATATGTGGGAAATAATGACAACAAAAAAATTGCGAATAATTTCTTTATTGGTTTGCCATGAACCTCATCTACATTATGGTGGAGCGCAAACTGAGTTTCGTTTAGGAATTCATTAGATGTTTGCCAATTTGAAGTTTACATTTTGTAAAAATTTCTTCAAATTGAATTTTGGAGTTGGAGAAGATTTTCATCCAAACGGGATCCTTACAGTTGTTACTTTTTGCTGTTAAAAAAAAATAATAATTTGCAAATTATAAAATTGTTTAATTAATTTATATAAAAAGATCAATAATTAGTAATACTCTATGCTTGTACTAACTTACTTCCACTGGATACTCAAAATTTCCTGAACATCATTGATTCTCTCGTTGGTCTTATCGAGAATGCCCATGAAATCATCAATATGACGTCTAGAATCTGCAAGTGTCTTAAGGCTACTGGGATTCAAGTCTGCTTGAGCAATAGCCTTATGGACCTTTCTGCAAAGCTCTCTATCGTAGTTTGTAGTGCTAATACGGTCGTTTGTTGTCTTAAGGAGAAGGCGCAATTCGTTGATGGCAGCTTGGAGTGAGCCGTGTGATGTTGCATCGGCAACACGAGATAATGAAAGCTGCTCTGGAATATTAGCTTCAATATTGTATTGGATTGGAAGAGAAACAAGGTGGAGTTCTGAGTTCTTGTTAACTGAAAATACATCTATTTTTGGTGGGACATATGGACGCATCCAAACATGGATACCGCTAGATCCTTCAGCAATGATACTTGGGAACTCGATATTTTGTTCTGAGTATGAATACCAGCCAAGAATCTTTTCGTTTGGATATAACATGTGGTGTTGTTGATATGAAAGAGAAGCAATATCTGTTTCATTTTCCTGTCCTGGTTTTAATGGGACAACATCACGAATAATAGCTTCGCGGTTGAGAATTTCGCCTAAAAGAAGGCCGACGCAATAATTAACTTCTGGTCCACGGCGTAAGTACATATCAGCGATTTTGAAAATAACGAGAGGGTGAATTTGTGCTATATTGACTGATGGATCTGAAATAGACTTATCATTATAAATGATATTTCCTTCCTGATTGTCCATTTTTTTGTTGGGCCAAGTACTTTTTTTCGGACCCTGAAATATTTTTTTGGACCCAAAAATAAAAGAAATCATCATTAAGATGTCTTTTGATTAATCATTTGAATTCGTGTCCAGTAAGTTGTTTAAATATCAAATAAAAAATATAGCTCTTTAAAATTTTCTATTTTTTGTGGAGACAAAATAATTTTGAAAACTTTACAAAAATATGTTTACTATGGTGACCTAATTCATATTTCCATCAAAAGTTAATGCAGTGATTAATTACCTCACTAGAATAACCTAGTAAATATTGTTTCTCTTTTCAATTCTCTACAAATGCGACATGAAAATATAAAATCATTATCATTTTGGCGTCTATTTTGTGTTTGAATGATTTCAAATGCATAATATCTGAAGATAATAAACTGATATTAATTTTAAACAGAAAATTAGAAAAAAAATCTCAAAAATTCTTAATTACTTTGTTTTAAATAATTACAATGTTTACAATGGATTCAATCCAATCATTTTATACATGAATTCTATCAAGAAGGAATTCTTTAAGACGATCTGGATTTGGAAGTCCTGAAGTTTCGTCCTTGCTAACTTCGCTTGTTTGAGACTCGAAATCTTCTGTAATAGTAATAAGAGTCTTCATTAGCATATCTGAAAATTGATAGGCCATTTCTTTCATTTCTCTCTTTTGGTTTTCAATAACTGAATCCTTTTCAAAAAGAACCTTTTCTTTTTCAGCCTTTAAATCTTCAAGTTCTTTTGTTGCATCAGCTAATTCTTGTTTTAATTTTGAGATACGATCGTTTAAATGAGACATTCTCTGCTCATATTCACGCTGAGCATTTTGATGAATTGTAGAAAGCTTGGCAATGTTAACAGTTGATTTCTTGACTGATTGATTAATTTCTTCTTTGCGTTTTTCATATTCTTCCTTGTTTGATTGCTCGGATACTTGGGCATTTCCAATAAATGTTCCTAAATTACGTAAATCATTATCAATTACAGCAGTTTTTGCGGCTTCTTCTTTCTTAAGCTGATTGATTTCTGCTTTTGTAAGTGGAGTTGCCGGGCCACCAGCTGGTTTTGTTTGCTTTCCAGTAGTATTATTACCTTTCATAATGAATTAACTAACGTATTGCAAAAGTGACAAAATCTCTCCTATTTGATGGCATTATGATTTCATGAAGATCGTGTAAATTTAAATGAAATGAGCTGAGTACTAGCTATACAAGAGGCTTTTTTCGATTTTTGAGATTAATTGACATATAAGAAACTAATTATGACGATATTGAATACTAACAAGCATATAATATGTTTCTGATTGGAGAAATTTTTCATATGAATGCAATTGCAAGCTATATTTTATCGAATATGAAAATTCAATATTTATTCATTTCACATATTTCATAGCTCTTGTGATTGAAGTCCTAGTTTTATAAATTCTTAGCATTCACTCCAAAATTCATTTTTCATTAAATGTTTTTTGATTATCCTTACTTATTAGCCAAAACCCCAGAATCATTGTTTTTAGGGAAATTTGACGATGAATCAAGTACAGAATTAGAGTTAAAGGAACTATCTCTCAAACCAGCAAAGCAAAACGTAATAGCTTTTTTTAAATTAACATTTAATGAACAATACTTTGTTATTATTGCAGACTATAAGCTAAAAATATGGAAAGAAGGCAATCCATCTTGCAAAAACATTCCAGAATTTGAATTCGATAAAGTTTTAAGAATTTACAGGGATCCATTATATACTAATAGATTTTTCATCATTAATGGCAATCATTCGTTGATAATGATTCATTTTACAGCACCAGACAAGTTAATTCAAAAAATAATATTTCAAGATAATATAAAAAGACTATTTTTAACAAATAAATCATTAACATGCCAATTGTTGAATCCACCTTACATATATACAGCCTCAGAACGAAGTGATATTGTAATTTCGGAACAAAAGCAGTTCAGACTACAGCCATATGTCAACACCAAATATACAACGATATATGACAACCTTGCATACATTAGTGACGAGAATAGTTATGTTCACATTCAAAAAATTGAAAATTCCGAGTTTGCAAACGAAATTACTTGTTTCAAAGGTCATATATGGGATTCACAATATCCCATAATTGAACTCCCCAACAACAAACTAGATATTTTTGAAAATATTATTGATTTAAGTGAATTCTTAAAAAATCATCCTCGAAAAACTATCAAATCATTCTCTGTTTCATCAGGATATCTCTGTATCTTGTGTGAATCCAATCACGCGTATTTAATTAAATTACCGGAATTAAGTATAGAATCAACTGTTGAAAGATTAGACTTTACAAGCAAAATAGTACCATTTAAAGAAGTGGCTATTGATTTAGTCAAAAAAGCTGACAATTTATTGAATTCAATCAAAAATTTTATATCAAAGACAAAAGAAATAAATCAATGCATAAATAAGGGTGCTAACAGTTCGGATCCAATAAATTACGAAAGTATCTTTGAAGCAGCACTTTCTAGGTCTGGATATCTTTTATCTTCAACTTGTGACAATGGATTTCTTAAATCTGGTATTTCTTCTGGATCCATTCCAGAACCATTGCTTCTCAGAATGGGAACTGCTCTTGTTGAAGTTTCGAGTGAAAAATGCAGTGGAGCAGCTGTTCATGCAGCAAGAATTTTCTTATCACTGGATAAAAACTCTCCTTTGGTTTGTTTTGTTATGAAAGAACAAAAAGAAAGACTTCTTGAGCTGATTAATTTCAAACTTATCAAGGCAGAAGGGAATTATCTGAATGCTTTGAACCTTCTGAAGAAATCTATAAGTGCATTTGACTAAGACTAAAAATTGATGTTTGTATTGTTTTTTTATAATATATCTCGAACACTTTTAAAAATTGTGTATACAATGTCTCAAATTCTTCTTAGTAAGCACCCAAACTAAGAGTTTTAGCTTCACATCTAGAAAATTTGAAATTTTATTTTGACTCAAATGCTTGGTGAAAGTTCAATGTATATTACACAAAAACCCTTTAGTGAAAATATAACTAATGTTGTATCGTCAGTGATTTCGTTTCAATAAAGATTTCCAAATATTGCAAAAATGTTAGGAAAACGAAAATTCTTCAGGTTCAATCTGATTTATTCCTGTTTTTATATCATGATATATCAAAACCTGTAAGATTTTATATAAATGATGAATTTTCTTAGTGTCACTTTTCTCAAATAATTAAAATGAGTGAAGAAAATGAAAAGGAGCTAATAAGGCCTCCGCCAAAGACAATAGTGCATAGATGCACAACTTGCTTCAGAGAGCTTGAAAATGAACATTTTGCTCTCTGCATTAAATGCAAAGGCTTCATTCAGTGTTTACCATGCTTGAGTGAAGGAATTGAGAAAGGATCACATATCAGGGAGCATCCTTTCATCATTGTTCCACCTACTTTATCTTCATTGTTCAGAACAGATTGGAGTGCTGAGGAAGAAGCACTGTTTCTTGACGCCATTCAAAACTGTGGCTTAGGAAATTATCAAGATATGGAAAATTTACTTAAATTTAAATCAGCGCGTGAATATGAATCACATTATATTTCGACTTACTCATGTTCGCCATTTGCTCCGCGACCAGAACAGGAAATTCTTGGTCCCGACGAACCAACCCCAGAGCCAGACTTTGATACCGCTCCCGTTCCATCAAATCCTGCTGATAACCATGAAGATAACTTAAGATTAATAGGAAAAGAAAAACCAGATACACCAGGAGAGATCGCTGGTTTCATGCCACGTAGAGTAGAATATGACTGCGAATACAGAGATTCGGCTGAACTACTTATTTGCGATTTAACGATAGATGAGAACACGACACCAACAGATTTCCAAGAAATGCTTAATAAATTACACGCTTACGATTCAGTTGTCGAAGAGCGTGAAAAAAGAATCAAAATTGCCATCGATTTTGGCCTAAACAAGAAAGAATACAGACCACAAATAGGCCCAAGTGATGAAGATCAAGAGGCCGCAGCTAAATTACTTCCGCTCGCTCCTTACATCGGAAAACAGAATGTTGAAGAATTACTTAAAATGATTAGTGACAAAATCAAATTCAATTCACTTATTAATACGCGTAATAAATGGCAGGCTCAAGGTGTACGTTCTCTTCAAGAAGGAAACCTGTTATACGAGCTTGAAAGATTAATTCAAAATGGAAAACTTCCTTCATCGGCTATAGACAAATGGAATGAAAGAATAGAAGAGTTTAAGAAGAATATTGATCCATCAGATACTCCTTTACTTGATAAAGTTGAAGCAGATCTTTGTAGAAAAGAGAAAATACCTAATCCCCTTTATTTGTCATTAAAAGATTTAGTTATTAGAGAGTTCGCAATCAGGGGATCTTTGTCTAGAAATGAATGTTGCGAACTCGACCCAAAGAACTCTGATTTCTTGGGTCAAATGTATGACTTGTATATTGATATTGGCTGGATTTGTGAATAAATTGTTATAAATTGTCATTGTAAAAATTACTACTCTATTTTATAATATATTATTTAATAGGACGCTTACACTCATCTGAAACAATGGCCAATTCAAGCAATTAGGGTTCATTTTCACTGATTTAATGGAAATATGCAATGTAATTTGATAAAATCACTTTCCCAAAGGACACATTGAATTCTTTTCAACATTATCCACCCTAAGACATGCGGATCAATTAAAGAGAGTATGATATGCTAAAAATTAATTCTCAATTTGTCCCAGTTATTTTTCGAAAGTCAAAAATGTTACTAAAGTTGATTGTCACATAAAACAAAGGTGTTTATCTAAAAATCTTGATGATTCAAATTTGAGAAAGTTTGTTTGAATTATGCGGCCTTTCTTTTCTGATGAGAATTACTCTCGCATACCCAGAAAACGGTACACAAGTTGTTGTTGATATTGATGATCCAGCTGCCCTCAACGCTCTCTACGAAAAGCGTGTCGGCCAAGATATCGAAGGCGAAAAGCTCGGTGGCCAATTCAAGGGCTATCTCTTCCGCATCGGTGGTGGCTTCGATAAGCAAGGCTTCCCAATGAAGCAGGGTGTTATCACACCACGCCGTATCCGCCTTCTCCTCAAGACAGGCGCATCCTGCTACCGCCCACGTAAGGATGGTGAGCGCAAGCGCAAGACAGTCCGTGGCTGCATCATTTCCGACGAAATCTCCGCCCTCCACTGCGTTGTTCTCCAGAAGGGTGAAAAGGAAATCGATGGTCTTACAACAACAGTCGTTCCACGCCGCTTCGGTCCAAAGCGTGCTTCTACACTCCGCGCCATGTTCGGCATTACAGATTCCAAGTTCGATGCTTCCAAGCTCGTTCTTAAGCGCGAAGTCAAACCAGGCAAATTCACATCTCCAAAGGTCCAGCGCCTTATCACAGCTCGCCGTGTTGCCCGCAAGAACCGTATGCTCAAGGAACGTAAGGAAAAGCGTGAGGCCACAAAGAAGAAGGCTGAGCAATACCAGGCTCTCCTCAAGCAGCAGCAGAAGCAGTAAAAAGTAAGTTGCTTGTTTGAAAATTTCTTATTATACATTTTTTATTTGAAACTTTCAATTAATATCTAATAATTTTTTTAGATTTTCATTTTTCTGTGATTTAATCAAATTTGTTATCAATGTTGTGTTGGATCCTTCCGAATCGTATGTGATATGTTTAACTTTACAATATAGATTCGAAATTATCTGAATATGAAAAATAATCTTAACTAAATAGGTTCTGATGGTTGAAGGGTATGATTTCTCATCATGTAAATGTCAAATATTATAATAATTTTCATCAAATTTTGTATTTTCCTAATAAAAATCTCTAAAAAATTGTAAATATAAACATTTAACATAACAAAATATAGCATTATTAAAATAAAGATCAGATTAATAAGCATTTTGACTGAAAGATGTGTTTTTAGCAGATTTCTCTGCTTTTCTACGAAGATTTTCAAGTCTTTCTCTAACATTAGCGACAACTTCATTTCTATATTCCATGTGTGAATCATTTAAGAAAGAAGAAGATTGAATAAAACTTGATTGCGCAGATGGCTGCGGCATTGGCATTGTCATTTCAGGATGTGCCTGCATAGGAAGATGGAGTATTCTTTCCGTCGCTCCAATCAATGTTGAGTTCAAATTAATCAATTCTCGAATCTTTTGATCGATTGAATCACTATATCCATCGAATATTATATCATTATCGTTATTGTTATAGTGTTGGAGTTCATCAACTAGAGATTCCAAGTCTCCAGAGATAACTTTTTCTTCATCATCAGTATCTTTAGTGAAAACAGATAAAGATTGCTCATGAAATGCAACCTGTTGTTGTTTTAGACGCTGTACACGCTTTGCAAGATACTCTTGTTCAACGTCTTGTTGATAAGAATAAGTTTCTAAATCTGAAAGAAGTTTTTTCTGCTGTAGAACCTTTTCTTTACTTGCTTCTGTGCCATCAAAATACGTAGAGTTCTGTTGAAGCACTTCTTTCTTCAAATCCATTAATAATGGAGTACATTTTGCAGAAAAGTCCTCAATTGTAGTATTTATTTGGTTATTTATTACAGAATATGGTTCTGTATTCTCTTTTTTGGTTTCTAAATGTGGAATTTGCTTGCTAATTTGAGCAAATTGTTCATTAATAATATTATTTAATTCTGTAAGAGAATCAGGTTGTGGTTGTGATGCTGATTCTTCTGTAACAATTCTTTTGATGTCCCCGTTTAAATCTGAAAGAAATGTCGAAATAATATTTTCATAAGAAGCTGCTTGATTGAGTTGGAATTTAAATTCGTCTAAGAATGAATGTGTCGCATCTTGTGACGCTCGCTCCAAATATGAAACTAAAGAATATTCGAAGGCTTCAATAGGAGACATTTGATTGTAGAGTTTAGAAGGAACTGGAGCAGGTGCGGGTGTAGTAGTTTGCCATTTCTGCTTGTTGTCAACTGGTTTTGGATCATTTACAGGTGAAATAGTAGTTTGTGGTTTCAATATTTCTTTCTTTTCTGAAATTATTTGTTTTGGTTGAGTATCTTGTATTTTTACTTCTGGTTTGATCTCTGGTGCTTTAGCCGCTGGTTTTAAATTGGATGTTTTCTTTGAATCGTCTGAAAATAGTAAGTCATCATTTCCAAACGGACTTGAAAGCGAATTTAACGAGTCTGCGACAGTATTTGTTTCCGTTCTTGGAGGTGCTGTGTCTATTGTAAATGGATCTGAATCCGAATCTGATGGTATTACACATTTAATTGGTTTTCGATTAATTTTTTTCTTTTCTAAATCAGATTTTTTTGGTATAGCATCAAAATCTATATCATCTGAGTCTATATTAAAAGCATCTATGTTTGAATCGTCCTCTGCAAGCATAGCAAGCAATTTTTCATCCATTTTTCTTTTCCGTCTAAAATTTTAAACGCAAAATTTTTAATCGTCATGATATGACAATTCACACCACTAATTGTAAAATCTTTGTCATTCAAAGAAAATTAGAATGAATAGTTTTTATCATCAACCAAGGTTTCATATGTGTTGTATTTAGGTGTAAATATCACAGCATTTAGAAGTTTTCACTTATTTCAGAATCCTTATGAGATTCGCTAAATTTTATGATGAAAGTGTAAGTAAAAGAGTCATGAAATCACTGTATTCCTAAAATAAGACTCCACAATTGCTTTAGTAATAAAACAAAGCAAATATTTTAAAAAATATCAATTATGTCGAATTTAAGACTTGAAATATAAAATATTTTAAAATAAAATGATACTATTATTGGCTTGAGCACAAAGTGAAATTAGAAGTTCACGTATTTCTCTTAAATTTTTCTTTTCTGAAATGCCAAGAGGTGTTTTATGGTTATTTGATTTTGCATTATATCTATTCCATGACATTGAAGTTGGTGATCAGCCTCGATATTGTTCTAGATACGCTTTTAATTTAATTTGAGATAATATTATCTTTAATAATTCTTTATTTATTATATTAATATATAAGATCAATTAATGTTCTTTTATAACACCTTTCAAATGCTCTATAACAAATTTAGTACGCACTGCTGCATCATCTTTATGAACGAGTATTGAAATAATCTGGGAATTTTCCATGAGGAGCAGGGCAATATTGCTTAACATTTTCAATAAGATAGGAATGATGAACAACTAAAGCGTATTTTGATGCATTATAGTTCATTGTAAATGTTCCTAATCTTTCATTGCGACGAGTCCAGTCTCTCGCGCAGTGTCGAACAAAAACATTATCTATTCCTTTTTGTGTAATAAATGGAATTTGATATTTCTCAAACATTCCTGTGAGAATAAAGTAATTGAATCCTCCTTGATCTGTGTACGAACCATCGGGAATAACAAATGATAAGTATAGCCAGTATGCATTTAGGAAAATCTCCGCTTTTCCTGCTGCGAAACCTGCGCAAATATAATAAAATTCATTATCTTTTTCAGTTAATTTATATCCATAACGCTTTATAAAATCTCTATTAAATGGACACTGTTTCAAAGTATAATGTTCATCGTAGAGCAATAAAGAATCTTCTCTGAAGTCTTCTATGAATGGATCCCCTTGGAAAAAAGTATCAAAACCATCTGATTTAATTACACGATTCAATTTGTGAATATTAAGTCTAACTAGCTCAGTCATAAACATATATGCACTGTGATAATAATTAGTACCCCCAGAAAAAGGTAATTTGCCGACATTGATTAATGTTACTCCACAACTCAGTATTAAATTCCTTGTATCATTTGTCATGGCAGAATTTGCTTCATCGTCAATAAAAAAGACAGCTGATGCGTTAGTACCTGTGTGTCTAAATGTTCTAGCTAGGCTTGCTAGATTTTTACAATTTTTAAATGCATAAGAAATAAAAAGATCGTCTGGTGTACTATTTGGTTTGTATTTTACAGGCTGAAAGTTGCAGGGAGGAAATGAAGCATTCATTTTGTATTGAAAATCAATATTATGGTTAATTCTTTGTTGGATATTCCACGGAAATTGGAAATAAAAGACTCTAATTTTGTATCTAGGATGTATCGTAAGAATTCCTTCCCTTGGAAGTGTAGTTCCTATCAGAAGCAGACATGTAAAAAGAAGTTCTACAACATATTCAAAGAATTTCATGAGTCAAGTCAGATTTTTTAAAAAAACTTATCAATACTCTGTTCTTTCATACATGAGTTATACATTCAATTTAAACAGTTTTTTCATAAATTATATTGAAGGATTATTATTTTCGTCTGGAAAAGTGACAAAATTATCATTTTCGTCTGACGAAAATGATAATTTTTTATTTTCATGGTCATGCTAAAAAGATAAATTGCAATGCGATTGCAATTCAATGATACCTACTTGAATTGCAATGTATCTATTAGGAAATTTTGGTGAAAATAAATTGAAATGTTTGAGTTTATGATTTTGACTTCGCTAATAAAAATTGACTCCAAATTCACAAAAAATGAAACAATTTGAAGTTGGAACAAGAATGATAATATGCACAAGGAGCTATTAAATAAAGTTGTGTATGGGTGGATTGCGCTTAAATTAAGAGAAATAGAGTTATAGTTCAATAATTCAGATGCCAGACGAATGTGATAATTTTGTCACTTTTTCCAGACAAAAATGATAATGCCCCAATTATATTTATATACCCAACTATTTAAATTTCCCTGAGATCATATATACCCTCAAATTTTTACTTTTTCAATTTCCTTGAGATCAAAAATTTGATTATAACCGAGTCAAATTATAGCATTTGTTCATCATAGTATTACCATTATAAAGGTTCTTTGATACCCTATACTTCCATATCAGTGTTGGTCTCTATTGTATTTCAAATAGTTCTATAATTTGAAAAAAAAATCTCCTTATTGAGTTGCAAAAGTATATACCGTCAAGGTGGGGGGTACAGTTCCCCCTATCGACGTTAAAATACAGAAAGTACACAAAATTTAAAACCACTTTTTCTGTATAATGAATTAGCATTAGTAGGCCAATGTATCTATGTAGTTAAATATAAGCATACATTCTGTGTTTGTTTTGGTGTTATTGAAGATCATTACATTAAATCTCATTATACATATGTTTTTCTTTTAATTTTCGATGTTAACTATTCCACTTACCAATATATTGTTTTCATTCAAATGCATCTTCATTCAAAATATTGAATAATCTTCATTTCATGATGTGCATATTATTTATTCGTATAACAGTGCATAATATTAGTATTAGACAAAATAAGACAAAATAAGAGTGAATTTCATTAATTACTTTTATTTTAAGTTTTTTATTTGTTCACTTAATACTTTTGAAAAAAAAATGATGTCTCAATTTGCGGTCACTTCATCTTATAATTTTTTCTCATTGAAAATTCAAAAATGTTCTCACTGCATGGATTGGCTTAATGTTAACATTGTTCTTAAAATAATACTTCATAATTGCGAAAGCAATAAAATATTTTAAAATCAAATGCTACATTTATTGGTTTTAGCGCCATGTGAAATTAGAAGTTCACGTATTTTTCTTAAATTTTTCTCTTCTGCAATACTGAGAGGTGTTTTGTGGTCTTTGGATTTTACATTAATATCAACTCCATGTGTTATAAGAATTTTCACTATATTAATTTTTTTCTAAATACTGCATGGTGAAGCGGAGTCCATCCATTTTTATCTTTTAAATTTATATATGTGCCTTGGGATAAAAGGAACTCGGTCATTTTTGCGCTATCGTATACCGCAGCATAATGAAGAGCAGTTTGTAAATAATTATCTTTTATGTTAATACTTGCGCCATGAGATATTAAAATTTTTGCTATCTTACATTTATTACGTTCGGCCGCAATCATCAAAGCAGTTTCCCCGTGTTTGTCTTTTGAATTAGAGAAATTACCATTAATAGCTACATGAAGAACAGTTTCTCCATCAAAATTTTGGAGAGAAATATTTGCGCCATGTGAAAGAAGAAATTTTACTAATATTACAATTTTGGACTGCAATATGAATTGGAGTATTTCCATTAAAATTTTTTGAATTGATATCTGCACCATGCAAAAGTAGTATCTCTATTACATCTATTTTGCAAATGTTTACGGCAAAATGATTTGGAAGATCTCCAGATATAGTATTTGCTCTATGAGAAATAAGAAATTCCACAATTTCTGTATTGTTGTTAAGAGAGACAATATGAAGAGGAGTTCTCGTCTTAGAATCTTCAGCTTCAATCTTGGCTGTTATTCTCTATGGCATAATGTAAAGCTGTTCTATCACGTTTTTCATCGATGTTAGCTCCATGAGATATTAAAAGCTTAGCTATGTTTTTTGAATTAGCTATTGCAGGATGCATTAGTACAGTCTTTCCAAAATAATCTTTTTCGTTGATATTTGCTCCAAGTGAAATAAGATATTGGCATAATGAAGGTATTTTAAAATATGGTGAAATGCAAAAGCAATAATTGATATCATGACTCATATCCAAATACATTAAAAACACTTGAAGATTATTGTACTTCCAGCAATAATCTAAATTAAATGCTATTTTATGTTCGTTATTTAAAAAAGAGACAAAGTCGATGTTATGAGATAAAATCGCATATTCCATAATTGTATGATTCAGAGCATGCACTTTCATACACTCGTTGATGATGTCTGGATTTCCGCTGCGAAATGAATACTTAAGACATATCGGAGTAATTTTTGAATCAAATTTTGTCCTTAATAACTTAAAACAATTAACAGCTCCATGAAAGCAACATAATTCAAGCAGAGTATATAAGGTGTATGAAGGATAAAATATATTTTTTAGAATTTGGTTTTCATCAAAGTTTGCTTGTTCAGTGAGTGCAATAAATGATTCTTTGTCATAATTCATAATTGCTTTGTAAATTGTGTTTTCTTCATGTATTTCTAAAGTAAAATTTTCAATTAGTAAAACGTAAAGCTCTTTAAGATGATTATCATCTGATGAAGTAAATATGTTTTTTATCTGCTTTAAATTGTACTCTTCGTAAATCTTTTTGAAAATTACTTTATAAGAGTTCCAATATCTACTTCTATATGTCATTAGCATGCATATTTGTTTGATTATGTATTGTGGTAAAAACATCTTAGTTTCAATCAAATTTTTTTTAATCATTTGATATATATTGTTCATTTCTTCTTCATTACTTGTGTTCAGTTTATATAATTTTTCAAAAGTATCGATGTAATCTTTGTGAGCTCTCATAAGTTGAATATATGCTTCTTGCATTGCAAAAAAAAGATGATGCTATAATGTCGTCTGAAAAAGTGGCAAAATTATCATTGTCGTCTGGAAAAGTGATAAAAAATGTTGGCAAAAAAATGATATTTGTTAAAAAGCTTTCGTATCTTTAAAAACTTGATTAACTTCGTATAATAATCCAAACGAAAACCATTTTTCTCGCAGAAATTCATAATTATAAAATTGGATTTTAGTAAATATCTTAATTAAACAGCATTATAAGACTCATATAACTCCCAGTTTATTGTGTAGTATATGGAAAAGTAGAAAAATGAAAATAAAAATTGTCAATAATTAAATTTTTAATTTATTTAATGATCAGTTTCGATTGATAGCGTACAGAGAAATGTAAACTATGATAGCTTTTCTATTTAGATTTTCTTTTGTTAATGCTGTTATTACTGGGGTGGGAATATAAACAGAATAAGTTGGAACCCAGCAATAATTATCCTTTTTATATTTATGACTTACCAAAACAAGATTGCAATAATAGTTAAGAAAGAATGAAAAATCTATTTTAGCACCATCATCATTTATCATTGATCCAGTATATACCATTGAGGATTTTTCAGTACCTGTAAAACCATTGAGATTGTCAAAAGAACTAAGAAAACAGTCTACATTATCATCAAACTCAATCATATCAAAGTAATTCCACATAAAAGCAGTAGCCGAAATATTCCAACCCTTTTTCATATTGATATTATTTATTTTCACATTGTAAAAGCAAAGATCATCGAATGTTATATTCATGCTGTAAATTGTCACGTCTATTTCAGTATATTGAATTAAATTTGAATACGTTGATCCTTGTTGAGTGAAAGCAGAAATACCAATGTAGTAAACAGTACTTGGAATAACTAAAGTTTGTAAGGCACAATTTTGGAAACAATATGAATCTAGTTTTTCAACTCCTTCTGGGATATATAAATTCACAATACTTGAATAAGCAAATGCATTTGATGAAATTTCTTTAATTCTAGATGGATTTGGGAAGCTCTGTATATTACAATAATAAAAGGATCCATATCCGATCTCCTCAACTGATTCTGGAATAGTTATAGAATTGAAATTTGCAAAATTAAAACATGAAGCTCCAATATATGTTACAGATTCTGGTATTATCAAATCACAATATATATTTGACACTTCAAATGCTCCTTCTTCAATTCTGGTCACAGTTGATGATATTGTAAAAGAATTCATTTCTGTTCCATAAAACGAATATGCAGGAATAATTGTAATATTTGTAAGATATAAATTAGTACCATAAAATCTATTACCATAAAATCTATTACCATAAAATCTATTACCATAAAATGCATATGTTCCTATATTATTTACATTAGGAATATCAAACTGAATTACAACACCATAAAAAGCAAAATTTTGAATTGATTTAATGTTATTTAAATTAATGTTTGATAAATTTGTGCATCCATAGAAGCAGCCACAGGGAATTTCTGTAATATGTTTATTTAAGGTAACATTAATAACTGAAGAAATCATGAATGCATATGGGCAAATTACTAATATCTCTTCATCAAATATATAATTTTTGATTGTTGAATCTCTCAAATATTGAAAGCTTCGTATTTCAGATGAATTTTCTGGGGTATGAAATATAACACTTGTCAATGCTATTATATCTGATACGGTAAACATCGGATAAGAAATGTTTAATGTAAGAGATTTGAACTCAATTGTTTTCAAATAATAGCAAGATGTAAATATTTGTTTTCCAAAATATTTACATGAAGATGGAAATATTGCTGTCTCGATGTATGAATATTGAAAACAAAAATCACCAAAACTCTCCACGTCATTTTCAAAAATAATTCTGTAGCTCAAATATGGTCATGATAATGAAGATTCGTTTAAGATTTTCAAATATGAGTCAGAAAAGCTGCTATCTGGAATATGAATTGATTTTATTTTCAATGTCAAATTTACATTATTCAACAAAGAATTCAAGTAAAAGGTTTTAACTGTACTGGGTATTGTAAAATTGGATATATTGGTATTGTAAAATGCATATTTGCCTATGTTTTCAATCCCTTCGTTTATAACTATTAATGATAATTCTGTATTATATGCAAAAGAATAATCATCAATACTTTTTGTTGAATTTGGAAGGATCACTTGTTTCAGATTGTTTCCACTAAAAGCACTAGTTCCAATATATTCAATACTGCTTGGTAAACTTAATGAAACTAAACCGCATTGGTAAAAGCAATATGAACCAATATCAGTAGTTGAATTTGGTATTGAAATATCTGTCAAAGCAGAACATTCGCGAAATAAATATGGATTTAAATTTGTTATTGTCTCTGGAATATTTATACTTTTATGATTCGTGCACTGATAAAACGTACCTTCTCCTAATCTAGTTATTGATTCCGGTAAATAAATAGTTTCGAGACTTGAACAGCACAGAAAAGCATATTTTTCAATGAACTTAATATTTTGTGATAATTTAATATTTTTTAAACCGGAGCAATATGAAAATGCATAAGGTCCAACTTCTTCTATATTTTCTCCAATTGTAACATTCTCAATGTTGATGCAGTAGTTAAAACAAAGTAATGGAATCCTGCTCATGGTTCCTGCAATAAATACATTAAATAAACTAGTGTTTTGTCTGAATGCACTGAATAATCTATCTCCACTTATATAAAATGTTTGGTTTTCGCTCAGATATGTTACTTCCATTAAGGCAAAATGAATTGGATACCTTTGAATTTTGATAAAAAATGAGAGTAATTGGTGAGTGGGTATCAACATTTATAATCATGTATTTATGCCTAAAATGAATTGATTGAACCCCAACATTGAGAATATTTTACAAAGGTTTTTTATTTCTTTTGTCAACAAAATATATTCATGGTCAATTATATTTTTTAATATAAAAATTTGAAATTTATAAAATTGAATAAAACCGTATAATTGAAAATATTGAAAAAATGTAATTCAATACTTCGCAATCAATTCAAATTTTGGATTGAGATCATTTCTAATCATACATAGCCATATAATAATATATAATAATAGAAATAATTAAATTAAGATTCAATGCCTTAAATAAATTTTTATAATTGTTCACTTAATCCATTTAAAAAAAATTTAAAGTTAATTAATGAAAAGCTGAATGTTTACTTTATGCGACGTTGATTAATCCATCTGCTGATTCTGTGTTAGTTAACAGAGGGATACTTGATGTTGCAAGGCTGCCATATTTACGCTTGCGGCGGATTAACATGACAACAACAATTGTTGAGATTACGACGACAATGAAGACTGCAACTCCTGAGATAATTGCAATCTTTGTCTTATTGTCTTTGCTGTTATCTCCTCCACCACCACTGGTAACGCAGACATCGCTTTGTTGAACACTGACTCCAGCGAACTTATCTTTCTTGAATTGATCAGAAATGTAAACAATTGTAACATTTGATCCTGAAAGAAGTTCATCATCTACATTAGTTTCATTTCCGCAATAATAGAACTGCACGAGTTTCTGGTTATCGCTGAATGACTTCTTTCCAAATGTTGAATGGTTACTTGAGATAACAACTTTCTCAAGTTGAGAACATTTAGAAAATGCGAAATCTCCGAAGCATGATTCTGGAGATTTGATTGAAAGCTCTTTGAGATTTGTGTTGAAGAATGAGTAATTTCCAAATACAGCGACTTTGGAAATGAATTCTCCATCTTTGAGATTCTGGCATCCTTCGAAACAATTATCAGGAATTACTGATATGTTATAGAGTTCGAAGTTTTGAAGCTTCGTGCAGTTAGCGAAAGAAGCCCTGTCAAGAGCGACAATTCCCTTTGATTTGACTGTCTCCAAGGCATAGTTGTCATGGAAGACAAATGGTCCAACATTCAATGTGTTTCCTTCAGCATTGAATGATGCCATGTTGACGCAAGAGCAGAATGCGTGGTTTGCAATTTCGATTTCGCCTTCACCGGAAACTGTGAATTCCTTCATGTTCTTAACGCCTTTGAATGATGAATCACCAATGACTTTAACTTTGCCATTGATTGTAACTTTTTCGATGGATTCGACATTCAAGAAAGCTGATTCATCGATGATCAAATCATCACCATTTAAGATGAGATCTTTGAAGATGTTTGTTCCTTCGAAAGCGTTCTTTCCGATTCTCTTAACATTGCCATTGATTTCTAATGTCTTAATTTGCTGGCAATTCTGGAAAGAGTTGTCATCAAATGTGATATCATTTGATTTGATTCTGATTGTGTTGATAACTGTATTCTTTGATAAGAATCCAGCCTCGAAAACAACCTTGTCAGAAACAAATGAAATCTCTGTCAATGACTGTAAGTTTGCCAATAAACCACTTGGCAAAACATTCTTTCCGTACTTGCAAGAAATGAATGTCAACTTTGTCAATGGGCATGATTCAAAAGGAGACTTTTCTAAGTGATAATAGATGATTGGCATCTTAACTTCACTTAGTTTGTCACATCCGTAGAAACTGTCACAAGCAATTGTCATTACGTAATCAGGAATTTCAATTGATGTGAATGGGCAGAAAGCGAAGCATCTGGATTGAAGTTCATCGAAATTACTTGTTGGGAATGTGAATTTGGATAAACTCGTGCATCCTTCGAATATTGATGTTGTCAATTTGACAATGGAAATTGAGTTTGGATACTTAAACTCTGTCAATGATGTGCAGTTTCTGAAAACAAACTTTCCAATTGACTTGAGTTTGTTGTCAGGAATAGAAACTGATTTAAGTTTGTAGCAGTTCTGGAATACGCAATCTTCAATGCCCATGATGTTTGCTGGGATGTTGATCTGTTCTAAGTTGTGGCAATCGCAGAATGAATTCTCTTTGATGAAAAGAATTGAATCTGGTAAATGAACGTTTGTCAAACTTGTGCATCCTTCGAAACAATGTGTGCCAAAGACTTCGAGTTTGTTGGAAATGACAATCTCTTGGAGTTTCTCGCAATTGAAGAAAGCGTATGAGCATAATGATGTCAAATCTTTCTTGAATGTGATTTTAGTTAATTTGACACAATTCATGAAATAGTAGAAAGAAAGTTCTTCACATGGGAATTCAAATGTTTCCAATGAAGCGCAGTTATAGAAAACAGAGTGGCTTGTTGTGTTGACACTAGCTGGTAATCCTGGGATGTTCAAAACTTAGCAGTTCTTGAAAGCTTCGGATCCAACTTCATATGTTTTGTCAGAAAATGTAACTTTCTGTAATTTTGCGCAATCCATGAAAACTTGGCTTGAAACAACTAAAACATTGGCTGGGAAAGCGAATTCAACGATTGACTCGCATCCTTTGAATGTACCACAGCCAATTGTTGTTACTGTTGATGGCAATGTTGTTAAAACAAAGTTCTTGAGTGTGGAGAAAGCGAAATCTCCAACAGAAACTAATCCTTCTTCAATGATTGTGTTTGGATCGAAGTTCTGGCAGTTATAGAATGCATAAGCACCAATGGATTTGATTGTCTGCTGATGGATTAACTTCTGGAGATTTGTGCAGTTGAAGAAAGCGTAATCTGGAATGGAATCCAATGGCCAGAAAGTGATCTTGATTGGTTGGCAGTTGTAGAATGCTCTGTAACCAATTTTTGTTATAGATTCTGGAAGAACAGAAATATCTAACAAAACGCAACCTTCAAATGCACTGTCACCGATGGTTGTGAGTGTACTTGAGTATGATGCGTATGTTAATTTGGCGCAATTCATGAAAAGTTTGGCTGGAATCTCTTTGACAGAGTCTGGCAAATTAAATGTTTCAAATGAGCATCCGTAGAAAGCGCCAGTGCCGATTGTTGTAACAGTCTCTGGAACTGTTTCGAGATTAAGAGCAACGCAATTCTCAAAAGCATAGTCGCCAATAGAAACAATCTTTGTATTGAAAGTGACTGTAGCAAGAGTTGCACCATTACTGAAGATGCGTTCTGGAACTACTGTAACTTCGGATGGGAATGTAAAGATTGTAATCTTTGGGCAGTTTGAAAATGCTGATTTGCCAAGACTTGTAACGGAGTTTGGAACTTCAGAGATAACTAATTTGAGGCATCCATCAAAGCAGAAGTCTCCGATGGAAGTAAGTTCTTCGTGAAGAGTAATTGATTCAAGATTTGCACAATTTTTGAAAACTCCATTTGGAAGAGCTTTGATGCTTGATGGCAATGTAAATTTGGCAATTTGACTGCATCCGGCAAAAACATACTCTCCAATCTCTGTTATTGTTGCTGGCAATGTTTCGATGGCCAGTTTTTGGCAGTTTTGGAAGCATTTGTCATGGATAGTAGTTAAGGCACTTGGAAAATCAACTTTGGCTAAATTTACACAGTTCTGGAAAGCAGAAATATTGAAAGATTTGATTGGAGCTGAGATTGAAACTGTTGTTAATTTGGAGAAACCCTTGAATGCTTCATCTCCAATGACATCTACTTGATCTTTGATGGTGATTGTCTCTGCAACACCTCTATAGATGATAACATCGTCTTTATCTACACTTCCATCACCAAAGACTGTTAATGCATGTGATGTTGCATCATAAGAAATATTTGCTGAGTTTAATGCAACGTTATTGCGAAGCAATATAGATGCAAAAACGCTGGAGCGAAACATTTTTTTGAACTTTTGATTTAAATATGCCACTATTGATTTTGTTGAAAATAGAATGTGTTTAATATGTAGATTAATATTTTCATATCAAAAGACCTGATCTCAAATTTTGCTACTTTCAAAAATGGCAATTTCTTACATGAATCTGGAATTTTAGCTTATCGACTTGATAATTGTTTTATCTGTTAGTCATATAATTAATTGCCACCAAGTCAGTAATGAAAAAATCAATGACTCAAACATCAAATTCTTTCGAAGACGATGATATCTAGAAATCTAATAGTCAGAGTTGACGCTGGAACAAACTTAGCTCAAAATTTAATAAGTAACCTCAAAAAATTCACATTTTTTAAAAATAATGATGAAAACCATAATAAGATTTTTACTCCATGATAATCGCACTGAACTTTCCATGGTCAATGCCTTCTTTTGCATCGCATTTAATATAATCCCAAGCATCATTGTCAGAATTTGAAATTAAATTATTATCGCAATCCATAAACCTTATATTTTTAAGTTTAGGATTGATCTTAAGTAAATATTCGTTAAGTTCTTCAAATGTATATCGAGTGGGAACTGATAGGTATAAGAACCAGTCGCATTTCAAAATTCCAAGATAAATTCTAACGCATTCTTCCTCAAAAGAAATTATTTCATCTAATTTAAGTGCAGTGATCTCGCAAAATTCTTGATCGCAAGTATCTATAAATTTAATGAATTCGTCCTTTCGTCCAAAATGATTAACAAACATATCTTTGACATCGGCATCTGTTCTTATCCAAACTTTGTGATCTGCAAGTTCAAACGCGAACTTATCAGGAAAATCGGCTTGAGATTGAAGTAAAATTTGATATAACTTTTGAAAGTTCACGTCTGTTTGAAGAGTTCTATTAAATCTAGATTTACCCATTCTAAAGTTTGCTGTTTCAGGAATTGCAATTTTTGCTTTTTCTTCTCCAGATAAGTTGCGAAGTGTTTCTTGTAAATTTGCATTATCTTTCTCTTCTTGTTTTATACGATCTTCAATTAATGCCAGTGCTTCATTACTATTTGTTATCATTTACGAAAAAGCGAAATGAAAATTTGCGATTTCTTATTGATTTCATCACATTTTCTTTAAGAATCATGAGTATATCTATGAGAAAAAATATTAATGATAGGACTTTTCAAACTGGGATTTGAAATCTGTCACGTTCTGATCAATCAAAATTCAGATCGGGATCTGAAAAAACGATATAACAATATAATCTGAACCATTTTCTTGCTTTTGTTGTTTCAATTGAAAAATTAATCGGCTTTCAAACAATTTTCTAAGTCAACTTTATGGATAAATCTAACAAAAGAAAACTTTTGATGCAAAGTAAGTAGAAAAATTAATAGTATCACATGGTAATGAATTCAAAAACAGTCTCCTGTGATTATCATATGATATCACAAAAAATGTGATAATTTAAGTGTTTTTGACTCATGATATACATTGTATAAGAAGAAATAATACAGTAATATGTATGAATATAGATTAGTGTATGTTTTCACTGTCATAATGCTGTATTTAAACAAACCTATCACTATGAAAAAAAATTACATAAAAATTGATAAAAAGTATGAAGCTGAGCTTTAACTAGGATTTCTTAGAACAACACAAATGTTTTTCAACAAAATATTAATTGCTTCAATGCATTGAAGAGCGTACAATTTGTATCATCATTCATGTTATCTATTAAGATAATTGAGTAATGCAAGAAAAGCAAGAATAACTATAAGCAATTATTTCTTCAATGAAGGTTCAGCATAAGATTCGTGAATATTGATTTCTGAGTGTTGTATAGAGTACCAAAGATGTCTTCCATAATTTCTTTAGGTCTGTCCACAGGGTAAAGGTTTTTTCTAACTTGATAAGCCCTAAATTTCTGTATTAATGGCGAGCTTTCCAAGTTCTAACACCATTTCAATTCATTATTAAAATCTAACTATTGCTTTGCAAACCTAATGTTATAAATCATCATGATGATAACTAATATGGTTGTCAAAGCATTAATGAAGTGAAGTCTTTCTATGAAAAGAAATCATTAAAAAATAATTAGGATAAATAAAAAAAAATAAAAGTTTAAAATCAATTGGGGAAAAGCTGTTTCAAGTTTGCTAATAAATTGGATTCACCCAACTCACGCAATGCTTCAGAGAATGATTCAACAATTCTTCCATCATCAATCTTTTTCTCTTTGATGAACAATATATTAGAAACCATTTTTGGTGGATTTGAAGTGAAAAGAATGTATTTCATGGCGCCTCTAATTGTGTCTTCATTAGTTTTAGAAATGATGTCTTGGACAATGAACTTAAACTGAGTAACTTTCTCAATAGCAGTCAAATTCGCATTGAAAACGTCGAAAATCAAAGAATTGAGAGAACTAACTTCGGATTTATCAATGTTACCTGTTCCAAACTTCTCTTGGATGTTTTGTCTTTGAATAAAAAGTGAAAACGCCTGATCATAAATTAACAAGTGATTCTTCTTGGAAACAAACTCAAGGTACTTCTGGTTGTTATCATTGGATTTCTCACGTGGTATTAATATACGTTCTGTAATTTGTTTCACGTATTTCTGGGCATTGATCAAAATCTGGGTATTTGTGTTCAATTCTGACTCGATGTCATTGTAGAGGTTGGAAATAGCATCGATGTTGTATTGATCTCCTAAAGTATTCAATATTTTCGTCGAATTTTTAATTCTCTCGCAAACATCTGATTCTTTAGCGCTAAATGGGTCATTTGTTGTGCAAGCAATATCATTAATGATATTAATGAGGTTGAATCTTGGAACTTTTGGTTGAATTCCTTTAATATAAGTTTGTTCGTCAGAATAATGAGGGAAGAAAGGAAGAATGTCAAAGATAGCAATAACGGTCTTGTCGAACTCTGATCTCTCTTGATTTGTGGCTCTTTGGGTTATTGTCGTTGTATCTACGAAAGGAACAGGATTCAAGAAGGTGTTTCCCTGGGGGAAGATTTTGTTAAGGTCTGAAAAGACATGTTCGGCTATTTTTCGGATGTTTTCTTGGTTATTTGGTTGTAATCCGTATAACTCGGGATATTCTGTGATCAAATCAATTAACTTGTTAACGACATTTTGATCGTTGAAGTAATCCTTCATGAAAGATGGTAAAAGGTTAAGATGTCTGATTGCATCATTAAAAATGTTGATACGGATAATATTGATCTCATCTGTTGAAAACTTAGTGAAATTGGAAAGTTTCTTCATCAGTGGCTTTGAAAAAATCTTCTGAATGAAATAAGTAAATTGCGGGGAAATAAGAACTACAGGGCATTCGGGCTTTTCTGGAGAGTTTTTGTATGTTTCAATTTCTTTTGTAAACACCCAATACTTGTAAGTTTCAGGATCATGTTCTTGTTTTTTGAGCAATTTCTCCAGAGCTTTTTCTTTTTTATTATGGTTATTTATGATTTTAAATGCTTTTTCGTAGTATTCCTTAAATTGCTTAAAATCGTTTTGTAGGGATAACTTGAATTTAAGATCTTCCATGAACTGTTTAGATGCACGGTGAGCAAGAAATAGTTTCTCAAATATCTGCATGTCAGTATATGATATTTCTGGAAGTGGAACCCCCACCTGATTATCTTGATTCATTGTTTTTTTGGAAAAATTATAAAAAAAATAAATTTGAATTAAAAATTCCAGGATAAATAAATTAAAGTTAAATATTGTATAATATCAAATTGGAATAGCAAAATATTTTTTGGGATAAATTTTCCAACTAAAATTCGTCTATTATTCTTTCCGTCAATAATATCAACAACCTCATTTAATTAGTTCATTAAAATAGTCAATTGGTGCTTAGGAGATTTCGACGAAAGTCAAGCTTAAATGCTTCATTTTGATTTTTCAAACTTGCGAAATCGCTTGAATCTTGATGTTATTCAAGAGTATGTAATATGTAAAAGCTAATTAAAACTGTCTTATTTGAATTAATTTATGACAAAATATGAAAAGTGAACAGTCAGTTTTCTGTCAGCCAAACTTTTTGTTTTCATATTTTTAAAAAGATGGGTTTTGATATTCTTAAGTCAATCAGACCTGTTCTAGAACTTATGCCAAACGTTCCACGTCCAAACAAGAAGGTCCCAATCCGCAAGCGTCTTTTCTATACATTCGCTTCTTTGGCCGTATATTTGATCTGCACACTTGTTCCACTTTATGGCGTACAAAAGACAGCAGGTGATGACCCAATGCAACACCTCCGTATCCTTACAGCTTCTTCTAAGTACTCTCTTATGGAATTCGGTATTTCCCCAATCGTTACATCAGGTATGATCCTTCAGTTCCTCTGCTCATTCGGTCTCATCAACAGAAACCCATCTGATCCAGAAGCATCCGCTCTTTTCGATGCTGCTCAGAAATTAGCCGGTATCATTATGACAGCTTTCCAGGCTGGTAATGCTATCTGGTCCGGCGAATACGGTATCCGTGGCGAAATCGGCTTCGTCAATGCTGCTCTTATCATGACACAACTTGTTTCATCCGCTATTGTTGTCATTCTTCTTGATGAACTTTGCCAGAACGGCTATGGTATCGGCTCCGGCATTTCCCTCTTCATTTGCACAAACATCTGCGAAATGATCATGTGGAGACTCTTCTCATTCAACCATTACTCTATGGGCCGCGGAACAGAGTACGAAGGCCTTGTCATTGCTTTCTTCCACTACCTCTTCACACGCAAGAACAAGCTACGCGCACTCCGTGACATCGTTTTCCGCCCACAATTACCAAATCTTTGCCAATTATTCTCAACAGTCATTGTTTTCGGTGCCTGCATCTACTTCGACCAGATCAAGATCAACGTTGGCCTCGAAACAACAGTCAACCGTGCCCGTCCAGAGCCATTCGAGATCAAGTTGTTCTATTGCTCCAACACACCACTTATCATCCAGTCTACAATCCTTTCCCAGCTCGCTGGCTTCTCCCGCACCATCTACTTCCACTGGCCAGAGTCTCTTGCCACACAAATCTTCGGTGTCTGGCGTTCACACAACGGAATGTCCTATGACTACTCCACACCAGTTTCCGGCCTTATCTACTACTTGACAGCACCACAGTCAATCCAGCAAACAATCCACGACCCACTTCATACAATTATTTACCTCATTTTCTCTCTTTCATCCGCCGGCTTCATCTCATACTACTACCTTAGATTCTCCAACCAGGCACCAGCTGATGTCGCTGAAGCCCTCAAGAAGCAGCACCTTACACTCAAGGGACACAGAGAAGACCAGAAGAGACTCGAGAAGACACTTTCTCGCTACATCCCAACAGCTGCAGCTCTCGGTGGTATCCTTGTCGCTCTCCTCTCATTCGTCGCTGACTTCTTGTCCGCATTCGGATCTGGAACAGGTATCATCCTCGCTGTTTCTATCATCAACCAGTTCACTGCTGAACTCTCCAAGGAAATGGCTGGTGACGGACTCATCGGTATCCTCAAGAACGCCGCTGGTGCGCGCTAAGAGTTATATATTATTTATTTTATATTATTTCTTAAATAAATCAAACACAACACATCAATTTACTTTTACTTTGTTTTTCTATCTTCATAATTAAGAAGTCTATAAACTTGTGGTTTTAATTGATGCTTCTTAATTCACTGTAATTGTTTGTTAGCATTTTATAGACATTCTAATCTTTAATTTAATATGTTACTTGATATTATCAACAATTTTAACCGAATAAACCATGATTATATAAGCCATCAATGTTATATATACATATATAAAAGATTAATATTAACTCATTTAACAAAAATAATCTGACTTGACGTGTTCAGAAATGGCTTCGTATCCATTCTTTTCCGGCGAAAAGGAAAAGTAGTGATATATTTTTTTGAACCAATTCAGAATAGATTCTTGTTTGCTTTCTTCAAGATATAAATATTGCTTTTTTCGCATTAATTCTTTTCCATTATCTGTCTGGTATTCTAATGCAATATCCATGAATTGCAATGTTGCTATGTTTTCAGTAGTCAATTCGTAAAAAAATCTATCGCCTTTGTGAAAAATAACTGAGTTATCCAAATATTTTTGTAGAATAGGGTAACTATTCATTATATAGTCATTCGGATTAATTGTGTCAATGTCTAAATTTTTGCAGATAATTCTATTGAAGTGAATATCTTGATTATGATTTTGCCTCCTGCAAAAAATATCAAGAATATCAGTGTAACTTTTGGCATTATCAACTTTCAATAAAACAATTATTTCCCCGTAGTGATCTTCAATATTTTTGAAACGTGGACGACCAATTATCATAGAATTTATGCTTGCATTAACATCTACATTAACAGCATAACATAGTACTTCTGGCATGATTAGAGTATATCCTGGAAAGAAAGAATCTATTCTTCGCTCTTTGAGATAATTCAAATAAAGATGGCTAACATGCGGATTATGTAATTTGATATATGGATGAGGATAATGAATTATATCATTTGATTGAGTATTATTTTCCATTAATAAAAATTTTTCACTCATGATATTTGATTTTTTAAAAAAAAGTGTCAGAAAATATCTTTTCAATTCAAAATGTTGTAATTATAAAATTTTCGAAAAACGTACCATTTTTGAATGAAATATCGATTACAATATCGATTTTTATTCAAAAAATGCTCACCTTTTGAGTCGATACAAAAAGCAGACTTTTTTTTGTATTTCTTTACAGGACATAATATTTGACGTCCAATGTTTGCCTATGATCAGAACTTGTCTTTCTCTGGTCTAGACATTTATCACATCAAATATCATATTTGATTATTTACAATTGTTTAAAAAATTTTACTAGTGCAAGCATAATATTCTGTGCAAAGTACAATTTCAATATGTTAATCTATAAAACTTGATTTTTATTGCATATGCAATTTAGCATCTTTTTTATTATAGAGTTTTGAAGATAAGCATATATTGGAATGATATTTACTTGTTATTGTAAGTACATTTATTGTTATGAATTTACTCAATTATTTTAGATGTTGAAATACCATTATATAAAAAACAGTGTTTATTCATTATAGAGTAGTGAGGTTTACAAATCCCAATTCAATACACAGAGGTTTACATTTTATATTGAGGGACCCTCACTACTGAGATTTTGGGAGCACTATATATTTTGTCTTAATTCTATCGGCGCTTCAATGATATTAATCACAAAAGTTATGTGACAAAGACCTAAATAAAAGGCAATATTGAGAAAGTAATAAATTATTTTTATCCAAGCTTTGGTGGAAGAATTTGTTCAATACTTGGATAAGATTGCAGATTTATTTTTAAAGCAACAAATATCAAGACCTTCTCCTGATTTAGATCGTCTTGATAATTTGTATAAAGAAGACAATTCATACGAATATATAGAACCAATTTTTACTTTTTACAAAAATCAATATACTTTGCAAAGCGGCTTAAGGATCTTGAAACATTACTCAGAAGAATTATGGCCACAAATATCTTTTGAAATACAACAAACAATTTATGACTTGGCAGTTAGAAATCTTGATAATCCGAAGATATACGGTGCATCATACTCAATGTTATGTTGTTATATTGTACTTATGATTGTCAGATTTCCAGAAGAAATCAGAAAACAATACTTTGACTATTTTTTTCAAGAAAGGAAAGATCTTACTATTCTAAACGAATTTACTCTCCTTTTGACAGACAACCAATTCGAATACAATCGTCAAGAACTCAAAAATTATATATTTCAAAATTTTCACAATTTTTTACCAGTAATTGAAGATAAACACGAAAGGCCCATTGCACTTGAAACTCTTCAGAATCTAGTTCCTTTACTTTCAAGCCAAAATTTTGAAGAATTTCATATAGCAGAGTTAATATCGAAATTTTTTGATGAATTTTATGTTCTCATTCCACAAATTACGACCAAAATGACAATCTCAGTTGATGATATCAATAATTTTATCCAAAAATATATAACAAGTGATCCAGATGAAGAAAATTTTGATTTCGAGAATTTCGTTATGGTTTACTTTGACCACATTACAGAAGATAATTTACAACTAGTTAACGAACGATTTCTTGAAGATTTTGGCAATTTTTTGAATTATTGGGAATTTTTTGCTTTACGCATTTACCAAGCATTTATTGCCGGACAATTAGATAATAAAGAGAATATATCAACTCTTCTTGTTAGTATTGCGTATAATGTGGTTCGAAATATCCCTCCTCCGCCTGATTGTTTTTATGATGGAACTGCAATTCAATATCAGCTCAGTTTGAACGAACAAGAGTTCATGAAATTGAGAAGGATATGGATAGTGTTGAACACAATTGACTCAGATCTTGTCAATGAGACTATAAAAGAACTTTTTGAAGAATTTCCTGAAAATCCAGAAAATTCATCGGTTCTTGAATCATTTATATTTTGTACTGCATTATGTGATGGCATTGATGATGAATTTGGCCCAATAGTCTTTGATTTTGTTGATGAAATTTATTCTCATCAGGAAGTACCTGAATATTGTCATAGTATATTCTTATATATGGTTAAGACATTTATAGAATGCAAGATCATCACATCAAATTATTTCCCAGACATTATAAATTTGGCATTAAAATTTGTTTCTTCAAAAACTGTTGGGAAACAAGCTACAGAACTACTATATCCCATATCAAAGAAAGAACCTGAGATTATGACAGATAAAATTGATCTCAGCCAATTATTAGCAAATTTATTTAATTCTGATATTTTGATTCAGCTTTCGCAAATGTTGTGTATCAATAGCGAAACATTGCTTAATGGGTTGAAATATATCATTTCCCAAATCTGGGCTGAAGTTAATGCAAATCCTCTGCAAAATTTTGAAAATTTCAGAAAAATATTATGTATTTTAATAGGTTTATCAAGAGAAAATGTTGATTTTGCCAAAGAATTCGTTGTATCCAACCTCAATTCGCTCACAGAGATCAGCAAACAGTATATTGACTTCATTTTAGAGCAAATCAACACAAAAGACATAAATTTTAAGAAGGATCCGGATTTTCTATTAGTCAATGAAATATTGAACTTAGAATTAACTATTTTGGATGAACTTCATTTTTATCAAAATTTAAATTTGTTTTCAGAGCTTGAAAAGATGCCAACAGTGTTCCGCCCTTACAAAGTATATGATCTGATTAATCACATTTTCGAAATATCTTCGGAAATTGATTTAATTTCATATTTACTTCAAAATTTCATTTACGAAGCCAACAAAAAGATGATTAATTCAGAGATTTGGTATAGTAGAGATGTGGATTGCGCGTTCCGTGCCTTAACAACTATTTTCCAGAAACATTTTGAATTATTAAGTCAAGATGATGAAAATTTTTTAGTTATTATGCTAGACAAAAAGGAAACTGGCATTCGAGATATGATAATTGATGACTTTTTTGTTGTAATTTCCAATTTTTCATCTGATAATTTTGAATTTATGATTGAATTTTCAAAGAAAATCATAATATCAATAATCAAAACCATTTGTGATGATGATGATTATTTTTCTGAAAAGGATTTCGACAGATTTTCTGAGATATTTTTTAATATTTTTTCACAAATTGAGGATAGAGAGCCAATAATTGCACAATTAAAAGCAGAACTCTCTGGACAGTTAATAACATGCACTGATGATGTTTATAGTATCATTGACAAATTTTTACATCAATCGAATTCAGCTGCAGAATTTAAAGAATGCCTTATACAAGTCAGAGCTGATTCGAAGAACCAAAACATTGAAGAGATAAAGCTTCAATTCCAGATAGAATCAGCCCGAGATGATCCTTCATTTTTATAATTTTTTTGTTTATATATAAATCATATTCATGTTAATATATTGTTTCGTTTCATTATTCATTTTTTAGGGTTCACTTACGCCCATCTGACAAAGAGTGTGAAGAATAATTAGAGATAAGTTGTTTAGTCTGAATTCATTGAGAAATGATTCAATTTTATAGGGTTCACTTACGCACTTAGAAATATAAGTGAAGAATAATTAGAAATTAATATTAAACCACATAATTGAAGTTTATGTCATACCAGTAGAAGTGCATCCATAATCAACCGAAGTCTGTAATACGCAATGCTTGCGTGCACACAAATTATTTATTGGCTTGATTTCAATATATTGTCTATTAGCCCGTATACTTGTTGAAACAATATATCTTTTTTCATTCATCGAAAAAAATTAGTGCTTAGGAACGTTTTTCCTTCCTGCAATGTAATCGAAAGAACATTGGAGGGATATATATGGTTAACATATAGCTTTGCAACAAGTTCATTTCCATACAATTTTTAATTGATGCAAAATGAAGAATGGAATTACCATAATTTCATTGATATTTGCACAATATGTATTAAAAAAGCTCAACTATTTCTTTATCATCTCTCTGCCACCAAATAACAAACTATCATTTGATCAAAATAAAAAAGAATAAAGATTTTAAATAATCCAACAATTTAATAAATTGATCTTTTTTCCACGGTACGCAGTCTATTTGAAAACCAGTAAACGGATCCTACTTTCAAGTACATTTTCATTAGGAATGTTATGGTTTAGTCAAAAAAAATGCGCTTGCCAGTGAACCGTTTATTTATTTTGAATACCATAATAAGTTGTGACATAACAACAATTTTTAAAGAAGTTAGTTGAATCTGACAATTTGCGCAGAGGTAGAGCAACGATAGAAAATTTTTGGAAAAAAAGTTCGGAGATCTTAAACGTATCATATTCCCTGCATGGTTTGGTATCTTCCGCCATGCGTTGTGCCAAACATATTGACACTTTCCAATAATTAATTTATGGTATGAGTCACAGAGTTAGATTATAAAAAGAAAGTAAATAATTGCAATTAGAAATCATATATGTCGGAAATCAAATGTTGATGAGCAGAAACCTTTTACTCATCATAAAAGAGATAAATCACTAAAGATTTGTATACATTAAAATTTGATATTTGGTGCTCGAAAACTGTCTGATGGGACTCCTCCAAAATGAACCAATCTATCGCTGAGGACCAAATTAGATGATGTGGATGGTGTATTCTCTAATTCTAACTTAGGAAGAATGGGAACAAAACGAATGACGACAACAACATGTCAAACATAGATTAAATATCTATGAATCAATAAAGTATACGTGCATTGAAGGTGATAACGATCACTTGAGGCTTATAACTCTTTGACTAAATTATGCAATAATTAAATATAATCATTTTTATATTTTTATACTGATAGTAATTAATATACTATCCTGCTTAATAAATGGTATGATCAAATTTGTTTGAAAATTTAATTATGTATATGAAACTATGTCTTCTATATAAAAATCAAAATTTTCGGACGAACCTAGATTGAACCTTTATGAAAATCTATCATTTTTGTTAATTGAGTTAATATGAATCTTTTACATATGTATATATAGCATTGATAGCTTATATAATCATGGTTTATTCCATATTAACATATTTTTTCAGTTAAATTTGTTAATAATATCATGTAACAAATTAATTGGCAAACCCAAATTTTAGCTAAAAGTGACAGGGGGAAAAAAACGTTTAGTATTAAAAAAAGACCGATGAGAGCTTCGTTCGAAATATAGAGGGAACTGAGAATGCGCAACCATTCTCAGGGAATATTGGATGCTATTCCCGTTCCCTCTGTATGGAAAATTGAGATTTTCAAAGGGAGTTAAAATAATATCAAATTTATACTAATTTACTTCAAAATACAAAAGTATTTGACAGCTAAAATTAGTTACTTTAGCAACCCTATCAATACCCTTTTACGATTATTGCTACTTTTTCGAAATAAAATAAATTTATTATCAAAAACCTTTTTTTTTCTTAGTAAAAATAAACGAAATTTTTTACCTTATGAACTTTTGATGGAAATATGCAAATTTAAAATAATAAAGAAAGCCGCGAGCGAAGCGATCGGCTTAGTTCGAAGATTTTGATTCAAATCTTTGCTGATCTGTAATTCGCGGAAGCCGCGAGCGAATCGAGCGGCTTAGGTCTAAGATTTTGATTCAAATCTTTGCTTATATTCCTTAAATTCTTTATGAAACTCGCAACAGTTCCATAAAAAATTTTAAATTCTAAACTGTCGAAATTACCGATCGGTAATCACACCCTTCATGGGTGTGTCACTTTTTACAGGCGTGTCACTTTTAGCTAAAATTACCCCTGCTCCAAATTAATTCAAGATTAGAATGTCTACAAAATGCTAACAAATAAGAACAAAATACGATTTCTCGACTTAAATTTTAATATGGAGTAGTTTTTCGTTTAAATCTAATTAAAAATGAATAAAAACTTATCTTGTACTATTTTCATTCAAAGATTTTAATAATGTAAATCATGCATTTTCATAATTCAGTACAGTTCTTTTTAGAATTAAAGTTGATGAGGATGATATTTGTGATTTAAAATAATTTGTTAATGTTCACCTTTTATTCATCACCTTGTGGTATGCCCTAAAGCAATAGCATTATCAATTCTGCTGAATTGATCAACTCAAAATTCCAAAAAAAATTCAAAATTTCAAAAATGAAATTAAACAATTTGAATTTTCACATGAAAAAATCAATTTCGAAAAAAATTTGGAAAATCAAAGTATTTGATAATTAGTCAAATAATCAATTTACATCGTTTTTACTCATAAAAAACAACTAATTTTTGATTTTGATATCATATTTGATAAATACTCATTCCAGAGTTGACGTAATGTATTAATTATTGTTAGAGATATTGCTTTCGCAGCAAAATTCTTATTTCATGAAAGAAAAAAAAAAGATTTTATTCCAACAAAAACAAGTAAACAGATGAATGGAAACGTACTATATTTTCATAAGTGTAGTAATCGGCGTGTCGGCTTTTGTTTATCATGTTCGAGTCAAAATGTATTAACTTGTAATAAGAAATATTCGAAGATTATATGAAGTATTGAGCATTCTTTGTAGAAATATTTGTAATTCATTACTAACATATATAATAAAGTTGTTTTTTTTTCCTTATTGCAATAATTTTGTCTGATTTTAATAACTTTTCATGTATACGAGTTGTGTGAATATGCATCATAATATGCGTAAATATACTTATTTGCGACGAATAATGTGGTTGCATAATGGAGGTGCTAAATTTTGATTTTTAATATGGGGCTTTGGTATGTATAATCATGTTCTTATCTCAACGTAGGAGTATTGGTGCAATATGATTAAAATTTACGAGGTTGATCTTAAATTGAATAATTCTGGAGTATAAATCACAATGCAGCTAATTCTATGTTAAAGATAGATACAGATTGTAGTAATCAATTAGGGAGTACAAATTCATTCTTTCATTTCTGTCGTATTGAGCAGAAAGGAAGAGATCATAACCCTAGGAAAAAAAGCCCAAATTTGTCACTTTTCATAGTACGTTAAACTCAATTCGCTCGGCGAATGCCGAGCACACGTACTCATCATTCAACATAATATTCTCATTCTTTGGTTATTATAGTGCCAGACAACACAAGATTTCAAAGAATTACTTGAGTTTTCAATTAATCTTAATCCGATTTTAGATTTATCGAGAACTCCATCATCACAATCACATACTTCAGTGCGGTAACTACAATTATCCATATACAGAAGGAAGTTCTTTTCGAACAACTCATTTGGAGTCTGTTTTGGAAAGAACTTCTTTCTGTCCGACTTAATTTCATAGTTCCTGATCAACCAAAAGACAGAAACCACACACTATCTACTTAGGAAAGGAGTTCTTTCTAAATCTTCCTTAAATTGAGATTTTACGAGAGATAACCCTTCTATTGCACTTAAAAATGAACATTTTGATATCTTTAGTATCACACATGGTCATATATAGTATTTCATCTACATGAATACATTCATCTTTCGAAGTCTCTCATTAAATGGGAGGCTTCGAAAGATGAATCGTTTTATTCATACAACTTTAAATCTCGAACACATTTAGAGAGTGAGTATATCATTTTATTCTTGTTTTGAGTTTATTCTGATTCAAAATTGCAGTGAAAACAGAAGTTCACACATCATATCTGAATGTGAGCTCATCTATACTTATACGATCTCAATATCTCCACTCTAAGCATAAGAGGTGAAGTTATATAAAAATTATCAGATGCGTTGAAGTCTCAAAAGTATTGCCTGAATGCTTGTTTCATATTTGTCCAAGTAGTTTCAATGAATAAATGTATTGTTTTTTATAATTTCGATTTATTTTTAGAAAATATTCAATATAAACCTTTATTGTGTTATTTACATCTCATAAATTCTCTGTCTAAATCATATAAAAGCGCGTTTTACCCCTATGAATCAAGAAATTCATTCAATATTCATGGTATATTTATTAAATTTATACGATTTACTAATAATCAATATTATATCCTCATAAATAGCAATATATTTTGGTAATCTATGATAATCATATACAATATTTGAAATCAAATTTTCATTAGTTTAGGTTCCTTGTTAATAGTAAACCATTATATTTATTACTAATAATAAAATCTATGTGTCGTATTGAAATTCAATAAAATTACTTATTCGGTCCAAAAAAACAAATTAGATAAAATTTTTCTTTTTTTATGTAATTTTTGTTTTTCATTTTTCTCAAGATCCTAAGTTATGTTCTAACTTTTGACATCATATCCTATCATGCTAGGCTATATATTATAGCATATCCAAAAGGCAAGGAAATCTATCAGAGAAGCCTTTTTGACCTATCGTTGCCCTACCTCTATTTGCGCGCCGAAAAAAACGATTATAAAATTTCCAATTTTATTATACAAATAGATGCAGAAAATTATCTACTTTTCAAATGAACAAGAAATCCTCAAATTGAATTTCTATCTGATTGATTTTTCGGTAGTTTTGACAAAAAAAAATTAATGAATACAAAGCTTGACCAATGCTGCCATTCTTTTGAGGAAGTCTTCTCTAAAGCAGCGGAAATAGCTAAATTAATGGGTAATAAAGAATGCTGCAAACTTTCTGCAAATCGAGCTTTAAGTTATAACCCCACTAATGCAAAAATTAAAACCATGAATCCATATTTATCTAATATTGCTACAACTGTTTCCGTAATCATGAATACTCGATTTCAAATTGTAAAAGAAAATGGCAACCTCTACCAAAATTGGATTACACTTGGACACTGTTATCTCATCCTTGGTGATTTTCCAAACGCATACGCGTCATACGCATACTCTTTTGAATTGCATCCTGAAAATAACGATCCTTTATTGGCTTATGCTTATGGAGTTATTTTCCAACACTTTGGATACGTACAAAGATCATTACAATCATGGAGTAATATTCCGAGCAATGGAAGTATATATTTCGAACCCGATTTGCGTTTTAGACAAGCGATTTCCTTCAGAAATAATCAACAATTTGATGAAGCTTTGAGATTGTTTAACAAAGTATCCGAAAAGCCTCCAACTACATTGACAGCTGATGATGTGCTGTTTCAAATTGCTTATACTCACCAAATTCGCGGTGATAGAGAATTAGCCAAAACAATATATTTCTCTTTGCTCAAGAAGCATCCAAATAGCATTCCGTTACATCAACAGTATGCTTGGTTTGCATACAGATACCTCGATTGTCAAGATGCAGAAGCGATAATAGATTCTACCCTTCAAAGATACCCGCAAGACCCAATCATAAACGTCATCGGAGGTCTCTTCTCCATGCTTATTAATAAAACAGATCGCGCTTACAATTTATACAAATCTAGCCACCCATATACGGTTGAAAATGCCGGATTTTGGTGCGCATTGGGTGAATTATACTACAAGAACGAACAACTTAAGGATTCGCAGTCATCTTTTAAACGCGCTTTACAGATTTGCTATGATATTCCTGAAGCTTGGCTAAACGTCGGATTCATAGCAGAACAGCAAAATAATATCGAGGAAGCTATAACGCTCTATCAGAGCGGCTTAGAATACACAGGTTCCCCACTTTTAAATGAAGCGGCTAATAACGTTAAAAATGGTCGCAAAGGTGTTACACAATTGGCCAAACTTAATGAAGAGAGGATATTCATTGACATTCCAAAGCAATTTGCTAATGAATATGGCTCTTGTCCTCCATTTATTCAGGGCTCTGATATCGGAGCTAATATCGATGTCACACCTCTTTATATTTTCCCTAAATCTCCATTAGAAGACTCAGCGTAAGCAACTTCTGAAGGAGATGAATATAATTATGTTTGAATTAAAATATACTATAATTTATACATTTCTATTCTTTTTCAGTATATTTATCTACGGGATCTCATACTTTCTTTAATGATCTGTTAAAATATTTTCATTCAAAATGTTAATTGTTCTAGAACCCTCATGAAGGAAAGCAGAAATAGATAAACAAAGGGGTAAATTCCACGTAGGGCCAACTGTCTTTTAGTTTATAAAAGGAAAATAAATCCGATGGCGATTTCTTAGTCTATCGAAAAATTTCACTATTTTATATTCATAAACATAAGGCATTAGTATCAAATTTTGTAAGGTGAATCACCGAAAGAAATCTATTCGTGGTTGGGACTCTTCCACAAATTATTCCATTACATTATACAATTCTTCACAAAAAATAAATTTATCACGGAAATATTATTGTCTAATCGAAAATTGAACTTCAAATTGAATCATCCGAAGAAATAATAATTTATTGCTATAACTAAAGCAGAATAATTTTTGAAAAATTTAAAAACAGAAAAAAAAGCAATAAAAAAAAGTTTTCAAATATGAGTGCTGAAAAGTATATACAACGAGCTGAGCGTCATGTTGCTGCTCAAAAAGATACAGCCGATGATGTAGCTAGCTTGGCAAAAGTTGTTGGTGAATGTATTGCATTTCCATCCTTTTTCAAATTGCCATTAGAACTAATTTTAGCAGCTTTCGAAGCTTCCAAAGTGCAACTTACTGAACAACAAATTACAAAAGCAGAAGAATCAATCAAATCTGTACATGGGCATAGAGCAGCCAAGAAATTCAAGAGCCTTAAGAGAATCACAAAATTATTAGCTTCAATTGCTGAAGATAAAGCTTCATTGCAAACACCAGAAGCCGAAGAAGAAGATGGTGATGAAGATTTTGATGAGGAAGAAGGCAATGGAGAAGAGGAAGACGCTGGAGATGAAATTACCGAAGATGACGTTCCTGAAGGCATGCTTCGTGCAGCATTCTCAGGCAATATGAAGGAACTTCAATCTTGTGTACATAATAAGCCAGAACAAATGAAAGATATGTACGATAGAATTGGCTATCCATTGCATTGTGCTATTTTCAATGACAAGCCAGAAGCAGTTGAATACTTATTACGAAAAGGTGCTAAGGTCAACCAAAAGGGCGCTCTTGGTCAAACACCACTTCATTTTGCTTGCCAAAGCGAAGTTAAGAAGATTTTTGATGCAGTTGTTGGCACCAAAGGCATCGAAATTGATCCAGTAGATGATGAAGGTGATACTCCTCTCATTGTCTGCGCTAAATATAATAGAGCAGATTACGCAGCCGTTTTAATTCAAAAGGGTGCTAACTTAAACAAGCAAAACAAAGAAGGTGATACAGCTCTCCACATTTGTGCCCAATATGGTGCAAACGATGTTGCCAAATTATTAATTGAAAAAGGAGCTAATATCAACCTTATGAACATGCAGTTCAAGTCAGCATTCATTCTCGCTTGCGAGTCAAACTCCGGCGATATTGCCGCATTGCTCCAAGGCGCATTCTCAAATGCCCAAGCTGAAATCGTCATCGAGGATTATTCCGATGATGACGATAAATAATTAAAGCATAGTATTTAATTTATTTGTATATAATTGCACATTTTATTTGATTTATGCTTTAAATTAAAAATCATTTTGTTGCAAATTATAGTTTACTTAACAGTAAAGTTACTCAAATCATTTCAAAAGGTTTTTATTTCATCTACGAGTAGAAATATGAATTATTAATATGAAACAATAATATTTTTTTATGAATTCAAGATAATTCCCCATGATTATGAGTCCGTTGGTCAGACAAAATGATCGGACATGGCTGTTAAGCTTATATTAAATATTTTTGAAGAAAATATCAAATTCGATTTCTTTAAAAATTATATATGAGGAAAATTATATTAACAAGAATATTTAAGCTGTAAAACAAGAAAATTCTAACAAAATCAGAGCAATATAAATTTTCATACTAACAAACCATAGAAAGTTATACTATGATAGTAAAAGTGATCAACAAATCATAGAACAGTGTTATACTATTATGGTAAAAGTGATAATCTATTGACTTAAAATGAAGAACCTTGTTCTGAAAGTTTTGCAAAGAATTTGTCCTGATCTTCGTTATATTCCTTTAGAGCAGTAGCGTTGTAGCACTCATCCTTTTCAGATCTTTCTTGTAGAATAAAAACTCTTCGAATGTATTCTAAAATGTCTTTCAGAGGATCTTTTTGAATATCGAGTTTGCAATTACTTGTTAAAGGAAGGCACAAGTATCTATTTTCATCGACATATGGGTGGAATAATGGTTTTTCGAATCTAACTGTGGGAAGAGAGTTTCCTGTGACAATTAATTCGAGTTTAAATGAGACACCGTTTAATTTTAGCTTCGGATAAAGTATGCAATTGAAGTGCCCGAAATCACTAGAAACAACTCCAGATTTGTTTAGATCTAAGAGACTGTGTTCTATTACCCAATAGTTATCAATAGCTTGTGATTCTTTGATTAAGCGATATACTGTTCGGATTGGTGCATCATTTTCATCATTCATGACTAATTTTGGGGAAAAAAAATTATTGAAAATTTGCCATCCCTTACCGATCATGTTTTGTTAACATTCATAAGTCAAAGAATTTTGGGATTTATTTTGAGAAGTATTTGCTCCTCTATAGAACGGCTCAGTAGAAATATGATAAGTCAATTGATTCTAAAGCAGAATCATTCAATTGACCTATAAATTCTTAAGCAATTAGATATTTGTTTGCATGTTATTCTTATATGACTCCAGTAGAATTGAAATCTTCATATAAGCAGTATTTAATAATGTCCATTTGGAAATTGATTAAATTTATCAACAAATTCCTAGGAGTACTCAACATATCAACTTGAAATAATGATATAAATTTATGTATATGATAAATCAGATTGAAATTAATCTTGTGCCCAATAATTTTGATTTATTGCTGTGATCTTCTTCAAATATAGGTTAGAGACGTGATGTGGTATTTAACTCCACTATCAATGTTGTAACACTTAGGATATTTGATTTATGGACTTGATTTATCAAATTTTATCCACAGAAAAACGAAATTTTTGAATAAAAATTCAATAAATAGTCATAAATACAGCAATTAATATTATTGTCATCTTTAAATCCTGTTTTTTCCTTGGAAATTTTAATAAACTATTCAATTTACTTCCCCGGGGAACTTCTTCAGTTTTAAATTTTTTTTGGTAAATGGCTAAAGTGGTAAATGATTTGCAACGCATCAGTTCAGAGATTCTGATGAACTACAAATCATTTTCCAAGAGTGGGTTTGTCTATTCTTTCCGAGAAACCCCTCTAGAATCGCCAAAAAATTTAAATTCTTTATTTGATAGCGCCAAGAAGAAAAACGAAGAGGCTCTCAAAGGGAACTTAAACAAGAAAGATAAATATGGTCATGGTCCTGCATCAAATTATCAAAATCAACAGAATAATACTTATCAACCAAATAATCCTCCGCCACCACCTCCTCCGCCCGTATATGCTCCCAAAACAACACCACGCAGCTCCACCAAAAACAATCTGCCTCCAAAACCAACAACTAATGATTCAGAATTTTCTCTCTCAGATCTTGAAGACATTCCTGAGCCACAAACGCAATCTACGACTCATTACAAGCCACCCCAATCATTGCTTCGTACTTCATCCCCAGCGCGTCCATCTCCCCAGATTAATAATGAATCAACTAAATTTCTTTCGGATTCAGAGGACGATATCGCTTACATTCCACCAGAAACCGACCAACCAAGTGATAACGTACATTTAGAATCTCTTCTTTTAGATCTAAACCGTCAATTAGAAAATTTGAACAATCAGATCTGTAATTTGTTGAGATCCAACCCACAAGATCCATCCATTGCACAACTTAGAAACCAAAGACGAGGAATCTACGACCAAATCGAAGAATACGAACTGAGAATTCAATCTCAATTTCCATCAACGGTCAACAACACTCCAACAACGACCAAAACCACTACAATAACAACACCAATCACAACTATACCATATTCATCACCAATTGACGATGATGACTCATATAAAAATAATTATATATCTGATGATGATCAGATCCAAGAGATTCCGCAACCAATATATGTACCTGATTCACCACAAATCAAAAAGGTCACAATACCTGAAGAAGAAGTAACATATATTGAAGATTCACCAATAGATTTGCCAAAAACTGACGAATCAGATGATTACATTTACATTTCCGATGGTGATGATGACGATGGAATGTTCATGGACTCATCAAACAACGAAGAACAGATCAGTCCAGCTGTAGAAAGTAAAATGAACATAGTAAACCAAAAAGTTTTCCATCACATGCATTTCAGAGGAAAACAGAGAGACGCTATCGGTGCTGCTTTGAATGGAAAAGACGTTTTCGTGCTGATGCCAACAGGAGGAGGAAAATCTTTGTGTTACCAGTTACCTGGATATATGCAAGGGGGGATCACCTTGGTTGTCTCCCCCTTAATTTCTTTGATACAAGACCAAGTCCGCAGTCTCGTAGAATTGAATATAGAAGCGATGAGTTTCGGTGCAGACACTTCCAAAGAAAAATATTCCGAAATGTGGAGAAAGATTTCTAATAACTCTCTCAGATTCCTTTTCTTGACTCCTGAAAAAATTATGGCAGGGTCTACACTTGACGGTTTTCTGACACAACTTTACAACGAAAACCGTTTGACAAGATTTGTTATTGACGAGGCACATTGTGTCAGTCAGTGGGGTCATGATTTTCGACCAGACTACACTCAATTGTCAAATTTACGTGTCAGATTTCCAAATGTCAGAATTATGGCATTGACAGCTACAGCTACTGATGCTGTACAGAAAGACATTGTAGAGAATTTAGGCATCAAAGGCTGTTCGTTGTTTAAATCGTCATTTAACAGGCCAAACATTTTTTACGAAGTCATGAAGAAAGAAACAGGATTTAGGGAAGCTGCTTTGAAATGGATTGAAGAAAAGAATTATAGGAATTCAACAGGAATAGTCTTCTGTATGTCTACCGCTGAAACTGAACAAATCGCAAAATTCTTCCAAGATAACGGTTTGTCGGCAAAATTTTACCATGCAAAAATGGATAAAAACGATAGAAAAATGACACAAATTGAATGGACAAAAGGTCGTGTCAAAGTTATCGTTGCGACATTAGCCTTTGGCATGGGAATTGACAAACCAGATGTCAGGTATGTCATTCACATGACAATGCCTAAATCATTGGAAGAATACTACCAAGAAAGCGGAAGAGCGGGCAGAGATGGAAAACAAAGTCATGCATTGTTGATGTTTTCTATGGGCGACAAAAGTAAAGTTCATAGAATGATAACAATGGCTGACCAAAATACAGGAGAAACGAAGTCGAGAGAGAGAATTGAAGTTGAAGATCAGTTGTTAAATCACATGACTGAATATGGTATAGAAAAAATGACATGTAGAAGAGTTTTGTTGTTGAGATATTTCGGTGAAAACTTTGATCCGAAAAATTGTAATACTACTTGTGATAATTGTCAGCGCAGAATGAAGAATCATGAGAAAATAGATATAGATATGACTGATCATTTAAAGAACATTGCTATGATTGTTGATGGAATTTATAGAAAAAGAAAAAGAGCTCCTTTCGCAACAGGAAATCATATTACTGATGTTTATACTGGTTCTAAAAGTAGTAAAATTATGAAATGCAGAGATAATGATTTGCCGCAATATAATTTAGGTTCTGATTTGAAAGGAAAGACGAAATCAAGAATTTATCAGTGTTTGCAGGAATTAGTTTCCAGAAGAATCATTAGATTGACTTCGAAATCATCCAAATACGGTGTGATCGAGTACTACGTTCCTGATAATATTTCATTGATAAATTTAAGAGATTTCAAACCTTTTGTTATTTACGAATACAAAGAAACAAATGATGAAGGTTTGTCAAATGAAGAAATTTTGCTTTATAATAAATTAAAAGAAGCAAGAGATCAGAAATTGGCAATCGAAGGAATTGATGTCGAACAGTTTATGCCGAATTCTTGTTTGAGATCTATCGCAAAGAATCATCCAACAAATCAGGATGACCTCAAAAAACTCAAGGTAATGACAAAAACAAGAATGGATAAACTCGGTGATGAATTTTTGAGAGTGTTGACAAATGGAAAAGTGACACATCAAACACATTCACCACCTAAACTTCCACTTTCTAGACCTCCTCCTCCATCTCCTCCATCTACTTCTCCTCCTCAACACCTGCAACAACAGAATAAGTCAAATAACCAAGTGAAAGGTCCAGGATGGTACAATCAAAATAACAATAATCAAAATAATGTTGATATCAACACTTTGAATGCAGCTGCACTTTCGGGTATGATACAAAGTAATCCTGAAGCTTTTGCTAATGTTATTAGCACTTTAGTGAGTATTGCAAATAATTTGAAAAAATGAAATTCTCTTTATTGTAAAATTATATTTGTTTATTTTATTATTTAACTTAAATGTAATTTTTTTTAATGAGATGTATGAAAGAAGACAAGGATCTACTAATGATTGATTCATATAAATATACAATAGAAATCTTAACTTTTACATACAAATGTGAAAATCAGAATAAGCACAAGTACTTCATAGATAAAATATCTTGTCTATATTTGAATGTCCATAAGTAGATCCTATTGAAAGAAAGTTTGAAGATTACCCTCTTTTTGTTGATCATAACCTTCACCAAATGTCTCACGCAAATTTTCATGAGTTTCAAAGTTGTTGATACTGAATTGTTACTGACAAAGAATAATTCCTTCTTGATCAATACGTAATGATTGCCCTACCATTAATATTTCTGAAAAAAAAAACATCAAATCAATCATAGAGTAATTGTATATTTTCCCTTAAATGGTTATAAGCGAGTAGAATACATCTAGAATGATCCCAAATATATATAGATGGATATATATATTGGAAGAGTGTGAGAGAAAAAAAAGTTCATTTTGTTTTTGTTTTGAATTTTTTACTTACAATAGTTTAATAATATATTTATTTTTGTGACTGTTGTTGTTGAGGAGTCTGGAAGCAGTTCTTCCACCTTGTAATTCTGGCTGAGTGCATCATCAAATCCACATTTAATTTCAGTCTTTGCAGCCTCACATCGCATTGTTCAGCAGTTGCCTGCATGAAAGCTTGTTTCCTTGCCAACAAGTCTCCTTCTGTTGCCTTCCTTGCAGCCATTATCTGCAGCTGCTTTGTGAGTTCCTCAACTTCCATGTCGCTGCAATTTGCAGCCAAATTTTCCACTTCACATTCCAATTTTTTGATGACTCTCAAATATTTCATTGACATTCTCTTTGCCTCTCCAATTGGTGACTGATCTATCTCCGCGTTGAGCTGCTGTATCCTCTTCTTCAATGTTAAAGCAGCTTTCTTGTTTTGGTTGTTCAAATTCTGACTCAAAGCTGTTAATTCCGCTTCATGAAGTTTTTCTTGTGTTTGCATCGATTGCAGCTCTTTTGTAAGCGCGGAATACTCTGTTTCAAGGGCTCTGATGTTAAGGAGATTGATGTAATCATCATTCGTCTTAGGAGGATTCCTTTCAATCAAAGCGGCGGTTTTTGTATCGTTTGACAAATCTGCGATGATTTCTCTTTGTAATTTCTCGAGTTGCTGCTTGAGTTCTGTGTTGGATCTCTCGGGAGTCTGTACTTGGTCTGGATTGAGGAGTTTCTGCTTCTGTTTGCGAAGTTCATCGAGTTCTCCGCGAGATGCATTTAATGTCTCCTCTGTTTCTTCGAGTTTTTTACGTAATTTCTCGAGTTTGTCTTTAGCTGTCTGGTGGCGACGCTTTGCATCGTTAAGGAGCTCTTCGGATTTGCCAGGAGCGGCTTGAATTTGTAATTGTCTTTCTGCTTGCTCGATTTCTTTGTCAACTTGGGATTTTCTGGCTGTAAGCTCTTGTATCTCTTTGTCGAGAGCAGCAATCTTCTCCGCAGAGCCGTCATCGGCTGGAGCTGATGGTTTTGCAGGAGATGATGGAGGAGTTTGAGGAACTGGCGATGATGGAGCTTCGGTTTCGGTTTTTGCGGTAAATTCTTGGATAATGGATTGGATTACGGATTGGATTGATTTATCTAATGAGCGAATGTTTTGGATTGAAATCTTTTTGTTGGTAGATTTAAGTGAATAGAATATAAAACACTTTAATAGCTTCAAGAGTTCACCTTGATCCTTCTTTTTGGCTAAAGCTGTTGGATCTATGCTTAAATCGTTTGGTTTGATCGCATTCATTACTTTTCCTGATATTTGACGCATATTAAGAAGAATTGAAACCCAGTCATCTAAGTTCGAAATTTGTTTGAGCATGTTAATGTTAATTGGGTCATTTCCGCCGTCCAATGTGTTGTAAACTTTAGCTAAAACTTGGCCGTCAAGAAGAAGAGTAGGATTATCGACAAATGCGTTATCTCCTTCTCCAAAAACAGCTAACCATCTAACAATAGCATCAATTTGTTCACCTTCCATAATTTTATAATTTTTTTTTTTTGTTGATATAAATTCTATGGAGTTATTATAAGCAACTAGCCTCCATATGTAGTAAATCAAGCAAGGCTTTATTGAGACAGTACAACAGAACATTGCCACCTAAACTTTCGAAAATACATAATTATTGAGTCTTATACATATGCACATCATATATGGTATCTAATAACTAGTTAACTGTAACGTCATAGTAGTACAATTTCCAAGCAATTTAGTTATTTTTGGCAGCAATTTTGGAATTAACAGAGTTTCAAAGATTCTAATGCAGACATCTGTCAGAATTAGAATATGCAAATAGATATAAGCCCTACCATATATATTTTGAAGTTTAACGATAGCGCTTATTTGGCCAGACTGTAGACCCTTAAAATTTCATGTTTTTCGGCTTAAAACAACATATATTAGTACTCAAGTAAATTTCTGTTATGAATAAACATTTATTTTTATATTTTGTCCCTAAATAAAAGTAAATTTTGGTCAACAAATTTAATTTCAAAAAGATAGGCTTAAATAGCACTTACATAGTTTCTTTGATAAGTTTTCTTCTTGTCTTGGACACTTTCTTCTTGGGAATGTTTTAATCAAATTTCAAAATTGCAATATTCTGATGGATTATTTATGTCTATCTTTATCTAAGCATAAATATATTATTTAGGTATAGGAATAATGATAATTATCTCATAGATATTCAGTTAATCACCATTAACATTTGAAAAATCGGATAAGTATATTTCATATCGAATAGCTTTGGCCACAAAAAATCATCAAAATGTATAGGCAATCGGGTTCATCTAAATTTCAGAAAATTTATTTACATTCTCATTTTCAGAAATTTTACACATTCAAAATTTGAATTAATATCTTCGATATCATTTTAACTGCTTTATTATATGTTAAATGCATTAATGAGAGAATTTAACATTCGAAAATTTCTGCCATAACGCAAGATTTTCTCGATCATTTGGCACAAATTGAAAGAGGTTGAAATACGTACAATGGAGTTTCTGACATGTAATCAAATTATTGAACAATTTTTAACTTTTAGCCATTTTAAAATTGAATTCATAGACTTGCGACTTTTCAGATATTTGAGGAGTAGTCAATTCACAGAAACAGTCAGAAGGTATTAAAAATCATTTATGTACTTTCAAAGACTAACTTTTAGCAAACAGAAAATCAAGTATTGAAAAGTCAAAAAAGATGATGGAATAATTCCTTGCAACGTAAGAAATATGTAGGAATAAATCGATTTTTAGCAATAGTTCAGGAGTTTCGGTCATTTGATAATACATTCATAAGCTCTCTAAATGAATATGACGATTTAATTAGTTTTGCTTCAGATCCATTTTCTATTTTTCAATGATATTTTGACATCATTGAATTTTGTATTATTCGCATATTCAGAATCTATCAAAAGTTTATATATTCATTGAATAGCAAAAGCCTCATAGTTTTACAACTTTTTCAAAGCCGATCTTCGCTCAATTGTAATACATTTTTCAAGTCATTGAAAAATTTGAGCTCTTTTTTCAAAATCCATATCAAAAAATTTTGCTTAATGCTATCCTTATTTATGCATCATGTTACAATATTACATAGTGATTGGGCCCAGTACTATGGTACAGAACAACACACAGATCATATGAACAAAATGATATTTGGAAGTGGTCAAATTGTTGATGCTAGAAGGAATGTAATGATTTTTGAATGCGTTTTTATTAGAATCCATCCTTCCGATGGTAAAAATGCTTTGAAAATCGATAGGAGCAATAGGGATTCTTATAAAACGTTAGTATCTCAATGCAGCTTTTATGATTGCTCTGTTAAAGGATGGGGTGGAGCAATGCTTATTGCAACAAATGGTGGCGAATGCGTACTTGATAGATGTTGTGGCCAGAAATGCAAAAGTTCAAATCAAGGAACTTTTGCAAATTTGAATGTAAGACAGGCCCAACCATGCAGATGCATTATAAACTCTACAACGGCTCTTCATTGCGCTGGCAGAGACCAAGATTTCCAAACAGATTCAACAATCTGTGTCACCAACAGCCTTTTGACAATACGTGATGCGAATTTAACCCAGAATAAGGCAAAGTATGGAACGGCATTTACGTTCAGATTTCTTAATTTAGAAGGATCTTCTGCAAAATATTTGAGTATTGACAGCAACGTAAATTCAGAGCAGTATGGAATTATCTGCAGAGACAATGATGAAACATCGAACCAGTACATATTAACTCTTGAAAATATCAATATTTTACACAATTCGTTCACAGATTCTTCAAATGGATCCATTTTCTCATATTACAATGATAGAACAATAAAAGGAGCCAAAAATACAAATATTAATAATTGTAATATAAGAGAAAACAACGCAAAGTATTTAGCATATTCAAATTTCCAAGCTTCTGTTTTTACATTCCGAGGATGCTTTTTAGATGTAACATTAGGACGAACATGCGTTGTAAGAATTGAACAATCCGCATCGAATTCAGTTGACAACGGTGGCGTGTATTACTACACAGAAAATTGCATTTTTTACGATGCCACAGCTGTTGAAACGCCATATATAACAGTTGTTGAAACGCCATATATAACAGTTGTTGAAACGCCATATATAACAGTTGTTGAAACGCCATATATAACAGCTATTGAAACGCCATATATAACAGTTGTTGAAACACCATATATAACAGTTGTTGAAACGCCATATATAACAGTTGTTGAAACGCCATATATAACAGTTGTTGAAACGCCATATATAACAGTTGTTGAAACGCCATATATAACAGCTATTGAAACGCCATATATAACAGCTATTGAAACGCCATATATAACAGCTATTGAAACGCCATATATAACAGCTATTGAAACGCCATATATAACAGCTATTGAAACGCCATATATAACAGCTATTGAAACGCCATATATAACAGCTATTGAAACACCATATATAACAGTTGTTGAAACACCATATATAACAGTTGTTGAAACGCCATATATAACAGCTATTGAAACGCCATATATAACAGCTATTGAAACACCATATATAACAGCTATTGAAACACCATATATAACAGCTGTTGAAACGCCATTCCAAACAACTATACCTGAAAGGCCTTCAGTTGAAGATGATCCTCAAGATGGAAAAGATGGTGATACACCAGGAACATATGATAAAAATCCAGGAACGGATGATAAAACACCAAGAACGGATGATATTGAAACATCAGAGACAAAAGAAAATGAAAATATTCCTAAATCAAGTACAACAACCGACAAAATAGAGCAAAAGGATAAAGAGGCACAAAGGAAGAAGAATATTTGGTGGATATACGTTGTAGCAGGTTTTGCAGGATTATTACTTTTGATATCAGGAATAATTTTCTTCTTGTGGATGATGAGAGAAGATGATTCAACTGAAGAAGTAGAAACTGATAATGTTGACAAGAATAATGAAGAAACAACATATCTTGATTCATTAACCGTTAATGATGAAGAATATGTTATCAATCCGGATTTTGATGATTATGACCAGGAAATCACTAATCCTGATGAGTTCTTTATAATGCAAGTTGAAGAATAAGTTTATTTATTAATATTTTTTTGTTTTCTCGGGGAAGGTATAATAAAGAAATTGTGTTTTAAGTATGAAAAATTTTATGTTAAAAGGCACTTGTGAGATCTATTTTTAGGATTCAATTATGCCCATATGACACCACCTTCGATTCTAATGTTTATGGTGATTTTCAATGATACTTCATTCTAATTGTCAGATATTTGAATAAAGGGCAGATGGGCGGAAATAAACCCATATATACATTAGATACAAAAGTATAATATCTTGTTGATTTTGAAATTAAACATTCAAAAAGATGATCATATTTGAACCAGTTGTTGTTTTCTTCACCTCTTAGCTAATATTGTGGTTTTCTATTCCTACCTTCTATTGTCAAAGAACTTTAAAAAGTATATGCACATAAAAAAATCTTGAGAAATAAAAAAGTAAAAAAAAATTTTAGAATCCAAGCATATCAAAGACATCTGATCCCTTTGAGCCCTGGTTCTGTTGTGATGGACCTGCTCCTAACAACTTCTGTTGTGGCTTCTGTTGTTGTTGTGGCTGTGGTTTCTGTTGTTGTTGCATTCCAGCGAATGGATCAAAAACATCATTTGATTGTTTTGGTTTTTGTTGTATTGAAGAAGAAGAACCAAACATATCAAAAGTATTTTGAGAAGCTTTGTATGAAGGTGCTGGTGAAGGGAAAACAGAACCAAACATATCAAATGCATTGGAAGATGCTTGTTTCCGTGCTGGTTTCTGTTGTTGGACAACAGCTAAAGGATCAAATATATCATTTGTTGATGGCTTTGATTTATTGGTTGATAGTGGTTTTGGCAGAATTTGTCATTCCTGCGAAAGGATCAAACCCATCACCCGATGGCGGTTTCAGTTTGGTCGGATCAGTACCTTGTGATGTCTAATCATCGAATGGATAGAAAGCATAATTTCCAAATATATTTCAGTTATATTTGGCGATGAATTTGGAAAAAGCATAGGTAAAAAAATCTCAAATTGATATCTTTCAGAATTAAAATATCGTAATGAGTACAATTTATAATTGTTTGGTTTGTTAGTTGAAAAAATGATCTCATTTGGCAATTCAATTATTTTCATTTTCGATAAAAATTAAGATCTAGTTTTAAATGTTTATGTTTTTCATTATGAACTATGAAACATTAAAATGTTCATAATTTTTTGTGAGTTGACTATTGATTGTAGAGGGAATTGCATCGTATTATCATTAAATAGTGTTGTCTGAATAAAATTAATCAATATGGAGACTTTTGAAAAAGTTTATTGACAATGTATCTCGAAGCGCTTCCACTCTCTATATCAGTATGCGAGCTTTACATCTAGAACATCTTAGAGTACAAATTAGCAGCATCTGCATCAGATTTCAATCCTAAAAATCATAAGGATATCTAAGATCATTTTTTTTTTAGTGGGAGCCCATCTTTGATATTTCATTTTTAAGGCTAAAAGTATCATAGCCAAAATTTTTACATAGTATGTCAATTATTTTTATGGGAAGTAAGGGCATCCTTAAAAAAAAATTTTAGTGGACTAAAAAGTGACACACCCAAAAAAAATTTAGTATGTCAAGTTCAGAGCAGCCAAAAAATGAAAATTGGGGCAATAACAGCGACCATAAGCCAATTAACGTATTCGAATACCCAGATCAAGCATCAAAAATTATATGTGGCGTCAATTCCAATAATATTATACAAATATCTTCACAAATTACCGAATTAATAACAACCCACAAAATATCTATCCAAATGGCGTTATATTTGATTGATATTATTTCACAAATTCGTATTAAAAAAATTAAATTATTTTCAGAACTTTATCAAAAGATATCAAATGCATTTTCATGTATATATGAACCGAAAAATAAGATATTAGCGACGCTTCTACATTATCAAGGTTTCAAATTGGAAAACTTCGAACCTACAATGAAAGAAGAAGAAATTCTGAATTTATATTCAACAGAATCTCCTTTATACTATATTGCATGGGATAAAGTTGATGATCTTAAGAGTAAATTCTCAAATCTTGATATTAATGTGGAGATTGATAATATCACACCACTTGACTGTGCAATTAAATATGGATCAGAATTGTGCTTCAATTACTTTAAAAATTTAGGAGCTAAATACACATATTACTCCGAAAAATATGCTGTTCAAGGTGGAAATGAAAAGATTTTTATGCAAATGATAGATGAAGATAAATCATTTGATGATATGATTAATATAGCATTGAAATATCATAATTATGAAATTGCTGACTACCTTAAAACAAATTTTAGACAAACTTTTGATTCAATAACGGAAAGTATGCATTTCGGAAATTACGATATTGCATCTTATTTACTTTCTAATGGAGAAGATATCAACGAAATATATTTTTATCATTGTTTTATCACATTATCTTTCCTTTCATATCTATCATTGTTTTATGATATTCTCTTTTTATTAATATTCATCATCGTTTTATATAATTCTCTTTCTATTACCCAGATTTTCCTTACTTTTACCACTCCCCATGTAATTTCTGGGGAAAACGATAATTCATTTTTTTTATGGATGAATAGATCGTTTTCCTAGAAAGGACCTCATATCTCTGGCTAAAAAGAGTGTCAGATCCTAAATAGGTTATTGATCTAGTGTATAAATCCAATAAAAAGCCTATTTTTTGGCTTTTTTGGTGCTCATTTTTTCGAAGATCTACATGAATATGGGGAAACCATCGGAAATTTTTGGTTAACCCACATCTTCATGTATTCTGGACTATCTTTCCTCGAAGGACCTCTTTACGGGTGTAAAAACTCATAAAGTTCTCAAAAGATTCATTCTCGATCTCCATGCTGAAAGAATTTACAATAAAAAAGAGATCTACGCATCAAACTACAGCCATAAATGAACTGAACCCCTAAAGCTCAGCTCTTAGTTTATCAAAAACGTCGAAATCCTTCTCATTGCAATCAAATTTTCTCAATAACTCATAAGAAAAATCGAATTTTGATTAAGCCGATGTTATAGGTATCACAAATACTACAAACTTGAGCAATATCGAAATTGCCAGCAAAAGTTTGAAATTGCATTGCTCATATTTGTTTTGTAAACTAAAAATCTGCTTATATTATTCATTAATTTTTTATATATTATTCATATACTTTAATAAAAACAATACTTTTTCACCTTAAAAATGAATTTCATAAGTCAATATTATTTTTTTGAAAATGTATCAATTTTCGATTAAAACAACATGAGAATAAAATTTACGCAAAATTATTTTAAAAAATGGTTTTAAAAATTTACAATTGATTAAGAATAAGATTGCAAGAAGTTTTGAAGTTTAATTTTAAGAAAAAAAATTCGGATATTATTCATGGATCTAAGTGATCTGATATTTGAGTATCGGCACTAGGGCTGTACAAGATTTAAAAAAACATTGCCGGGTTACCGTAGAGGCCTAAAAAAATCGCGCCTCGGCGGCAAGCCGCCTCGGCATTAAGAATGCGCATCTAAATTTTTATATGTCCTTCTTTCTTTTATTTTTCCCTTCCCTTTCTTTTCTTTTTCTTTTTTTTCCCTCCTCTTGCTCTCATTTACCTTTTTTTTCCTTTTCTCATCATTTTTCAAAATTTTAAATTTTTATCAAAAATCTTGCCTATAAAAGCAGACTATGGAACCTTTTAATGCCTCTTAATCAATATTATACAGCATAAAGCATATTAAATGAAAGTAATTACGTATAAATTTATTTTATTATCTTATTTATTAATTCTTTAGCATGTATTGTTTAATATTAACTTTTCTGTACATTAAATATGATATCTCCAAAGTATGAATGCCTTGTAACGAAACGAAAACTTAATTTTATGTTGAATATTTGTCACAAACATTAGATTATTAAAATATATGTTGGATATCCCTTAGTATGAGACTTCATGACTTTTGTAGTCTAACGTGAGCTTTGGATTGCAAGCTCTGTGGTTAACGAACATTAATTAATTGTAAAGTTTTCAAAATTTTTCATCGTTTCTATCAGCATCTATTTTTCCTTTAAAATAATATATTTGTATGAATACAATATTTAGTAATTTTTTTATTTCCCATAATTTCATTCAAAATTTCAGAAAAATTAATTTCTATTCAATATTATTTCAGCTTCAAAACACTTCATTCTTATAGATGTTGATTCACTAAAGTGTGATACTCAATGTCTTATTTCAATGAAAATTGTTCTGCAAATTTATTTCACTTTTGACCTCACTTTTTCCGTAATTCAATTTTTTACTTTTAATATTTTAGATCTTCATAATATCATTTGAAAAATTAACCATATAAAAAAATCAAGTTAACAATTCACTTTTTCCGTAATTCAAAAATCAAAAATATAAATAATATATCTTTTTATCAAATATTATTATTATATTCTATGAAAAATGAGGTCCGGAAATTTTGCGGATTCCCGTAACTCAATTTTACGGAAAAAGTGCAGTAAACTATTCAAAATACGGAAAAATTGGTGTAAACTAATGATTTTACGGTAAAATCACGGAAAGTCCCGGAAGAATATATGTGCCTATATGAAATTATACAAAAATGAATCAAACGCATTTTAAAAGATTGTTCTTGTATTATAAATGCTATTCGCAGATTTATTAGTTGAAGAAAATTACCAAATTTTTGCCGATTTACAAAAAATGATTTACAAAGCATATTTTTATAAGGCTTTAAAAATCTTTAAAATGTGACCGGTGACGGAAATCCATGGTAACCAACCGCAGTTCCCGTTTGGAATGCCATAATCGGCACTATGCATAAAACATATATTTATAGTTTTTGGATTTTTATGATTTTAAATATATTCAAATTTGGCAATCCAATAGATTTTTAAAAAATAGGTAAATAAAAATAGATTACATATGCAGCAGATTTAGAACATGAAACAAATCTTATAGTGACCCAAAAAAAAATTCATGATCCAAAAAAGAAAAAAATTAGCTAAATGGGAATAAAAGCTTGGCACAATGAATCATTATGTCAGATGTTTCCACTACACTACACCGGCAGTTCGAAAAATACCCTTGGTGGTTCTATTTAATAGCTACTCCCAACGATAGGCGGTGTCCCCAGCTTTAGAGGGGTGGTAAAAGTAAGGAAAATCTGGGTAATATTTATCATTGTTTTATGGCAATCTCTTTCTATTAATATTTATCATTGTTTTATGAAATTCTCTTTCTATTAATATTTATCAATGTTTTATGATATTCTCTTTCTTTTCATATTTATCATTGTTTTATTATATTCTCTTTCTTTTCATATTTAACATTGTTTTATCACATTCTGTTTCTTTTCATATTAATCATTGTTTTAACACATTCTCTTTCTATTAATATGTATCATTGTTTTATGATATTATTTCGATATTAATGAATGTCCTCTTAGTATTGCTATCAATGCAAATTCCATAGAAATTGTCCAATTTCTAGTTGAGCATGGTGCAGATGTTAACATGAAACTTATTCTCTTTCTTTTCATATTTATCAATGTTTTATGATATACTCTTTCTTTTCATATTTATCATTGTTTTATTACATTATCTTTCTATTAATATTTATCATCGTTTTATCACATTCTCTTTCTTTTCATATTTATCATTGTTTTATAGAATTCTTTTTCTTTTCATATTTATGATCGTTTTATGACATTCTCTTTCTTTTCATATTTATCATTGTTTTATAGATTTCTCTTTCTTTTCATATTTATCATTGTTTTATTACATTTTCTTTCTATTAATATTTATCATTGTTTTATATAATTCTCTTTCTTTTCATATTTATCATTGTTTTATTACATTATCTCGATATTAATGAATGCCCTCTTGATATTGCTTTCAAAATTAAAGCAACAAATATTATCAAATTCTTAACTGAACATGGTACTACAAATGTTTAATATTTCTTTTCTAAAAAAAATTAACATTATTCTATTTTGAAAAAAGATATAGTAATGTTAGCATTATTCACGAATAAACATCACATAATATTATATAGTGCTTTTAAAAAGAAATTTTGAGTCTATTGAAAAGTTAATTGAATAAACTTTTTAAGGCTGCATTTACGCCCATCTGACATTGATTCAAATTTTGACAACTGGCGTGAAGCGACATTGAAAATTAACCTTGAACATCTGAATTGAAGGCCCCGTCATAGGGGCGTAAGTGTACCCTTAAAGAATAAATATTATTCAAAAAAAAATATTAACTCTTCACCTTAGAAATTGGAACATAAAGTTATGGATGTCATAAAAGTATGAACATAAAAAATTTTTTGAGAAATAAAAAAGTAAAAAAAAATTTAGAATCCAAGCATATCAAAGACATCTGATCCCTTTGAGCCCTGGTTCTGTTGTGATGGACCTGCTCCTAACAACTTCTGTTGTGGCTTCTGTTGTTGTTGTTGAGGCTGAGCAGCGAATTTAGACTTAAGAGACTGTTGTTGTTGTGGCTGTGGTTTCTGTTGTTGTTGCATTCCAGCGAATGGATCAAAAACATCATTTGATGGTTTTGGTTTTTGTTGTGTTGAAGAAGAAGAACCAAACATATCAAATGTGTTTTGAGAAGCTTTGTTTGAAGCTGCTGGTGAAGGGGAAGCAGAACCAAACATATCAAATGCATTGGAAGATGCTTGTTTCCGTGCTGGTTTCTGTTGTTGGACACCAGCGAAAGGATCAAATGTATCATTTGTTGTTGGTTTAGAAGGAGACTTAGATGGAGATGAGAATGCATCAAATGCATTGTTTGATGCTGTCGGCTTTGGTTTGGCTGGTTCTGGTTTAGAACTGCCGGCAAATGGATCAAATGTGTCATTTGACGGCGGTTTTGCGGTTGTTTTGGCAGAATTTGTCATTCCTGCGAAAGGATCAAATCCATCACCTGACGGCGGTTTCGGTTTGGTCGAATCGATACCTTGTGGTGCATTTGACTGGACTGGTTTAGAATTACCAGCGAAAGGATCAAATGTGTCATCATTTACCTTTGGAGATGGAGCAGAGAGCATGTCCATAATATCCTTGGAACTCTGTGGTTGTTTCGATGGAACACTTGAAGCAAATGGATCAAATGTGTCATTTGATGGTTGCTTAGCTGTTCCTGGATTGGATGATTTTGTGAATGCATCGAAATTATTGTTGGAAGATGTTGGTTTCGATGCTCCGGCAAATGGATCAAAAGTGTCATTTGACGGCGGTTTGATGGTGGTTTTGACAGGTTCTGGCTTTGAACTTCCTGCAAATGGATCAAATGTGTCATTTGATGCTTGTTTGGCTGGTTCTGGTTTGGATGAGCTTGCAAATGGATCAAATGTGTCATTTGACGGCGGTTTTGCGGTTGTTTTGGCAGAATTTGTCATTCCTGCGAAAGGATCAAATCCATCACCTGACGGCGGTTTCGGTTTGGTCGAATCGATACCTTGTGGTGCATTTGACTGGACTGGTTTAGAATTACCAGCGAAAGGATCAAATGTGTCATCATTTACCTTTGGAGATGGAGCAGAGAGCATGTCCATAATATCCTTGGAACTCTGTGGTTGTTTCGATGGAACACTTGAAGCAAATGGATCAAATGTGTCATTTGATGGTTGCTTAGCTGTTCCTGGATTGGATGATTTTGTGAATGCATCGAAATTATTGTTGGAAGATGTTGGTTTCGATGCTCCGGCAAATGGATCAAAAGTGTCATTTGACGGCGGTTTTGCGGTTGTTTTGGCAGAATTTGTCATTCCTGCGAAAGGATCAAATCCATCACCTGACGGCGGTTTCGGTTTGGTCGAGTCAGTACCTTGTGATGTCAAATCACCGAATGGATCGAAAGTACCGTTCTGAGAAGCGTTTGTTGAAGAAGGAAGAGATTTCGGAAGTGGATCCGTTGTGTCCTGAGAAGTAATTGTTTTTCTTGCGGCTGGTTTTTGTTGTTCTTGTGGTTGTTGGCCTGCAAATGGGTCGAAAACGTCTTCTCCACCTGAGAATGGGTCAAATGTCTGTCCGTCATCATCCTGGTTGCCTAAGAAGTCGTTCTCGTCTTGGTTTAATTGTTCGGAAGAATTCTGGAATCCGCCTTCGAAAGGATCAAAGATATCTTGGTTGGAAGATGACTTTGTACCCTTTGGCTGAGCATTGGAAAAGTCGAAAAGATCTGGTTCATTCGATTTTGTATCTTGTGTCTCAAATGAGCCAAATTGTACATCGCCAAACACGTCTTGTACTGGATCTTTCTTCGGAGCTGCTTCATCTTCTGGTTCGTTGTCTTCCCAGTTGATTAAAGTGTCATCTCCCCTTGGTAAATTCGATGCCGCGATATGTCCACCGTTTGCGAAGGCTGCTGGTGCCCTTGGCCTGTCTTTTTCTGGTAAGTTCATCTCGCTCTTTGGCTTAGGAGCTGATTGTTTCGTATCGAAAGATTGCATTTCACCGAATTTGTCGCCATTTCCGGCATCTTCGTTGTCCTTCCAGTCGAAAAGATCTTCACTGGTCTGCTGCCTATGTGGTTCTGGATGGTTGTGGAATGGCTGCTGACCTTGTTTATTAGATCTTCCTAATGGAGGAGCTCTGTTAGATGGTCTTTGCTGGCGAGACTCTGCTGGTGGAGGGGATTGAACATCAAAGTTCAAGCCGTATGATTCGAGAGATGGTAATGGCTCATTACGAATTAAATGGTTATATATTGTACGTGTGAGAAGATGAACAGCATCTCTCAATGTGCAGTTGGATTTTTCGAATGAGAGTAAGAATATTGTTGCAATTTCTGGAGCAAATGCTTGAGCAGCAGGAAGAACTGTATCATGGGCTTTTGAAAGACAAAAGAAGAGAATTTGTAATGTTTTCAAAACATCTGCTGGTTCGTTTGCATGCTGATCGATGTGATCTGTTAATGCTAAAACTAATTCACCGGCTAAATCGATATTTTGAGTGTATTTCATGAAATATCCAATTTGTTGTGGTGAAATTTTAGTTGTTTGGGACTGCGAGACGTTATGAAGAAGTTCCTTGAGAATTGTTTGCGGAGTTTGCTTCTGTTGGCCTCCAAAGAACGATCGCATCGATTATAAAAGTGGCAATTGTAAAGTGTCAAATTGAGGAAATTTCTGACCTTCTGCTTTTCAGTTATTCTTTTTCTTGATGCAAAATGATTTAGAAAAGAATTGTGACTATGGATTTAACGAGAATTGAGAAAAAGAAAAGGAAATTTGTGATTGGAAAAACTTTTGAACAGCAGCTCTCTTATAAAGTGATTACGAAAAAGGTATTTATTATAACACATCAAGGGCGGATTACATAAATCAGGATTTAAAAAATAAAAAAATAGTATGATGAAGTAGTAGGATAGGATGGGTTTTGTGACTTTTTTTGTAAACGTAAGAATTCATACAATATCGAGCGATTTTGTATCATTTTTTTAACATATTAATTAAAAAATATATGATTCTTACGGTTTTATTCTTACGTTTTTGAATAAATCAAGATTTAAAAAAATTTCAAAATTGTAAGACATTTACACTCAGCCCATACATAATGAAATAAAAAATAAAAATATATTTATAAACCATTAAAAAAATTAAAGTTATTTTTTTATTCTTACATAAATGACCCAACAAGTAAAACCAGATAAAATAGATTATCGAATTTTAGAGGATGGTGTTCCTGTTTATATTCAAAGATTTAAAGGGAAGCAATATTATAGAATTGTTAATCCTGAATACATAAAACATTTATTTAAAAAGGAAGACTGTGAATTATTAAACGTTAATGAATATGAAACCAATAAATCAAAATTGAAATATAAATATATTGGAAGTGATGAAAGATGCAAAGATAAAGATAAAGTTTATACAGTTTCATATAATGAATGGAAAACCAATAAGATAAGAAAACATTTAGGAGATTATGGTAAAAGTTCTGAATTCTTTAAATCTAGTATGTACGAGAGAGTAAAAGAAATTAGAAATAATTATTTTCATGAATGAAAGATTCACTACCATAATGAAATAAAAAATAAAAAAATAAACTTTAAAAAGAATTTGATGAGTTCAAAGTTTATTTTAAAGTTTATTTATCAGTCATTGATTATCAGTTTTTCCATAATCGAGATGAATCAAAACTTTATCCCCTTGTTTAAAATTCATGAGCCCCGAATTAATTTGTTCACGTTTAACATCATTTAACTTTTCCATTTGCTTTCTAATATATTCCCATTCTTTTGAAATATCATTTTTCATTTCCACCGGTTTCATGTTTATAGTTCTATGCCATGTATTATTATAATAATATACTAACTGTTGTATGATGGAGTCATGATTTCCATCCCAGTATATCTGACCGTTAACCCCTAACGCATCTCTAAGAGTTCTCATTGCCGCATCAACTATTTTATTATGAAACGTATATGGAGAGGATGAGAAGTAAAAATTAATTTGTGGGAAATAATGAGCCATAGCTGCCTGAAATCCTTTATCACCATCACCCCTGATATTATCTACTCTTTCATGATCTAGTAAGTATTGTATAGCTCTTCTTGTTTCCTGTTCTGTTTTCCCTTTCACCGGAATGCAATATAAATATCTAGTGTTAATGTTAATGGCAAATAAATAAGTAACGTTTCCTTTTGGAATAATTCGAGGTATCAATTTTCGTATGAATATGGATATGGAGCAAAATAATAAGTAACGTTTCCTTTTGAATATTCAGATTGAATTTTCGGTAATTTGGTTTATTTAATATCTTGAATCCTTTTTAAAATCTTTTTGCTTCTTAATGTTTGAAATGGATATAATAAAGTGAATGATGAAGGATTAACTGAAGGAGGAGGGGTACTGTCGTTGGAGGTTTGGTGTTGCAGTGGTGTTTAATTTATCTGCTTTGATTTTGGATTTCATTCCTCCTTCATTAATTCTGGATGTATTCTATTCATTTGTTTTAAATATGCTGTATATAAAGGTTTATATACTTTCCCGCTTCGAGTTTATGTTGAAGGATGAATTCAAAAGTTGATCTTCATTTAAAAGTCGGGCTGAATATGTTTAACTAATGAATCATAAATTAAAGCTTGTGCTTCATTTATGGTCTGAAGGACCTGGGTTTTTGCATTTTGTTTTTGTTCCTTTGGTTTTTGCGGCTCAGGATTATATAATTTTATATAATTCATCAATATCTTCTTCTGTTAATACTTTATTTTTGAAATCTTTCAACTGTTTAAGTTGTGATTTAGTTTTCCCTTTATATTCATTATTTTTAATTTTGTCTTTAATTTTAGAAATTATTTTATCATGATATTTCAAAAATTTCATTTTTATAATATGGATAATAATAATCCATATCATCACCCGTTATTATTGTTATTATTTTTGGAGATATGATTTTAATTCATAATAATTAAGAAAATTTTGATTAAGTACTAAATCATCAATTAAATTTTTAAATCTCGTATTCATTTATATAAAATAAAATAAAATGTTTTTTAAGGTGCCCACCTCTTTGAATATAGTCAAACCATCATTTACGGTTCCTTTTGTCTCTTCTGTGGCATTTTCATTAAAAATAAAATTTTAAATTGTATTAAATAAATGGCATACAACATCCATTTTCACAACATACAGCCTTAGTGTGTGCTCCTGTTAATGCAGTCTTACCGATTGTTAAGCGAGTCATTGACCCGTTTTTAAGTTGTAAATTAATATTCTGACCATCAAATAAATTTATCATTTATTTATATCCAAATAATTTTTGGTGTTAAATGTTTATTTTGTCTAAACTAACACCTTTCATTTTTTGTGCAATCTTTTTAAAATCACCCATCAATTGAACGTTGAATGATGTATAACACTTAGGGCATAAAGCAACCATGTTATCACCTTGTTTCTCAATTGCTAAACCCAAATATTCTTCTCATGTGTTTTTTCTTCAGCTTTATTCTTTAATTTAGGTTTAAATTTCTCATCAAAACAGAAGAAATCAAATGGTGCGAATTTGAAAATGTTTTTATCATAAAATTGTTTATCGGTAACAATTGCTTGAAATGCTTGAGTGTTAGGAAGACTTGGATCGCCAGCATAGCCCAATAAGATGAATCAGTATCACCTTCAATGAAATGAAAACGATTAACATCCATGCATTTATACATAAAATCATAAATGAAAACTAAATACCAGTATTTTGCTTATCTTAAAGTAAAAATGCCTCTTGTAAACATGTATCACATCTTAAAAAATCTATCTTTAAGCATCACTTGATATGTATCTTCACCTATTTCTCTTATGTTTTAAACTTATTTGACATACATGCAACGCGTGCCTTCTGTGCATTCATTATTTTTAGTCTTTGGTAATTTTGTGTATTCATTGCATCGTAACCATATGATCCATTAAGCGAAATCTTCACAAATAAACTTTTTCCTTTATTTTCTTCTAATTTAGCCTTTTGTCTTTCGTTCATAAATTTTCGCAAATTCATTTTAAACAAGTGTTTTTAGTAAATGTTAAAATTGATTGAATTCATCATGATAAAATGAAATCTGTTCATTAGATACCATAGTAATAAGAAGAAAATGGTTGATATTGGTTGTTGTGTTGATGCTAATGAGTTAATTTCCTCTGTTTCTGGTCAACTGGTAAATTGTTTGATTTCATGTAATTATACATAAAACTGCCAATTGTTTTTTTCATCTGTGATAATATCTAAGTTTCTTATTATCGGTAAAAAGTTTATGTAATCATTAATGATTTTTCATCAATGTGACCCTTTACTTCAGCCACGAATAAAGTATTTTTCTTCTTAATTATTCCCATGCTTTGCTTTCTTTGTTGCTGTATCACAAATGATAACACCATTCAATCTTCCCGGCATAACATTTTATGGTCAGTATTATTGAATGAAATCATGAGGTTAGATGAAAATGATGAAGGATATAATGAATTAAAGTCAACCCAACGAAATGAGTCAATAATGTTGTGGTGTCCTCATTTGATACAGTTTTAGTTCTGGATATATGAAAGTTTTATTAATGTGCGTGATTCCTTTAAGATTTACTCTATGTTGAACATTTGATAACCACCAGTAATCCATTACGGAGAATGTGATAAGCTTCAACTGTCTAAAGTCATTGGTAAATTATTTTTTAATGCATAATTTCTTAAATTGATTCTTAACGTTGAACATCTTCATCTTTATTTGATTTTACGACATTGCAATAAACAAACATTAACTGACAATTTTCTTTGGTATGTGGTTTTTCATTATCGATTCTATCTAATGTTGGTTTATTTGCATATGTAAACGCTTTACCACACATTTTGCATTTAGATGAAAGGATTAAATCGTGATAGTATTGAAAATCATCCATTGAAACATTATTTTTAGTATCCCTTTTCTGCTTTTTCATCTTGTTTCTTATATGATTCAATTTTATATTTTCCAATACTTTTTCGTTAATTCAAAACTTGATTCTATCTCTTCCTCAGGATATTTTTCATTAGGATTAAAGTCTTTATATGCTAAAGCGTAACGAATCATTGATGCATTCGATGATAAAGAAAGATTATGAAGCATCAATTTATAAACAAATGTTTCTTCAATAATTTTATCGATTGGGTCAATCATAATTTCAACATCTTTATTGCAATAATGAATAAAATATTCTAATCTATTCTTAAATTTTTAGCATCATTGAGATATATTTGATAATCACTATCTGATATAGTTTCTTGAGTTAATGCCTGAATAAAATGAATCTTGTGTGAATGGTTCCACTTTATATAATTCTTCTTCGTAATTTCCATGTGATGAATTGATAAGGGAAAAAGGATTTAACACGTGTTTATTTTTTTCCGAAATCTTGAGTGAATTGGTCTAATGTCCCCCGCTATATATTTCTGATGTCAATAAATCTCAATTCATATGGAACGTTTTTTCTTTTACCAAGTTCTACAATTTATCATATTGACAATTTGGCTCATAAAATAAATTAATCGCCATTTCAGAAATGGTGTTGATCTTTTTACAAAATTTGTTATTGAATGGTGAGAAAGAATCATATCTTGTGAACTTCTGGATTTATTCAAAGATTATATTGGCATATTCCAAACGTTGTACAAGCTAAATACGTTCGACGAAAACAAAATAGAGGAACTTTTCAAGCAAATCAAAAATAATTTAATTGAAACCAAGCTATTTACAATATATGAGATCATATTATCAATTGAAAATGCAATTAGATATATTGAAAGGAATTCAATGTTGTTTCAAAAAAAAAAAACGCCAATAATATTCAACATTCCTTCCAACTTAAATTATTTATTTAGAAACAGCAAAATATTTCAAATGTGATTTTAGGAACCTTAAGCCAATTGAAGTATTCGAATACCCTAGTCAAGGCAGAATACAACAAGATTTTTATTCTTTTTCTCTTATAAATTAATTTTTGTTTTTATGGAATTCTCAATCTATTCATATTTAGCATTGTTTAATGAAATTTTCTTTATTTTCATATTTATCGTTGTTTTATTACATTCTCTTTCTTTTCAAATTTATAATTGTTTTGTAAACTTCTCTCACTATTAACGAATGCCCACTAAGCATTGCAATCAAAACGAATTCAATTGAAATTGTCAAATTCTTAGTTGAACATGGTTCTGATGTTAATTTGAAACTTATTCTCCCTTTTTTCATATCATTCTTTATTTCATATGTTTCATTGTTTTATGGAATTAATTCTCCATTCATATGTTTCATTGTTTTATAGAATTTTCTTTATATTAACATTTTTAATTGTTTAATTACATTATCCTTCATATTTATTATTGTTTTATAGAATTCCCTTTCTATTCATATCTATTGCTGTTTTATGAAATGTTCTTTATCTTCATATTTATCGTTGTTTTCTGAAATTCTGGTGATATTAATGAATGTCCTCTTAGTCTTGCAATCAAAGTGAATTCAATTGAAATCGTCAAATTCCTAGTTGAACATGGTTCTGATGTTAATTTGAAACTTATTCTCCTTTTTTTAATATCATTCATTATTTTATAGAATTCTCTCTCCATTCATATTTTTCATTATTTTATGACATTCGCTTTCTATTCATATTTATTAATGCTTTTTGAAATTCTATATCTATTCATATCAATCATAGTTTGATTATTGTCTTTTGGAAAAGTCGAATGGTGGAATACCAAAACTGTAAAAAAGCACTAAAAATTCAAACAAATATCAATTAACTAAGTTTCCAATCCCTGAATCAGCCGATAATAATAATAGTGGGTTCCAAAACATTGCTTAAGGGTGCACACGAGAGAATCATGTAAACTTCAGAATTTAGAACCTTATTTTTAGGCATTATCTTGGCTACCTATTTAGGCTCGAAAAGCAAAAAATATCAAAAAATACAACTTGACTCAATTATGACCCTTTATTTATGCTTAAACACAAAAAATAACACGAAAATTTTTGGCCAACATATCAAAACTAAGGATAATGTTTTGAATATATAAGCAATAATACTTTGTCTAGAGAATTAAATTTGTGCTATCTAATTGTCAATTCTTTGAATTTTTTTTAAACGCAAGATATCCCGGCATTAGCCTCAATAAATATAAACTACATGCATCACAATATTAGGATGTAATGGCATTAAAGCGAAATTCCTAATTTCTTCTCAAATAAATTCCTAAAAAAAACATCGGAATTAGGAAATAGGTCAAAAAAATTCCTAATATAAAACTTATTCTTAAGATAAAATCAAAATTCGAAAATATCTATTTTTCAAAATACGCATCCAAAAGCGAAAAAATTCGAAAAAATCATGTTCTTATAAAACTCGCCGATTTTGCAATTTTTATCCGATTTGAAGTTATAGAATATATTACCATCTTACAAAAACATATACTTCATTATTGCATTCACAAAATATTAATCAGAACATTAGGAAAAGTGGATTTTCGAAAAAAGACGATAACGATTATTTGTGAATCGCCTCTCAATTTTGAGAGACTTTCAATTTTTACAGTGGACCCTTAAATTGGCAAACAATTTTGTTTCTTTTCAATCAAAGACAGACTTTTTTTATCCGCTATAGATGCTGCTGATTCAATATATTTTATTCTAATAGAATAGATTGTTAGGGCGTCACATTTTTTTTATCTGCAAGAGAATCTTGTCTTAATAAGAAAACACAAGTGAAAAAATATTTTTACTTTCCTCATAAAAGCATATTTTCCTAATAAAAACATGTTCTAATTAGGAGTGAAGTCCTCAAAAAAGTGTAAAATTTTAGGTCAGAAACGATAGACCCTCAGAAAATGACGCGAATCTTCAACTTCAGTAAAGTTACTTCACTCATTCCTAAATGCAGTACCTTTTCTGAAGCCAAAAAGCTCGCAGGTCAAGAATTCGTCCGTCAATTTTTCCAATCCAATGATGAAGTTCGGCAATCTTTTACAAAAGAACTGTTTAGCTGGGCAACGAACAGTCTTCACAGCCATGAGATAGATGATCGTGTTGCAGCTCTTACAGGTCTGGCATTTTACTTGAATTTCATCGATAAAGAACCAGAATTGCAAAATTTAATTGCGCAATTAGAAAGAATTTTACCAGCGGAGAATATATTAATCATCACAGGAACATCGTATCTATTTGAACATATTAACAGAAAGATATCAACGCCATTTATTCCGAGATTATTTGAAAGATGTGCTTCTTGGATTGCAACAAGACCAACGCCGCACGCTATATTATCTTCAGCTTTGATCATGAAACGTTTATATTTCTGTAGCGCGTCGAATACAACAAACTACAACTCGATTTTAAGTTCTGTCGTAAATGCTGCATTCAAATTTGATAACCCGGAAGCCCAAAATACTGCTGTTGAGTTATGCATGATGAGCCTTTCAAGAAATCCTTCTGTCGATGAAGCAACAAAAGTTTTCATTTCGGATAGCATCGTGGTCTTTGAATCAAGGGCAAATGGAAGTCCAGCGATGGTACACGCATACGGATATTTACTTCTACTTACTGCTTTAATGAAAAACTACAGGAGAATTACAACTCAAAGATTTTCCGATTTTTTCTCCTCATTTTTAAACTTTTTGACCAGAAATTTTGATAAATCGTTCATAGAATTTATTGCATTCTTCTGCGAAAGCTACAAACAAGGAACAATCAAATATCTCAACGAAATACAACAAATTTTGAAAAATTCTGAGATAGATTATTCAGAAGTAACCGTTTGTACAAATTTATGCCGTATAATTAAAGTTTTTCCGGAAGAATTTTGTGAATACGCTTTTGAAGTGGCAAAAACGGTTTTACCGAAGTCGAACTCATGTTTCTTTGATATAATAAGTGCTATACTATCTGTACAATACAAAAAAGTCGATCATCAAACGATTTTTACAACATTTACCTCATCTCCTTTATCTATCTCTGTTTTACAAGCAATGAACAATTTCTTACTATGTTTCCCTCAGTACACATTCAAATTCTTAGCAATTTTGCATCCTTTGATTAAAGAAATTTTCGAAAAAAATCCGGAACGAATAATCATTGCATTAGAGGCTTTAAGACTATTCTCCCGTCTTGTACAATTCTCATGTGATGGATATTGGTCGTATTGTACTAAATATTTATCAGATTCGAACAAAGATATCAGAATTAAGACAATAAGAGTTCTCTACGCCATGTGCGAGTTGAACCAAAACCACAGGTATGAAACAACCATAAATATCTTATTTAATGGCCAAAATGACCCAGAAAAAGACGTAAGAATCATAATAATGAAAGAATTCCCTGAATGGCTCTTGGATACATTCAGCGATGCTTCCCTTGTATCGCTCGTTGAACAGTACATCGATGACGTAAGTACTCACGTTGGAATCCTCGCAATTGAGTTAATTGGTCGGATAAGAAAGAAATTCCCAGTTAATACTTTAAGTACATTTTGGACACGTATATCACATATGGATGTAGAATTCTTCCATACAGATTTAATAAATGAAAGGAAGAAATTAATTCTAAAATTACCATCTTTAATCAAGAATTCCGGGGAATTTTCGATACCATTGTACAGCCAAATAATTGATTTCATCAGTACATTGTTTCAGAATCCTCCTCCTTTGCACCAAACTTTTGAAGAAAGAGTTAATCAGCACCACGATGAAAAATGCGATAGATTGATAAGGATCTCTTGTCTCCATGTCGTACAGGCCATCGGTTACTCATTAAACGAAGTCCTTCATAAAGTTTCAAAACTTACAAATGATATTATTAACCAGTTATACATTAATTCGCATCCTACCTTCCATATCGAAGTACTGAGAACTCTCAGATGCATTTTCCGGTGCGTAAATGTACTCCATGATACAGATATTAACGGATTAGAATTAATCAACAAATTATTAAGTTTTATACAGAACGATCACAATCCGAGCGTATTAGAAGCATTTACGACGTTGTTCGGAACCATTGGACCGCTAGATCCTTATTGGTTCCACTCAACTGAGCCGAAACAAGTCACAATCGACTCATCGCAACTCTCTGACCCATCCAAACGCGAGAAATGTTACTTAGACTTCGTTATGGGCTACATTGTCGATCAATTACAATCGAAATCCAGAAATCACGAGCCGACGACGCTTATCAACGCTATTGTTTACATCTTTCAGTCCGATGCATCCAATTGCCTTCAATATTTGGATGTCATCGTTAAAATTTTCGTGAATTTGTTCAATGAACAAAATTCAAGCCACGAATCGCTATTTCGATTCCTCAGATCGATAATATTGCTTGTAGATGTAGCAATTCTGCCTCACGCTCAGTCAATCATGCAAATTGTCCAAAATTTCCTTCCAAATGGCGTTTCTATCGAAGCTGTCCGAACAGTTAACGCTCTTATATATTCCCTCAAATCAGAGTTCGGCCAATTTGGCCTTCAAACGTTCAAAACCGTCATTTCTGTCTTAAATTCGAAATCCGTAACTTCACAAGAGATCAGATCATCATTTCTACTAACTCTTACTCTTCTCACGATCTATTCCGACGGCTGCACACAGGAGTTCTTCACTTACATCAGTTCCGCCGTTGAAAATAAAGATTCAACGAGTCAAAACGCGTTAATGTACTTAAGTCAAGCGATTGCGTCTGGCGGAATGAAGCAATTAGTACTGCCAAGCCTTAAACTGGCACTTTCGCAGGTAAATGGGGCTCAAACAACTCAAAATGCGATTCAATTGTTATATGTACTGATTGCGAAGTATCCTGATACGATAATGATGATGCCTGTTGATCTTAAAGGTATATCGCCGGTATTAGATGAGTTGATTTCGACTGTAAAGCAGAAAATTCAGATTGATCTTGATAAATCTCCATTTGCAAAGCAGTTGCAGACCACTCCTGACCCGTATTACCAAAGACCAAAGATGCAGTTCGATCCAAAGTCAGTCCAATTAACAATAGAACAAGGAAGATTCAGATCTACGGCAAGTGAAGGTAATTGGACAGCCTGGGCCTTGAACTTCTCCCAAGAACTGGCTCTATGTTCAAGATCTCCTGCTATAAGAGCATGTTTACCCTTGTTAATGTCGTCGACAACACTTCATCTCAATATTTTCCCATTGATATTCCTTAGCGTATGGGAGAATACGTCTGCTGAAGAGAGACAACAGCTTTCCAACTACATAAGATCGATTATTTCCCAAAATGTCCCTCAAATGATCCTTCATTTGGTTTCTGCAACATGCGAATCACTCGACAGAGCGAATTTCTCACTATTTCCAGACGAACCGCTCTTGCCAGGCCAGATCTCCGAAAGATGTAACTCCTGGTTCAGAGCTCTGAGATTTTACGCTTCAATTCCAAAAAGTGACACTCTATTTTTGAATTGCCTCAGAATTGAAACGCAACTTAAGCGAAAAGATTGTGCATTAGGATTACAAATGATGGTACCTCAGGAATGCACAAATTGCGATTTATTGGAGAATTTGAACATGTGGTCGAAAGCAAGGGAAATTTACATGATTAGATATAAGGAGAATGACAGGAATGACCAGTATTTGATAGGGCTCCTCAAATGTTCCGTTCCTATGGACGATTGGGACGTAATTTGCGAAAGATTCCCAGAATTTCCAACTTACTCCAAGAAGATGAAACAGGAGCTCGGAACAGTATTTGGAGCAGCCGCAATCTCGAAAGGAATCGATGAAAAGCCTTATTTCGAGAGCGTTATTGAAGATGATCCAAGTTACTGCTACTGGAGATGCATTGCAAGCATAAAGAAGAAAGACCTCGAAGAAGCAACTAACTGGATATCAAGAGGAAGGAACTCAATCGTTAGAAACGAAGAAATTTTCGCAAGTGGAAATTATGAGCCGGCAATTCCGACCATCTGCTACAGCATGATATTCGAGGAACTCAATGATGTAATAGACAGCTTCAATAAAGGCCCAGATCCCAAAGTTCTCAATTTATGGTCGGATAAATTAGACTATTTAGCGAGAGATCCGACATGGCTGAGGATGGTTTCGCGAGAAAGAGCGTTATATAACGCTAGCGATGAAGAACGGCTCGGAATGAGATTAATTTTCATCAATTCCTTAAGAATGCAAGGCGAATGGGAGTTGTTTGACAAGCTTAGCCACATATACTTGCCGGATAACGACCCTAGAGTCCGTTTGCTGTACGCAAATGTCAGATTTGACCGAGGAATCACGAAAGACACTTCAGAACTCAAAACTCTTATCGAAGACCTTAAGAAGAACGGACCTCTCGATGTATACTGCAACGCCGTTTGTTCATTTGCCAGTCGAACGAAAGAATTAAGTAATTTACTCGAAATGTTGAACGACGTTATCAAGCACCAGCCAAATAACTGCAAGGCGTGGAAGTACTTTGCGTATACCAACCTCAGTTTGTCCGGATTAGATGAAAAAGACTCTCATATCTACGCAAATAACGCAATGAAGGGATTTATCTCTTTAATCGACCTGAAGAGTGGCGCAATGCATTATCTATGCCAGTTGTGTTCCATTTTCTTCAACAACGCGAAGAAATTACCGGATTTCGATCTGGCAAACGAAAGATTAATGAAATTGCCACCAGAAAGTGTCGATAAAATCATGCCACAGCTATTAACTCAACTATCCCATACTTGCGAAAGCTGTAGAAACGTCGCTTTCAAGATAATTGAAAAATTAGCCGATGAAAACTATCATGCGCTTTCGTATTCCCTTTCATTGATAAGGAAATTGGATCCTTCCTCTGAATGCATAAGTCTTATCGATAAAATCGAAGCGAAAAACATCTCAATTTCGCAAGATTTGCATTCATTCACTGAATCATTGATTTACGTGGCCGTTCTTCCTTTCGAACTCTTCCTTTCACTACTAAATAGACTAAATGCAGCTTCAAACCAGTTGGATAAGAAATTAATGGCAAATATTATCCAGGAAGTGCTCAAATTCCATCAGACGTATAACGAATCGAATAATGAATGGATGAGGAAGTGTGTAAATCTCGATTTTTGGAAGAAAATCGCTAATTTCTCAGAAAATTCAGATGAAACTCAAATAGGAAGCATTTTCTCATCAACGAAGAATATAATTAGCAGATTGACCTTGTTAATCGACCAAATTGATACAATTGACGTAAATGATTTCGATATAAAACTAAGTAAACAGAAATCATTCTCGGTTGCAATTCCAGGACTCAATTGTATCAGCCAGAAGCCGATTCTCGTATCACACGTCCATCATATATTGAAAACAATGCCTTCTGCTCAACATCCACGAAAAATGTCGATTGTTGGTACGGATGGCATCACTTACAAGTATCTTTTGAAGGGCGGTGTAGACTTAAGACTCGATTTGCACGTAATGCAGTTGTTTTCGCTGATTAATTCAATTTTGGTCGAAGATAAATTTGGCGATGAGATGCATTCCTTGATACATTTGTACGGCGTAACACCTCTTTCGAGGCAGAGCGGTCTCATTTCTTGGGCTGAAGGAGGAAAAACGTTGTATTCGCTCATTAAATGGTACAGAAAGCTCCGAAAATTCCCATTGACCGCGGAAAGCAAAGTATACATGGACTTCCTTCCGAAAGGCAAGGAATCGTCTTTGCTGCTAACGAGGATCCAGAGATTGGAAATTTTCAATGAATTAGTTGAAGCGGCTCCATCCGACCAATTAAGACAAGTCCTCTGGCTGAAGTCTCCTTGTGCAGAATCATGGCTTATACAAGCTACAAACTTCGCTAGATCGACTTCTTTGATGTCATTTGTCGGATATATTATCGGACTCGGCGACAGACATCCATCAAACATATTGGTGATGGAGAAGAGAGGCAATGTAGTCCATATCGATTTAAGCGAAGTGTTCGAAAAGGCTGCATTAAGGAAAACAGCAAGAGAAGTTGTTCCTTTCAGACTTACGAGGATGATTGTTGATGCTTTAGGTCCTTCTGGTGTTCATGGTGTTTTCTCAATCACAGCAAGAAACGTAATGAACGCATTAAGAAGAAATCAATCAACAATTTTGGCTTTCTTGGATATTTTCACTAAAGAAAACATTGTTGACATGATCTGGTACCAGAATGATGACAATGATGATGCAGATAAAGAGAAATCTTCCCTCAAAAAGGCAATTTCGAAGTTGGAAGATAAACTAAATTTCAGAGAATTTGGAGAAGAAAATCCTGACACAGACGAACACGTGTCAAAGCTGATATCAATAGCTACTGATCCAATGAACCTCTCTCAGATGTATCTTGGATGGTCTGCTTATTGGTAATTATTATATTAATTATGTGTTGTTATATATATTATTTTATAAAACTATTATCTGTTTGATATTTAAAAAAAATAATTCGTGATTTTTTTTTTTCAACTTGAAGAGAAGAAAGAAACTAGTAGTATCATTAATAATGAGTGAAAACTTTCGAATGCGTCCTTGTTCATGTGATTTGTTTACCGTTGTTGCTCGGTTGTATATCTTATTTCATGAGAATATCCTTCTTCATGACTTCCAATAAAGAAACAAAGTAATGTATGAAACTTGAAAGCGTCAGTTTCCCAAAAATTTGCAATCTCAATTACAATATATTATTCAGAAGAATATGATTCAACAATTTTCCCACAAACAGCTTGCAGAGTGTTTTGATAAGAAGATCTATTGATGACATAAAATAAAATTTATATCTTTGAATAGAATTTGTAAAAAAAAATCAGAAGTAAATTATGACCGAAGATAGATTTTTACTTACATATAGATCAAAGCAGAGGTTGTGGACTATAAAAATTGTCGTTTTGGAACCCTAAATCGTAAGAAAAGATTGCATTAACAATCCAGCAAACAACCATTGATGGTGATATATCGAAAATCAAAACTTTTGTAATAATGAACCATCTGGCGATTAATGGAAGAGCACCAGTCTTATCAAATTGCGCATACCATCCAGTAATAAAATCAAATGGACTAAACATGATTATATCGTAGATACATCTAGACACTTCAAGAAAAATGAACAGTCCAATGAGGAAATTTGAGGTTCTCATACAACAAAGCTTTCCTGGTTGAATAACTGGGTATGTCATCTTCTTTATAAGTCTAAATGATGGTACCATGGCGAAAACTAAAATCATGATAGTTGTTGCCGCATGCCATAAATAATAAGTTTCGCGATCGCCTTGTAACCCGGAGTAAACGGTTATCACTACAGCTGTGGATATGAAAGTGATACTGTACAATGCAAAAAAGAGCTTGAAAAATTTATTTATCGTCTGTGTGATTCCTTGATATTGATAGAGTAAATCCATTATAATATAAATGACTATTGATACGTATATAAATAGTAAAACTTGATTAATTCCAATCCAAACGATTTGATATGATAATTGTGTATAATGAAAAGGGCAAATAGTGATAATGATTCTAAATATGACTGTGATGATCATGAAAACCCAGAATGAGAGAAAATAATCGACTTTGCATTTGTCTGTTTTCTTCCTATTCTTGAGATACAAAATTAAATAATAAACAGGAAGTATTAAAGATAAAACATGTGCAACAACAAGTGTATACATTTCATTATAATTGCATCCATATGCACTTGCAACATATTTGCATAAAATTAAATCTTTAGAGCTCATTTTTATATTTTTTGTCAATTTTATGATAGAATGAGAGTTATCCCAATTCAAAGATCGTATTTTAGAGCGCAATTCTTGGGAGTTGCCCGAAAACAGATAGATCTTGAGGATAATTCATAGATTTATCGAAATTTGATTATATTGATATCAAAATTATGAGATAAGAATAAAATTTAAATGGAAATATAAAGCTTGTAAGAATTGTATATAAACTCCTTTGTGTTAATTTTTCAAAAAAAAATCGGAAATCATCAATTTGATAATATTTTTCTAAAAATTTAATTTTATTTTCTGAATTTCTCAATTTTTTTAGAGAAATTTTATATTACAAAAAAGCGGGATTTCTCATATTATGTCTTTTTTGTTACTCAAATATAAGATTTTGAATTTTTTTCATAACAAAAAGTGTCATAAATCTATTGAAGCTGATTTTAGCTTAATAACCACTTTAGATCAAATTCCCAAATTACTCTCTTTAAATTTGATACAAGGAAAGTTATACACAGTGCTCCAAAGAGATCTTTTAAGTACAAAGCAATTTTTTTTCCTATCCGAGAGCTCCCATTTCTTGATATAGTTGCAAATCTCCATTAATTTCAAATCTAATGCAAAAATGTGCATTTTTTGAAGATTGCTCTTCTCAATTGCTTCATCTTTTTTAGAATGAAAAAAGAGTTCGTATTTTCAAACTTAAGTTCAAAGAGGATAACCATTGTAACGTAGTTTACTTTTAGTATCTTAAAGTTTCGTTACATTATCTTTTTTTTTGTCCTTATTCGCTTATTTTTTTCGTAACTAATATCAAACACCAATGATATGCTAAGTTTTTTCAACATGCAGAGCAAGCAAAAGTACTTAAGCTAACGAATAATGAAAAATGTAAAATATTCGTCTTCTTTATCGTTTAAGTTCGGTATTTTTTAATTACAAATCATGTAGGAATTCTGTTTCTTTGCATCCGATATAGAAAGCTAAATATCTAAATAAATTTGCCAATTATCCGATCTTATATCAATAATGAACTTTTATGGAATAGTTTTTCCATGTCTGATGCAATTTAGATGCATTAATATATGCTCTGTTCTCTTCATAATGAAATATTTAGATGGAGAAAAATATAGTAGTTTTGAAATAAAAAGTGACAAAATTGACCAAAACAATCACGCTAAGGGTTTCGTTTTGCGAAAAAAACGTACAATACGCAATTTCGCTAAAAAAAACATTTAGCTAGCAATTTCGACATTTGACTCCACTCAAGACGTCACTTTTTTAATTTTGCGGTATCATATTTTTGGAAAATCTTTATGAATATTATATAAAAAGTCTCTTTAATATCTATATTTCATATTTTTATCGATTTTTAAAGTTTTTGCGAAAAGTATTCAATTATTTTTGCTATTTGGTCGGGTAAATGTCAGATTTGCGACATTTTCTGATATGATATTCAGATTCTACGTTGATAATAATGCTTATAGAACCCTCTTGCTATTGTGTCAAAATTGCGAAACCGATAGCAAAAATATCTCGCAATATCAAAATTGAGATATTGAGTGAATTATGCATTATAGAGATTAAAAATCTGATTTGTGAAAACATCTCATCAGTTTCTAGCTAATTCAAAAATCTTTACTATCTTATTCGATTAAAATGAAAAGGGAATAGTTTCATTATGCTTTAAATGACAGCCTTATAATCTAATCATAGTTTTCGCTCAATATGCAGCATTTTTTTTTCGAAATCTATGGTCAATATCCTAAATACTGATTGCTTTGCATTCATATCTCTTACATTTTCTATACCCACATCACTATTCATTGCTATTCCTATCTTTTTCATTTTTGTTTGTTTCTCATAATTTCTCAAAAAACATGATAACTTGATATTTGTAAATATCATACTTTATAACGTAAATAAGAACTTGACCTATTAAGAAAAGCAGTAATGAAAAGAAAATCTGAAATTCATAAAAATTACAAGTTTCTGATGACAATTAGCTTAATTAAACCAGGTACAAGATTATATAATTGTATTTTCTATCCAATTATCCATATAATATCTTATCCAGAAAAAATAACTTTGTAATGCATGAAAATTCGGTTCACTTCATTTTTGACACTTTACATATCGGATGTATTATCTAAGAATTATATTATAAAATAATAATTTTGTGTTTTATAAGTTTATTTGTATAAATTGATTCAAAAAAATGGAAAGACAAGAAGTGGATCTGCCAAATGAAAATCAGATTTATAGTTTTAGAGAGTTACATACATGAAATATGAAAATTGAACTTTGTATACGGAATTGTTGGCTATGATGTACTGATCATGAATCAGTACATCATAGCCAACAATTCCTTCGCAAACAGCGGGAAACTTTGTCTGAATAGTTTAACATTCAGACAAAGTTTCCCGCTGTCAGAGAGGGAATGGAAGGGTAAGAGGTATATATTCATAATGTATACCTCTTACCCTTTCATTCCCTCGAGAAAGTTCAAAAACTTGGGTGCAATCAGTTCTGATTGCACCCAAGTTTTTGAACTTTGTATACGGAATTGTTGGCTATGATGTACTGATCATGAATCAGTACATCATAGCCAACAATTCCTTCGCAAACAGCGGGAAACTTTGTCTGAATAGTTTAACATTCAGACAAAGTTTCCCGCTGTCAGAGAGGGAATGGAAGGGTAAGAGGTATATATTCATAATGTATACCTCTTACCCTTTCATTCCCTCGAGAAAGTTCAAAAACTTGGGTGCAATCAGTTCTGATTGCACCCAAGTTTTTGAACTTTGTATACGGAATTGTTGGCTATGATGTACTGATCATGAATCAGTACATCATAGCCAACAATTCCTTCCCAAACAACCCGAAATTTGTCTGATTCCACACTAATTTTATTAATTTATCTAAACTTTTATCTCTTGTTCTAGATAAATTATCATCAATAATAATCTCTTGTTCTATTTCACTATTATATATATATATATTTATATGATTTGATTTAAAAAAAATAAATAAATAAATTAATAAATCATTTACTCAAATATATCAAAAGTTTTATTTTTATATATAAAGATAACTACTTTTAAAAAAAAATACCCTATATATTTTTGCCATGTAAACTTGTCACTTTTGTCAGAAGTGAAGTGAACCGAATTTTCATGCACAACACAGAAAAAATAACTTGATCAATACCAAATGATTTTTTAACTAGTAAATAAAGTATTTTCTTTACACACACATTGTATATCATAGTTTTTTTTTTTTTGGTTTCGCAAAACATCCAAAAACAAATATGCTATAAAAGTGACAATTTTAGCAAAACGAAACCCTTACGTAAATATGACAAATTACTTTGCGTGATTAAGGGTTTCGTTTTGCTAAAATTGTCACTTTTATAGCATATTTGTTTTTGGATGTTTTGCGAAACCAAAAAAAAAACTATGATATACAATGTGTGTGTAAAGAAAATACTTTATTTACTAGTTAAAAAATCATTTGGTATTGATCAAGTTATTTTTTCTGGATAAGATATTATATGGATAATTGGATAGAAAATACAATTATATAATCTTGTACCTGGTTTAATTAAGCTAATTGTCATCAGAAACTTGTAATTTTTATGAATTTCAGATTTTCTTTTCATTACTGCTTTTCTTAATAGGTCAAGTTCTTATTTACGTTATAAAGTATGATATTTACAAATATCAAGTTATCATGTTTTTTGAGAAATTATGAGAAACAAACAAAAATGAAAAAGATAGGAATAGCAATGAATAGTGATGTGGGTATAGAAAATGTAAGAGATATGAATGCAAAGCAATCAGTATTTAGGATATTGACCATAGATTTCGAAAAAAAAATGCTGCATATTGAGCGAAAACTATGATTAGATTATAAGGCTGTCATTTAAAGCATAATGAAACTATTCCCTTTTCATTTTAATCGAATAAGATAGTAAAGATTTTTGAATTAGCTAGAAACTGATGAGATGTTTTCACAAATCAGATTTTTAATCTCTATAATGCATAATTCACTCAATATCTCAATTTTGATATTGCGAGATATTTTTGCTATCGGTTTCGCAATTTTGACACAATAGCAAGAGGGTTCTATAAGCATTATTATCAACGTAGAATCTGAATATCATATCAGAAAATGTCGCAAATCTGACATTTACCCGACCAAATAGCAAAAATAATTGAATACTTTTCGCAAAAACTTTAAAAATCGATAAAAATATGAAATATAGATATTAAAGAGACTTTTTATATAATATTCATAAAGATTTTCCAAAAATATGATACCGCAAAATTAAAAAAGTGACGTCTTGAGTGGAGTCAAATGTCGAAATTGCTAGCTAAATGTTTTTTTAGCGAAATTGCGTATTGTACGTTTTTTTCGCAAAACGAAACCCTTAATTTACGTAGAATAGATTCAGAAAGTAAATACATTCCTTAATTTATTTTCCTTTCTCTTATTTTTACGATTTTGTGAATTTTCCAAATGTCAGAGTTGGATGTTGAAACCCCATTTGTTGATAGTTATACTCATTTCGATTTGTTCGTGAATTTGAACTGTTTATCCTTGATCATTGTTCAGAATTCATCCAAAGATTCTTATCGATTTTGTAATTTACCAACAATTTTAAAGCATCAGATTTTGTTTTATGGTTGAATAACAAATTCATTCCCCATCAACAAGTGAGGTCAATTTTATTCTGAAAAATGTTTTAATGAAATTTAAATCTATACAGATAATTATACAAATAATTTTTATTAATCGACCATTTGTAAACAATCTCAATTGAAAAATGGGCTAAATAGCCTCGATAGACAGAAAATGGAAATATGATATTTGATCATTTCAAGCACTAATTTCATTAAAATACCATTTATACTTTTTCTCCTTTGTATTTTAAAAAGCAATCAAAAAATTGAAAGACTTTTGCGGTTATTTTTGAAGGCATCGTTTTTAGCCAAAAAACAAATAAGAAATATCGATATATAACACATAATCTATTACACTCTCATTGAATGCCAGTTGACCACTTCAGTATACAAAATATTGAATACTTGCTGTCTGAAAAATTGAATTGAAACAGCTTGATATCACTGTTTCGAAATGAGCACTGAAGCTCCTGTTCTCGGTATCCTCTGCGGTGGTGGTCCAGCCCCAGGCCTCAATGGTGTCATCGCTGGCGCTACACTTTACGCCCTTAGACTTGGCTGGAAGGTCATCGGCTTCATGGAAGGTTTCAAGTACCTTTGCACAGGCGATGTTGATGTCGTCAAGGCCCACACAATCGACCTCACATACGATATCGTTTCTCGTATCCACTTCCAGGGTGGCACAATCATCCAAACATCCCGTGCTAACCCACGTAAGTCCCCAGAACTCCAAGAGAACGTCCGCAAGTGCCTCCGCGCTCTCAAGGTTCGTTACTTCCTTACAATCGGTGGTGATGATACAGCTTCATCCGCTGTTTCCGTCGCTTCCGGCATGAACGGCAACGAGATCTCTGTCATCTCCTGCCCAAAGACAATCGATAACGATCTTCCACTCCCAGCTGACCAGTCCACATTCGGCTTCCACACAGCTCGCTCCCTTGGTATGGAAATCATCCGCAACCTCATGGTTGACTCCAAGTCTGCCCCACGTTGGTTCCTTGTCGAAGCTATGGGCCGCTCTGCTGGTCACCTTGCTCTCGGCATGGCTGAAGCTTCTGGTGCCCACCTTTGCCTCATCCCAGAAGAATTCAAGCAGGACGAAATCGAATTCGAAGATGTTGTTGAACTCGTCGAAGCTACAATCCTTAAGCGCCTTGCTTACGGAAAGAACTACGGTGTCTGCGTTCTTGCAGAAGGCCTCGTTTCCAAGATGTCCAAGAAGGCTCTCTACAAGCTCTTCGGCAACCGCGAACCACCAACAGATCCACACGGCCACATCCTCCTCGATGATGCTGAACTCGCTCGTTCTCTCTCCGAGGAACTCCTCAAGCGCCTTGGCAACCTCGGCATCAGAATCACACCAAAGAAGATCGGTTACGAACTTCGTTGCGCTGATCCAGTCGCCTTCGATGCTGTCTACACACGTGAGCTCGGCTACGGTGCTATCGATGCCTTCCTCAACGGCCACTCCGCTGCCCTCATCGTTCGTGAGAACGGCCAGGTCAAGCCAGTCCAGTTCAAGGACCTCCTCGACCCAGCTACAGGCCGTGTCCGCACACGCCTTGTCGATGTTACATCACAGTCATTCAAGGTCGCTCGTGTCTACATGTGGCGCATGAGCAAGAAGGACTACGAGAACAAGGATCTCGTCGCCCGCGTCGCTGCTGCCGGCAAGATGACACCAGAGGCCTTCACAGAGAAGTTCGCTCACCTTACAGATGTTGTCGTCGAATAAATTAACAAACAAACTGTCAAGAAATAAATAAACATCTTACTATACACGCAAACATTTAATGTTATAAAATTTAATATTATTAATCTAAAGAAAATCATTCTATTAGAATTTGAATTAAATGATTTCCCTTTTATTTATTTAAATTAATAAATAAATATAGGCATTTCTAGTCTATATTATTTTTTTTGGAAATATGAGGCAAGAAACCAAAACTATAATATATTTCTTTCTATTCCTCTTTTTTTAGTGAGAATCAAATAAATTTATAATTAAATCTTTATTTTATAATGTTTTTGATAAATGGCTAGGTTGTATCAGAACGATTTTCAACCACAGAATTTTTTTGATAATTTTATGAAAATTCTGAAAGAAACTCTTCACCTTGGTTATTAAAAATATTTTGAATCGGAGACTAGCAAACATGTAAGAAATTATTATTAAAATAATAAAATTTTCTGATTAATAATCGTATTTTGGGATTGTGATATACATCCTATATATTTACGCACACACAAAAAAATTTATCATTTTCTATCAAATTTTCACTCGAAAGACTTTTGACGACATATTGTCAAATCTGACATAGCCACACAATTTGAAAAAAAAATCATTATTTTATAAAGATGATTCCACTGCTTGCTGTGCGAAGAAGTTTTGATTTAGGCGATCCTGAATACTTGGGATGGAGAATGAGATGCGAACGAGACTACTCGAGTAGACTCGGAAAATTAGAACGCGAGTTACCATTATTTAAACCAAAGAAGAATAATCAACTTGATGATATTGGAAGAATGATGTGGGCACAGAGATGTGAAGCAGAAATAAGAAGACTTCAAAAAGAAGGCAAATGGCTCCAATTAAGTAAACCAAAGAAGAATGATCAACTTGATGATATTGGAAGAATGATGTGCGAACAGAGATGGGAAGAAGAACGAAGAAGACTTATAAAAGAAGGAAAATGGCATCCAATATGGTTCCCACTATTTTCACACTCTAAAACAAGCCCCAAATCCACTCCAAATTATGATTATGATTTCAGCAAACAGATGGACCGAATTGCACGAAGAATGAGATTATTAAGAATGAGAAATGATCTTATTAAACAAGGTAAACCAATTCCTGCCTATCTTAGGTTTATCTAAATATCATTTCTTATAACTTTTCTGATAGTAAAAATTTCATTTACTGATCAATAATTATGACTATTTTTTTCATTAAAAAACATAATTCTTCAGGTATTTAAAAGAACTATCTCCGAAATCGATGAAAATTGGACTGTTCCAATAAGTAAAGATTTGTTTGAACCAAATGGATTCAAAAGAAGTCATGTTCAACAGATATTTGCAAGCTTATATCAGAAATACACAAAAAAGCAAGGAAAATAAACTTTGTTATTTGCTCATTTTTTATATTCTCAACTTTGTTCATATGTTTTATCATCTGATTCATTGCTAAATTTAGAACCAGCATGCATGGTATATCAAGTATATTGACATGTTATGAGTATTTCCTATATCCGCTTAAAAAATAGGATTAGCTTTATAAAATATAACTAGAATCTATAGATCAAATACAATTGTAATTATTTGTATATTGAGTTATTGTAATACCCCTATTTTTGGCTATCATAAAAGCTATTCATATATCTGGTACCATGTGAAATTAGAAACTTTATAGTTTTCTTTCTATTGTATTATAACTCAACCATCAGAGGTAAATCTTCATTAAATTTTTGTATTATTCTATAGTTTTTACTTTAATTGTAGCGATTGCTTTAATTTCACTTCTTAATGATAAACAGAACAATTTGCATACTATGAGATTAGAAAATCATGCGGATTTCTAAGAGATCTGTGAATTGGGCTGTATAATTTAAAAACGATTATATCAAAACGAAGAAATATAAGAATTGAGTCAAATTATTAGTGTTTACAATTTAATTCGCATACTCTGTTATATTTATTCATTGATATTTGCGCCATGCGAAATAAGAAGTTTGGCTATTTCTTCATCATTTTCCTGTGTGGTAAGATCAAGAGCTGTTTCTCCACAACCATTTTTTTCATTGACATTTGCACCATGTGAAAGAAGAACTTCGGCAGTTTCTCGGCAATGAAATCGTATTGTCTGATGGAGAGCAGTTTGGCCATCATTATCTTTTTCGTTGATATTTGCACCATGTGAAATAAGAAGTTCGACCATTTCTTTTTTATTAGAACCTGCTGCATGATGAAGAGCAGTTTGGCCATCATTATCTTTTTCGTTGATATCTACACCATGTGAAATAAGAAGTTCGACCATTTCTTTTTTATTAGAACCTGCTGCATGATGAAGAGCAGTTTGGCCATCATTATCTTTTTCGTTGATATCTACACCATGTGAAATAAGAAGTTCGACCATTTCTTTTTTATTACGTTTCGCTGCAAGATGAAGGGCTGTATGTCCAAATCCATCTTTGTCATTGATATTTACACCATGTGAAAGGAAATATTCGCAAAGTGATGGAATATTGAACATTGCCGAAGTAACAAAGGCTTTTTTAACATCAATGGTTTTATCAAAAACAACCAAAAATGATTCAAGATTGTTATAAAGTCCGCAATATTCAAAAATGCAATGCGCGAATTCAATCTCTACATGGTATTCATTCATCAAGAATGTAACAAAATCAATGTTGTGTGAAATAATTGCATGCTCCAGGCAAAACGGTCCTGGTTCTTCATATTTCAAACATTCACTCATTATATCTGGATTTCTTCCTAAAAATGAAAATTCTAGACATTCTGTGGTTATTTCTGAGTCGAATTTTGTTCTTAAAAACTTGAAACAATCAACAGCTAATATAGTTATATCTTTGTCAGGCGTTGAAGTGTTTTCATATTTAAATTACAGACTTTAATCTTATGATTCAATGATATTTAGTTGTAAATTGTTGTTTATAAACATGACATTTCCGATGACCTATAGATAAATAGGGTAATTGTAAAGAAATTCAATCTAGAAATGGAAATTAGCTGTAATTTGTATAATTGAAGCTATTCAGCTAAAGATTCACATCTGTTATTATTAATTTGAATTTCTATTTTATTAAGAGTTTAAATCTATGAAATCAGGTTAGAATAACTAAAGAAAAGAAAGAGATTTTTAAAATTAAATCAAAAACTAATAAAACATTTTATTAGGCTTGAGATATTATAGAGTAATACAAGAATGGACAAGCTTATCATGTTTCTTTTTGTCTGAAATGTTAAATAAAGTTTTATGAGATTTATTACGACATTATATTTGTAGATTCAAGAGATTTAATAGGAAAATATCGTAATACAATAGGACACAAATGTGCACATATATCAACCTTTCCGATGTAATTAAAAAAAAATACTGCATAATGTTGTATAATACAAACAATATTTTTTATATGCTAATTATAAAAATACAAACAATATAAATTTTATTTCTTATTGGATTTTGCGTGTACAGGTAGAACTTTTGGTGGAGGAAAGTCATCAACTTCCTCTTCAACAATTTTTGCTAATAAAATCTTTGATTTAATTCTTTCATATTCTTCCCAACTAGTTATTTGTGGTCTGTACGGATATTGAGGAATAGACCTTTCAAACTTCTCCCTCTTCTTCTTTTCGAACTCTTCTCTTTCTTTTTCTGTGATTTCGTATTGAGGATTTCGAGGAATTACTGGTGGAGAGTTTTCTTCTTTAATTTGTTTCTCAACTTTGCTTATCTTGGTCTGGCCGCGTTTCTTATACATCTGAACTCTATCATCAAGCTTTGTATCTCTATATTTAGACTTGTTTATGATGTTTTGGGATGTTGATGAAGTGTATTTTTCTAATTTAGGTTCTGGAGGTGGAACATAAGGTTTTCGGGCGGTGGGAGGTCTTTCGCTTTGCAGTTCTTCTTTTGTCATTAATAATCTTTCTAAATTATAGCCAGTTGTTGGTGATTTCGGTGATTTTGGCCGAATTTCGTCTTCATCATCAGATTTTGTAGTAGTGTTCTTACGGTTTGCTAAGTAAAAGCTTGTCTGAACTTTAACTAGTTTATGGTATTTAGATTTTTTAGTCCCATGAAAAGAATCTATTATTGATTGTTTTGCTGCTTCATTATCGAATAAACCATCACCAACTTTCCAGTTTAAAACTTCATTTCTGATGGCAGATCTGTCTAAAAGTCTTTCTTTTGGTCCAATAATTTGAATTTTACGAAAAGACTCTGTAAGATGATTTATATCAACAAATTCTTCATCACCAAAAGCATCATTAACCAAATCATATATTTTTGAATTAACTAATTGAACAGATGAACCAACACATGATGTATTATGAAAAGAATCTGATTTTTCTAGTGAATTTGATGATCTGATCGACATATTAAAAAGCCTTTTCGAAGAATTTTTATTATTTTGAAGTGCTTTAGGCTTCCAAGACTTAGATGTTGAAATTAATAAAGAAGGAGTAGATAAAGAAACACTAGTCTCGTTGTTTTCAATAGGACTGATACTAAGAACTTCTTCTGAATCTAGTTGTGTTGTTTCTGTATTACTCATATATAATTTTTTTGTGCTCAAAAGACGTTAATTTTCAATAAATAAAAAGTGACACAAAGTATTTCATTATCTAGAAAAGTGACAAAGGGAATTTCCCTTTTTCATTCAAAATGAAAATTAGTTTGAATTTAAGAAAATGGAGTTCAAAGCTAGTAGCGAGACCATTGATAAACAGTTCTTAGAAAGCTATCACGCATCTGAACTTAAAATGAGTATTGATACACTATTTATTGAATTTTCCGAATTGTGTAACGCATTTGTTCAGTCCACAGAGTCATTTAATGATGAAAGTATTGATGTTATCAAAGAAATTTGCTTCTTTATTGTTAATCATAAAAATAATTTTATTAACAATCATACAGCGATCAGAGTCATTGAAGAATCAAATATATTGTCAGAGATATTGCTAATCTTACAAAATATCGATTCTATTCACAATGAAATTTTGATATTATATTGTTCAAAGTTTTTATCAATAATTTCAACGATTACACGTGTAACAAAAGACATCTTTAATGATATACCATTGATTCAGCAGCTTTACACTGAGATATTATACATTTTCATAGAAAATGGAAAATTTTCGTTTGAAAAACAGTTTTATTATGACATTTCAAAGTTTTTAGATTCATTTATTGAATACATACCTGTATTAGATTCAATTTCCACAAAATTTGGCAATTCTTCATTGAATTTTCTCATTTCTTTGAAAAACTCATTTATCAGGCATTTCCCTACAACAAGACACATGTTTACAAGCTATATATCATTGATATTCTTAAAATATCCAAATTTCTTTAAAAAAGAAGAAATATTTTTTATTTTAGATTTAATTGTCATAAATTCTGATGAAAACACAATTAATTGTACGACAAACTTATTTATTAGGATAATAGAAATATATCCCGAGATATCTCCAAAGATTTTGATGATTATTGAAAAATATTTTTTAAATTTCAATGAAATGAGTTACAAATCTATCAATTGTGTATTCACTATCATGAAATATATTGTTGATATCGTTGATCCACATGAAATTTTGAAATTTTATGAATCAAATTTTAATTTTTTGAAAGAAATGAGAGAAATGATTAAAATCAATGAAGTATCAAGCAGCATAATAGAATTTCTAACACAGACAGTATCAAAAATTGTTGTTTATGGTTCAAATGAGATTTCATTATTTGATTTCATTTTAAAAACGATAAAAGTGTCATTACGATCATTTTTGATTGATATTATTGATAGTTATGATGTTTATCCGATGAAAACAAAAGTTTCCTTTTTAATTTTCTGTAATTTTTTGTCAAAAAACTCATTTGAATGTTCCAAACTAATTTTTGAGCTTTTGGATGTAGAGAACGCTATAGAGATGATGGATGACTCTCTTGAAACCTGTTTGGAATTGATTATTAATTCAATAATTGTTTCGAAATTAATTCCTTCAGAAAAATATGAAGAAACGGTTGAAAAAATAAGAGAAAATGATATTAGTGATGACTTGGAATGTTTGTCAATTAACAAAGATAGGATTGGAGAATTATCTAAAGTAATTTTGTTCGAAATTTAAAAATTTGTACGTCTGACTCTCAAAAATTGAGAGAATTGAGATGTTTACACGTGAAAAATAAAAAAATCTTTTTGAAAAATTAAAAATTTTACTTTAGAGATTTTATTGCTTGAGGAGTTCTTCAAGTTTTCTTTGTTGCTCCAGCTGACGCATCCTATCATAAAAGGCCATAATCTCATACTGTCTCAATCCTGGGATGATATTAACATACCATTAATATATAAACGAGACGAATTATTTTTGAAATTTTTCAAAATATCCAAATTTTACAATAAAACCTAAGTTATAGTATAATCGACTAAATACCAAATTGATTTTATAATATAACTAAGAATATAATATTTGATAATAAAAAATAATGAAGTATCTGCTCTATTTTTCGAATTTTCAAGTTAATGATATTTTTAATGCTTTGTTATTGTGCTTGGTTGCATAATTAAGAGGGATTTGCCCATCTATGTCAAAAATTGAGATGTTAACTTTAGAGATGCTGTTGCTTGAGAAGTTTTTTAAGTTTTCTTGGTTGCTCCAGATGATGAATCCTATTTCAATTCTTTGATGCAATTTATAATTAGTCAAAAAAAAAATTAAAAATGAGTTCTGACTATGCAAAGCCATATTCGGACTTTATTGGAGCATTTGAAAAGCTTTTTCGTATAAAATCCAATGAATCTGTTGAAGACATGTGCAATATCATCACTAATGTTTTGATTTCAAAATATCAAATTACCAAAAGCCAACTCACAGATATCATTTTAAAAGCTATTGAATATAACTATGCTTCAGGAGAAAATTATATAAAAATTCTCAACAATATTGGCTTTGAAAATAAGAATCTTCCAGAATTAACATCCCCATTGGAGAGTTCAGTCGAATATATTGTTATGCATGATCAAATTGATAAATTTAAGGAATATATTTCACAAAGAGAACTTAAAAATGATATATTTTTAGAAATTCCTCAATTTCATAAAGAGTCTCCACTTTGTTTATCATTAATTGAAACATGCGCATATTTTGGATCTGTTAACATTTTCTTTTTCTTAATTTCAAACCAAAAGTATACGATATCAGAAAAATGTCTTCGATGCTCATTAATTGGTAGAAATGCTGACATTATCAACGAATGTTTAAAGGAAAATATGATAAACAAAGATTGTCTCAAAGACATTGTATGTTCACATAACAACGAAATGCTTGAATATGTTTTAGAAAGAAATATTTTTACATATAAAGATTTCGATGAAAAAAACTCCCATAAAACAGCTATTTACGAAGATATTATCAAATACCAAAACCTGAAAGCTGTATTTCTTCTTTTCGAAAGAGAGAAAAATTTCATAGTTCCATGGTGTGCTGCATTTCCTCAAACAATAGATATTCTCAAAAATGAAAAACTTCCTGATAAAATTGATTTTAAGAAAAGAAATATTCTTCAATATGCATGCATGTCACAAAATTCCGATATCTTCAAACTTTTATTTAACTCAACTGATAAAATTGATGTAAATTATCATGATTTAAATAAAAAGACTGCTCTTCATTATGCCGCAATGTATAATAATATAGAAGCAGCAAGAATTCTTATTTCTCATAGTGCTGATGTCAACGCTAAAAATATTCAAATTCATTTCATATCAATCATTATTATATGATATCCTTTTTCATTTCTTGTCAATTATTATTATATGAAATATATTTTGTAATATTGAATCTCCACTTTCTATTGCTATTAAAAAAGATTCGATTGATATTGTTAAATTCTTGATTGAACATGGTGCTGATGTCAACGCTAAAAATATTCAAATTCATTTCATATCAATCATTATTATATGATATCCTTTTTCATTTCACATTAATCATTATTATATTGGATTCCCTTTCATTTCATATCAATCATTATTATATAACTTTCTTTTTCATTTCACATCAATCATTATTATATAGAATTCTCTTTCATTTCATATTAATCATTATTATATGAAATATATTTTGTAATATTGAATCTCCACTTTCTATTGCTATTAAAAAAGATTCGATTGATATTGTTAAATTATTAGTCGAACATGGTGCTGATGTCAACGCTAAAAATATTCAAATTCATTTCATATCAATCATTATTATATAACTTTCTTTTTCATTTCATATCAATCATTATTATATAGAATTCTCTTTCATTTCATATCAATCATTATTATATAACTTTCTTTTTCATTTCACATCAATCATTATTATATAGAATTCTCTTTCATTTCATATCAATCATTATTATATAACTTTCTTTTTCATTTCACATCAATCATTATTATATAGAATTCTCTTTCATTTCATATCAATCATTATTATATGAAATATATTTTGTAATATTGAATCTCCACTTTCTATTGCTATTAAAAAAGATTCGATTGATATTGTTAAATTATTAGTCGAACATGGTGCTGATGTCAACGCTAAAAATATTCAAATTCATTTCATATCAATCATTATTATATAGAATTCTCTTTCATTTCACATCAAACATTATTATATTGGATTCCCTTTCATTTCATATCAATCATTATTATATAGAATTCTCTTTCATTTCACATCAAACATTATTATATAGAATTCTCTTTCATTTCATATTAATCATTATTATATGAAATATATTTTGTAATATTGAATCTCCACTTTCTATTGCTATTAAAAAAGATTCGATTGATATTGTTAAATTCTTGATTGAACATGGTGCTGATGTCAACGCTAAAAATATTCAAATTCATTTCATATCAATCATTATTATATAACTTTCTTTTTCATTTCATATCAATCATTATTATATAGAATTCTCTTTCATTTCATATCAATCATTATTATATAGAATTCTCTTTCATTTCACATCAAACATTATTATATTGGATTCCCTTTCATTTCATATCAATCATTATTATATAACTTTCTTTTTCATTTCATATCAATCATTATTATATGATATCCTTTTTCATTTCACATTAATCATTATTATATAGAATTCTCTTTCATTTCATATCAATCATTATTATATGAAATATATTTTGTAATATTGAATCTCCACTTTCTATTGCTATTAAAAAAGATTCGATTGATATTGTTAAATTATTAGTCGAACATGGTGCTGATGTCAACGCTAAAAATATTCAAATTCATTTCATATCAATCATTATTATATAGAATTCTCTTTCATTTCACATCAAACATTATTATATTGGATTCCCTTTCATTTCATATCAATCATTATTATATAGAATTCTCTTTCATTTCACATCAAACATTATTATATTGGATTCCCTTTCATTTCATATCAATCATTATTATATAACTTTCTTTTTCATTTCATATCAATCATTATTATATGATATCCTTTTTCATTTCACATTAATCATTATTATATAGAATTCTCTTTCATTTCATATCAATCATTATTATATGAAATATATTTTGTAATATTGAATCTCCACTTTCTATTGCTATTAAAAAAGATTCGATTGATATTGTTAAATTATTAGTCGAACATGGTGCTGATGTCAACGCTAAAAATATTCAAATTCATTTCATATCAATCATTATTATATAGAATTCTCTTTCATTTCACATCAAACATTATTATATTGGATTCCCTTTCATTTCATATCAATCATTATTATATAGAATTCTCTTTCATTTCACATCAAACATTATTATATTGGATTCCCTTTCATTTCATATCAATCATTATTATATAACTTTCTTTTTCATTTCATATCAATCATTATTATATGATATCCTTTTTCATTTCACATTAATCATTATTATATAGAATTCTCTTTCATTTCATATCAATCATTATTATATGAAATATATTTTGTAATATTGAATCTCCACTTTCTATTGCTATTAAAAAAGATTCGATTGATATTGTTAAATTATTAGTCGAACATGGTGCTGATGTCAACGCTAAAAATATTCAAATTCATTTCATATCAATCATTATTATATAGAATTCTCTTTCATTTCACATCAAACATTATTATATTGGATTCCCTTTCATTTCATATCAATCATTATTATATAACTTTCTTTTTCATTTCATATCAATCATTATTATATGATATCCTTTTTCATTTCATATCAATCATTATTATATAACTTTCTTTTTCATTTCATATCAATCATTATTATATGATATCCTTTTTCATTTCACATTAATCATTATTATATAACTTTCTTTTTCATTTCATATCAATCATTATTATATGATATCCTTTTTCATTTCACATTAATCATTATTATATAGAATTCTCTTTCATTTCATATCAATCATTATTAATTAGTATTCTTTTTCATTTCATCTTAATCATTATTATATAGTTTTCTCTTACATTTTATTTCTATCATTATTTTATGTGATATATTTTTTAATATTGAATGTCCACTTTCTATTGCTATTAAGAAAAATTCGAATGATGTTATTAAATTCTTAGTTGATCATGGTGCTACTACAGGATCTATTTCTAATATATGACATAAAATACTATATATTTCTTGCTTATCTATTTTCTCCTCTCGTATTTGATAATTTTCTTCCTGCAATTGGTAAACTCACGACTAATTGAAAACAAGATTTATATACATATATTATTTGCATTTTTCATTTCTCACTTTGATTGATATAACATATTAATCGTACCATCATTCGAATACCAAAAATTCGAGAAAAATTTTAAATAAAGTATGCCATGCCAAACTCTAATGTTGAGAAAAGAAATGAAATCATAATATTTATTTCGAACAAAATCAAATTTTCATCCATAAGAATATTGAAGCAATAAAATTTAGCTATTTGAGTATATGAAAATTGTATATTTATAGAATTTGGGAAATTTTCAAATTGCCGAGAATATGAGAGTATAAAAATGGAAGATATGTATACTTTTTGATATAATTAGAATTTACTTAGAAATGCAATATGAATAGAAGTGTGGTGTTGAGAGAAATTATCATATGAAGAAGTGAAAAAGAAAGAATTGGAGATAAGGAACAAAGTTTTCAATTAGATGTTGATTGTCAACAAAGTACTCTAAAGACTGAAGTAAGTTTTCAATTTTTAGAAAGGGGCTGATATCAAAATTGAATCAAAAAAAGTGCATTTATCTCAACATATGAGAATTGAAAATAAAATTAGTTGTGTAAAACTTTTATTCTAATTATTGAAATTTGGTATTTAATAATAATTAGAATAATGGAAGAGTAGGTACAAATATAATTAAACTTTGAATTAAGACATTACGGCTGGAAACTGCTACCACCTGGTTTGTTCTCCAATGGTAATTATCAGAATCCAGTGAGATGGTAGTGTAATTGGTCTTAGTTTTGAAGTTGCTCACAAATTGCATCTCGACACTTTTTAACAAGCGGCAAATGTTTTCTGTAAAATAACTTGTACCAAGATATCATTCTTGGAGTATCAGACCATGCCATGGAAAAGCCAGGAACTAGATAGGTCCGCAAGTTCGAAAAATGTGAAGCTTCATATATCAATCAAATAAAAACCTTATTATATTTATCCTATTAATAAATGTTTCAATATCATTAATACTTTACTACAAATGAAGTTATGAACAATACTCGAAATAGCGCCACCTCACCTTCCGGCACCTTAAGAGTCACCGCATTAGTTTACAAAAAAAAAATACGTTATTTGTATCCTGAGTTTTCTTCTAGAGATCTTTTTTAGATTTTGATACAATAAAAAGATAGAATATGATCAATGTATGCTACAATTAAGTTTATTTATAAAAATATCAATTCTTTCATTGAGAAAAAGTATATTTAAGTCCAAAAAATTGAATAGTTGTAAACTAAGAGAGTGAGCCCTTAAGAGTCACCTCTACCCGCCGCTATTACGGGCGTGAAATATCAATATTGTTCCAATTTTTTATGGCTATTTTCCACTTTGCATTAGATTTTAGATACTCAGATATAGTCAGAGTACTTTTATATAGGATAGTGATAGTATGCTTTGGAGCCATAATTGCTTTGGAGAATAAGTGAAGTACTTTAAAAAAAAATTCAAATTTTTATTTCCAGGAATCATCAATGCGTCTATCCCATTGTTTGCATTGATCAACAAGGAGTGAAACTGCTTGAGGGAATATTCCGATCAAGTTTACTTCTTGTTTAGAGAACAAAGACTCAATGACTAAATCACTGAGTAAGAAATGTTGAATGAACTTTCCAATCAAGTAAACGTGTTTTGTTTTTGCTGAAGCGAGCACCCAAAGTATACAAGAATTGAAGTCAAGTTCAGGGCAAGTTGCGACTAATGTCTTTGCGATGTCAGAGACTTCCATTGCGTAGTGCAAAATGATGGAAACACCAGAGTTCTCTCTAATGTGGCCCAACATATCAGCAGCTCTTTCCAAGTAGTGCAGTCTTTGTCTGAGGAAATCTCCGCCTTGAGACAAACTCTGTTCGATTATTTCTGCGTTGTGAGTCTCAAGAATCTTGTTGATGATGACGGAGTGTTTCCAAACTAACTGGTCAGTCAATGTGTACTTCCTAAACGTGATGTGATCAGTAAGTTTGAAGAACAAAATCCTGCAAATTTGCTTGATTTTGTGCTCATCGATGTTCCATGCTTTCAAAATCGATGTCGCTTCATCAGTAATCTTCGCTGCTTGTTTCCTGAACAATTCGTTGTTCGAAACGAATTCGTGGGCTCTCAACATCGCTTCTCTGTAGCTTTGGCACAGTTCGCCATTAACTAATTGATCAGCGACTTGTAGCAATAAGTGGGATTGAACATTCAAGCGAATTTCATTCACTGTTTTCATTGAACTCGAAATGATGTCGTGTTGTGAATGTAAACTTGATGTTCTGTCTGTAGCTCGAAATCCCCATGCAGCGCGACTCTCCTGAACTTGTATTACACGCTTGACAAGTCCTTCGTCATCGTTGACATTGTTAAGAGCGTAATCAAACACACTGTCCGCTTTGAGGATTTGATTTTGCTTCAGGAAAAGTGGAGCAATGACTCTCATCGATTCTAAAAATGATTTGAGGGATGGAGGCTTCATCGCGTTGATGCAGTTCTGGAAATCAGGTAATCCGCAAATGATATCGCACAACTGGTCGGCGTATGGATCATTTCTCTTCTCAGAAACAACTGATTCAGGCGAGAAAAGTGAAACAGAAACGAGATTTTTCGCTGCATCGGAAATCTCTTTTTGACGGGTGATTGCGATTCTGAAGTGCTCCTCCGCCTCTGGTGTCTTCTCAGGGATGTCGCCAAGCCTCTGAAGAATCTTCTCGAGCTCTGGATCTTCGAGATTCTTAACACTGGCCGCTGCTTCATGCATTAGAATTACATCGGATCCTGTGATCAAAACTTCCTTCGGGAAGCTTGGATTTGTTGCGAGAAGTTCGGTTTCGCTGATCCACAGTGATGTTCCTGTGAAAGGAGCTGCGAAAACATCAAAGAACTTGTCGAGATCGATGGCAATGTAGTGTTCATCTAATGCAAGCAGTTTAGTCAGGTGGTTGATGGATGTGGATGGAAGGGAACTGATGAACTTGGACCTGAAGACGTCGGCAATGTCCTTGGCTGGTTGCCAGTCCTTGTGGCCGGGATGCCATGGTAATAATCCAAGAACAGCGGTGTTCTCGAGAGCTCTGTTGACGAAGGACTCGAAGAAAAGTATGCTTAGATTGGCACCACGACGCTTGGCGTGCTCTAAAAGAGTAAATAATCCTCTTGGAAGTAATTCGTGGCATTTAAGCATAGAATCGTAAAGCATGTGAGCGTATCTTGCAATCTCTTTCCAATAATCCATAGGAGCAATAACTGTTGTGGCTGTAACTTCGAAATTCGAACGTTGGTAGTATAATTGAGATAAAGATTGAAGTTTGATGATGATTGGAGCAAGAGCGGATTGAAGGAATGACATGGATGCACCGTTGAATAAGTAGGCTGTGAGAAATGTGGCAAATGGTTGTTGGAAAGCAACAGCGGCTTCTGTTGTAGCGAGAGAGAACTTTAAAAGCCTTGGAGGATTAGGAATCACTTCAACATGGGTGTTATCGGGGTTCTTGTATTGGAGATCTGACATAAAACATAAGGTTTGAACAAGCATTGAGTCTTCTTCAACACACCATCCTTGCTGGAACATTGTAAGGAACAATGAATATGCAATAGTGTATGATTTGTTTGGATTTCTCTTACAATAATCATAAAAGATTTTAGCTAAGACTTGTGGATGGCGGCGAAGATATGCTATGAAAAATATGTAGTGATTCAATCTGTTTGGATCAATAAATGTTGGAACGTAGCCTAAATTGGAAAATTTGAGTCCCTGAAAAGCTTGGGAGCTTACAATTTGATTAACATTGTACATTTTCGGATTAACAATACGTGATCTAACAAGAGACAACAAGTGAAGTTGGCATATTAAATCTGTTGAAAATCCAAGCATTTCGTTGGTGAGTTCTTCTTGTTTAGCTTGCTGTGCATGAAGTAATTGATCTGTTCTGACAAGTTCTCTCTGTTGAGAGGCTAGCTCTGCTAAGAGTTCTTGCGTTTTCTCTGCAGAGCTCATTTTTTTTATAACTTTTTTTTTCTCCAAACTTCATATCATTGGATAAATCTATTTTCGAACTTTAAGAAGTGTCATTGCTATTTCCCTAACAGATTCTAAATACTATGCCGTATAGTATGTGCTGTTGTAGTCAGATATCACTTGGCAGCCAGGAATAATAACAAGCAACAATAAAATTCTTTATTTCAAATGGTGCAGATATCAAAGCTAAGGACAAAGATGTGTAAATCCTTGTTCACATATCTGTCATGAAGAATTGCAAAGAAATAACAATAATCCTTATGATTAAACTAAATGTTTTATAAATGATTAAGCAAACTGTTTTATAAAAAGCATCACAATGATACTAGCAAAAAAAGAGAGAAAAGAGAAAGAGGAGGGGAAATCAAAAGGACAAAGAAATAATTTTGGGATTATTTCATACTGAACAGCTTGAACTTTGTGCTATTAATTTCTGGCGGCGTCTACACGCTCGAAGTTCTAGTGTCACTGCCGGAGGCCCTATCATTTCACAAGATTATTTTTTTCCTTTTTGACTTTTTCCAGATTTTGCGTTTATCAACCAGAAACAGCCACCTTAGATATAAGATATGGGTGCCGATCAACATTAGAAAAATGAATAAGATATTTAATTTTTGATGAGGAAATACCTTAATTTCTTCATATTTTATTGCAAAAATACTACATAACGCATCAGTATTAATCTAAATCAAGAACATTTGTAGTAAAGGGAGGAGTCACAAACAAAAACGAAACGCTCCCCTCCAGATGAGGAGGAAGTTCTTCCAGAAAAAATCGAAACACATGAAAGAGTTGATCATATTGTATATGTTCCAAATGGAGAATCATATAAAGCTCCAGAAAATTTAGATTCATCTACTTCATTAACATTCGATTATACTTTAGATATATTCCAGATAGAATCGATTAAAGCAATAAATACTGGTAGTAATGTTATTACAATCGCAAGCACTTCAGCTGGAAAATCAGTTGTTGCTTTTCATGCGATTTCAAGTTCAATATCACAAGGATATATGGCTATCTATACAGCGCCAGTCAAATCACTCGCAAACCAAAAATACTCCGAAATTTGTGAAAAATTTCCAAGTGTCGGTTTAATTACAGGAGATGTATCTACAAATCCAACAGCAGATGTAATTATCATGACAGCAGAAGTACTTAGGAATCATTTAATGTCAAATTCATCATTACTATCTCGTGCAAAACATATAATTTTGGATGAAGCTCATTATCTTGGCGATCCGCAACGTGGATATGTTTGGGAAGAGATAATTATATCATTTCAGAAGCAAATGAGATTTGTTCTCCTTAGTGCTACACTTCCAAACGGAAATGAGCTTTCTCAGTGGCTTTCAAACACAACAAACGTCGAAACGCATACAATTACGCAATACCACAGACCAGTTCCATTACGAATTAACGCTGTTTCCGAATCTCACGATATAGACGCAATTAAAGAAGGAGACAACCCTCCAAACATGCTCTTAATATCCGAAATATGCAAACAGAATGGAATTTTAGGTGCTCCTTCCACAAAATACATACTTCCAAAAGATCCACCTTTTTATACAATTGCTTCATATGCAAATGACGTTGTTAAGCTTGGATATACACCGCTAATTGTTTTTTGCCTATCCAGATTCCGCTGTGTCCAAGTTTCAAAGCAAATTTCTGGAAGACAATCAAATCAAGCGTTAGACATCTTCGAAGCGGCCTCACAAGACTGGGACGCCTCCATTAAATCGAGTGACCAATACGCTCTCGTACATGATCTTATCCAGAAAGGAGTTGGAATCCATCATTCCGGAATTATCCCGATTTTGAGAGAAACCGTCGAACTTTTGTTCTCAAAAGGATTATTAGTGGTCTTAGTTGCCACTGAGACATTTGCACTGGGTGTCAACTCTCCAGCACGTGCTGTTATGCTTTCTTCGCTTGTTAAGTGGGGAGGAACAAGTTTTAGGTCAATTTCTTCATCTGAATTTTCACAAATGGCAGGAAGAGCTGGAAGAAGAGGTTTTGATACTCATGGAGATGTTTTCATATATCTGACCACTGGAACTTCCCCTGAATTCGTTAGTTCTGTAATTGAAAAGAAATCTGAGGTCTTAAAATCGCAAATGAGAGTTACATCATCACTAGTCTTGAGCTGTGTATCATGTAATGTTGATCCGTTTGCTTTTCTTAAGAGAAGTTTTTTGAGATATCAGAGAAATTTAAGATTAATGGAATTAAAGAGCAAAAATCTTCCAGAAATCACTGAAAATGAGAAGAACATATATGATTATGAGGTATTATTGAATCAAATTGCTCAAATTGTTCTTCATCCGAAAAATTCCAGAAAGGTTTTAGTTCCAGGACGCTTAGTTTTCATTGTTTCCAACGGCGTTTGCTGGGGATGGTCGAGCATTGTCAATTTAGACTCAAGAGGCAAAGATGTTGAAGTTATTGTTTCCGCAGTTAAAGATAAGAACGGACAATACGTTCCTTCATCGAAAGTGGAAGTCGCATGCTTACTTGATGTCACATTCCCAATCGAAACCATCAAAATGATCTCTTCTTTGACAATCCAAAATCCGAAGACAGATATCGGAATGGCCAGAGCCTCATCCTTGCTTGGAATACTCGACAGAGTCTATAAATCATATAATAACCAAGTTCCTTTGATCAGTTCTAACTTAGTTACCTTTGGAAAAGAGAAATTAACAAAATTATGCAAAGATTCAGAAGAAATTAAGAAGAAACTGACGAAAGAAGAGCTCAAAACCATTTATACAGGTGAGTCAGCAGCAGAAGTCGTTATAAACATCAAAGCGGAGATAACAACACTAGAAAATCCGCAAGAAGAAAACCAAATTGAGAAAATTAAAAAATCTCTTATCAATTTAGGTTTCATTAATAACGACAATCTTCTTGAATTAAAGGGAAGAGTTGCAAGACTCATCAAACTTGAAGATCCTGTGTGTTTAACTGAGTTATTATTCAGCGCATTCTTTTTCGGAATGCAGCCAAACATGATATGTGTTGTTACATCATGTTTCGTTGAATCTCCTCCGAAGTTCAAGTGTTCAATGACTCCTTTGACAACAGAAACATGGAATAATTTGAAGAAATCACTAAAAAAGATCGAAGACATTGGTTTGTTCACTATGCCACATAAGAAACTCATGGGATTCGCTCACACATTCATTTCTAATGGATCAATAACAAGCGCTGTTAAGGAAACAGCTGGAATTAGTGAAGGAATGGCTGTGAGAATTGCAAAAAGAATGCATGAGATAATTCACATGTTGGTTGAGGCTGCAAAACTGATTGGAACACCTGAGCTTGTTGAGGCTTTCGATGGAGCAATGGAAGTGATTACAAATATCACAAAACTTGATGCTTCCCTTTATAAGTTAGATTAGAATTTATATTAGTTTTTTTTTATTATATTATTATAAAGTATTCTGTATTATCTTTTATCATCTATACAATTCATTTTTACGTTTGTTGTGAAATTGTTTAAAGAAAGAGTAATAATCAAGAAATTACAAGAGTAAATTATAGAATATCAAAGGTTTATATAAATGCATAGCATCATTAATCAATATACTTAAAGTGGCAATATTCGTTCAGATTCAATGAATGATATGTAAAGAGTTATGAATTGTGATATAAATTTGAATGAGACGTTATTGATCACGAAAGCCTATTCGTAGGATATTAATGTAAGGCACTTTGGCCGAGTGGTTAAGGCGCCGGACTACTAATCCCGTGGGCTTGCCCGCCTGGGTTCGAATCCCAGAGGTGTCGTTTTTTATATATTTTCTTTTTTCCTCCCAATCCCAAAAATCCTAAAACCAGGTTTTAAGTGATATACATGCTTGAAATTGTATATATTTCTATAAGTACCAACTTAAGCATGGTTGAATTTCAAATCTTCTAAGATTTTTGATATTTCAATTAACAAATTTAATGAATATGTTGTAAATTGTTAGGAACATTGGAATTTTTACTATAAAATCCAATACGAATAAAAATCTCAAATAATTTTTTTCAAGAACTTGTTTTGTGATATAATACTATCATGTGATGATTTTCTAAATGCAATTAAAACTGTTTTTAAACTTTTTATATTATTTTTTTAGATGAATATTGAGGCTGAATTTGCTTTCGTTCAACAATTTCGAATGACACCAAATTGCTCCTCATTATTCACTTTGGCAACAACCTCATTAAATAGTTACTTGATATTTCCATCAGAAGGAGATTCAAAATTATTACCATTAAAAAATTCGCCAACTACATTAAATTACTATTATGTTTTAGCATATCTCAAAGTGTTTTGCTCATTCGCACCACTAATAACCGAAAATATCTTTATTCCGAGAGAATCAAAATCACAATTTACCCAAATTTCAAACAAAATCGGTAATTTAATAGGAAATCCTTCAATAAATATCCAAGATATATGCGTTTTTTGCCAATACATCGCGCAAACCTTTTCATTAATCTTTTCAGTATCAGATTTTGAAAAATTCAATCAGTATTCAACTTTACTTGTTCAAGCAATCAACAAATCAGTGATTACGTATATCAGGCCATTAAAAGATGATTTAAGTTTTTTTGATAATATCTTGAAAATTAATCAAAAAATGACAGAAACACATAAGCAAATCGTCAGTACTCCTACTATAGCTTCTACCTCTGATTTGTGTGCTCATTTAAATCAATTTAAAGCGTTATTAAATACATCTCATGCAAATCTCCCTCCACCAGCTCAAAACAACATTAAATATACAGTAGACCTATTAGATAACCTTTTGACATCAGTTTTGTTTTACAAAACTATACTAATCGCGTTACATCTTGGAATTCTTTTTCCGGCCATGACATTTAACAGAAATTCAGATGAAATCAACTTTTTCATAACATATAAACGTGAATTTGGAGATAATGAAGTGATTATATTTAATCGTCCTAAAAATGGAAAATTTAAGATTCCAATTTCAGTTTTTTCTGATGCAGATTATAATAAATTTGTCGGATTAGTTCAAGGATTGTTGGATTTTGATGAACAAAGGCCACAAAACTCTCTAAATGCATATCTTCAACAATACAAACCAAAACTACAGAATATTACAAGTAATTTACAGCAGATTGTATCAGAAGCTATAGAAGGAATCATGAAATACATTTATTCCTTTGATTTGACACCTTACATGGCAAAATTTCAATATAATCTTCAGAAACTAAGGAAAATTATTGCGATCTTACTGAATATGATCAAGCTCGAAATACTATCTGATAAAGATCGAATAATTAAAGAAATCTTTAGATTTTATATAAATTCTCTTTCATTGTCTTTCGGAAAGACGACAATAGACATTTTAACAACAATATTGGAGTCATCAGGTCGTTTGATTACGTTTTCACATGCTTTGGAATCAAAAAATCTGATAATTTCAGAAATAATCGAAATCATTTCTGAAATTTCGCAAATTCTGGCTCCTGTGGCAACAATTCTGAATGCTACATGGACAATTAATGATTTCATTAGCTTTAATTCACTGAAAGTTTTACCTTTTAATTATATTTTTCCTCGTTTCCTTCAAACTCCATTTTTACAGCCTGCAAAGGTCCTCAAATCTGCATTCAACTCCGACTCCACTCAATTCATTAGAGAAATTGGCGCAGAACTCGAATCTTTCGGAATTCAAATTTTTTCGACCCCCGAAAAGATGATGGCGACAGGAATTATCATTCCAGACGTCAATAACATCTTAACAGAATCCCATTTATTGCTTAGAAATCTCTCTTTTCGTTTCGAAAATTTGAGATATTATTATAATTCAATTTTAGTGAATCCATTTGATGTAGACCAGATAATTGAGCTTATAAAGATACTTAATCTCATATCAATTAACAATCCTGATGAGTTTCAAGACGAAATTTCAAAGTTGACAACTCTCATGAATATTCTCTTCCAAATACATCAGATATTCATTTGTCTGGATGTTTTTGGCATTTCCAGGTACTACATCTCAGTAACAATCACTCATCTTTGTTTTATTTCAAATAAATTGAAAAAATCTGACAAAAATCAGAAGCAATCGCTTCTTGTAAGGGAAGATTTGATTGAATTCATGACAAAGAAGGTAAAATCGATCTTGGTCGAACTTTTTTCGAAAAATTCCGCTGAAAAAGTCAAAACAACGGCTGATATCATCATGGAGCCCCTCAAAATGCTTCATCTTTACTTCTCAGACCAAAGGAACACAGAATGTCTCAGTATTTGTTGCGAAACAATTTATGATTTAATTTCCAACAAAAACTCAATTGATAATCTTGACATCCTTCTGAAACATGATATATCAGATGATTACAAGTCAATTATTGAGGATTTGCAAGTAATTTTGGCAAATTCGAAAAATGTTGACTCAATTTCCGAAATTTTGAAGTATTTATCTGAAGTTTCGTCAGATTTAGCGAATGTAGATCCGAGTATTGTTATCACTCAGCCAAAGAATCAATCTACTTCGGATTTACCTCTGAAAATCGTTGAATTTCAGATGATTTACGAAACAATGAAAGCCAAACGTCTCTTACTAGTCTACGATGATGATCTCTTCACCGCAGATGACTTCGCCGACCGATTTGTCCACTTCTTCAAAGAAATCAAAGTTGAAAAAATTTCGAAAATTTTGAAGAAAATTTTGAATGTTGTAAAGGAAATTGAACCATTATATAAGTTGACGAAAACAATCCTTGTAGGAGATCTAACACGAGAGAACATTTTCCATTATCTTTCATTGCTTTTTAGAAGTGAAATTCAGATTTCTAATGAAGATCAAAGTATTTTTGTTGAAGAGTTCGAGAAACTGTACACGATCACCAATTTTGCCTATGTTCATGACGAAATCATGGATTTAATCATGAAAGAAAAGCAAAATAATCTTCATTTGTTATTGTCATTGAACCAAGAGCTGATCATTGATTACTTCTCATCACACCTGATGTTGCTTCATTCCGCAGGCTTCTTTGATGAAAAATCCGGAAATTTAATTTTCAATAAGATTATTGAAGCCAAAACTGCTACAAACAGGGACGAAACAATCCAGTTAATGCATGCTTTTGATCATGTCCTATCTTCTGAAGGCTGGAGAGTAAATTCAATTTTATCTCGTGCTTTAAATGTAATTCACGCAGTTTTGAACGTAAATGATGATGATTATATAAAGCTGAATGAATTATTTGCACAATTTAAGACCCCAGAAGATCTTGAAACCGTAAATAAAATATTTGACGAAATTAAATCGTCAAATCTCGCAGAAGAGCAGAAGGAATATGTTCTAAGCAGTATGAAACTGATAAAGAGTTACTCAATGCTTGTAACATTGAGAAAACATCTTGAAATTGAAAATAATTCAATACATCTCAAAAATAAAATCGATGAGAGTCTAATTGATGATGTTATATCTCCATCTATATCAGTTTCCAAGCTAAATATGCCAAAACCTCAATTAAAAGTCCCAATTTCAAAATTAAATTTCTCCCAACAGTCAACAATTGCTTCCATATATGAGAAACTCAAAGAAGAAAGAAGTTCTATGCTTAAGGATGTTGTCAAACTCATCAAAGTTCAAAATGATGCTCAATCAAAAGATAAATTATTAAATGAACTGAAAGAGAAGCGCAAAAAACTTTCCGAAGAAGTACTTAACATATACAATGATCTGGAACGTCAGAAACTATCAAAGATAGGATTTTCTATGACAAATAATGAAAATCCTGATATGAAGAATCAAATTGAGAATGCGAAGTCAATTAATTTGCAAAATGAATTGGATAAAAGGTCAGAATTACTTTCCCTTCAAGCAAGCATCATTTTCAGAGATAATATGTTTTTGAAATCTTCCGTTTTGCAGAAAATTGAGAAAACCGATAATAATACGTTTCTCGACTCATTTTATAAGAACAAGAAAGACAAATTTGATGGAAATCTTTCAAATAAAGAATTTGGTGCTTTACTTGAAGTTGTTAATAACGACGATGAGTATGAAGCATTGCGTAAGGCTTTGATAAGAAAAAGATTGATTCGAAACTAATTTTTATTTTATATTTTTTTGTTATTTTAAATGTTATTTGTTGTTATAGTAAATATGATTGGATTTATTGATTTCTGCTTTTTCTTTTTATTGTTAACACTCTAATGTGTATCTTTTTTATTTCCGATATATTTTCATCAATGATGCATTACCGAAGTAATATGATAACTTATGGTAGAATTACTTTCATGTGATTAAGTTATTGGCAAAAACTCACATATTTGCAAAACACAAAATATATTTTAGGCATAATTCTTGAATAATTTAAATAAAAATCTATGAATTCACAAGTCTTGCAATATATTCATCAGTATGAATATGATTTCGTTGGATAATGGTTAGTATGCAAGATTCTTGAGACAAAATCTATGATGGAAAGCGTTTATTAAGCGAAAGTTATTAATAATTTGGACTAAATATATCAATATAAGTTTCGCTAGACCTATACACACATCATTTGCATGAGTGTCAAAGGTAATCGCCAATGCCATCCAGCTTCGAAGTATAGTGAAGAGGTGACAAAGTTTATTGATGAATATGACGGCGAGGCAAAGGAGATGATGCTGAAAATGCGTGCAATTATCCATTCATGCAATGATGAGATCTCTGAAAAGATATCCTGGCAGATGCCAACATTCGTATATCATGGCAATCTAGTTCACTTCTGCCCTGCTAAGAAACATATGGGATTTTATCCCACCCCAAGCGCAATCACAGAATTTGCTGACAGATTATCTAATTATCACACATCTAAAGGTGCTGTCCAATTCCCTTATAACTCTATTCTTCCAGAAGATCTCATCAAAGATATGGTTAATTTCGGTCTGAAAGAAAACGCCGAGCTGGCTCAAGAAAACAAGAAGAAACGCTGCTGTTCAAAGTCTAAAGAATAAATTGCTTGGTTAGTTGCTCATAGAGAAAAACTGATATTATGAATTTAAAGGCTTAATCAAGTTCAATTGAGTATAATTCTAGATTAGCAAAATAATGTCTATAATGAATAGTTTGAGACAATCAATTTTTGCTGGGCTAACAAATGACACGCTTTGAAGATATTCAGATAGAGAAAAAGTAATTTTAGTATATTATGTAAAAGAAATTATAATTTTTTAATGTGAAGCGATGTGGAACAGTTGGTTTAGTTCGTAAGGCTCATAACCTTAAGGTCGCTGGTTCGAGTCCAGTCATCGCTCTTTTTTCTAAAAATCTAAAAAATAGTGCGTCTCATTTTTCCATTTTATTTTGAATACATTGAAATCAGATGGCGAATTTAAAATTTATTTCTGACTATTTCAGAGAATTTAGCCACTTTATAGTCTTCAGAAACAGCAGAAAGACTGATAGTGATTTATATAAGTGACTAGAAAGTTGTAAATCTGGAAGTTTTACAAGGAAAAGTGACTCATTACGACTATTATCGTAACTCAAAAATAATAAATGTCGAACACTATCCTGTACAATGTTACAACATTGTATCTAATTGGGAAACCAGGATCCGGTAAAACATTATTTGGAAATCTATATTTGGGAAATAATTCTTCCTCTCCGGAAAATACCATACTTTATGAAAATGGTGATCAAATTGGATATAACATCACAGGGAATAGCATCAAATATGTCATTGAAACAAATGGATTTCGGAACCATGGCGCAAATACAAGTATTCAAGCTTCAAATATTTTTTCAGCAATAAAGAATCATCTATATGGTATTACCGCAGTTGCACTTGTCATTCCTATGCACAAAAACAAGCTAAGTAATTCTAATAAGCAAGTTTTGCGACTTTTGTATGAATCTTTCAAAACAGATGAAATATTTTATAAAATGGGTCTCATATTTACATACCATGCTCCAAAGGAAGATGATAGATATCGTCAATCAGACTACTTTAAGAATGAAGTTGAAGATTATTTGACAAGTCTTACAGGAAGATCGAGATCACATAATATTAAGGTATTCTTTGTTGATAATGTTGCATATAATCGTTTAGATGTCCAATATGAGATTCCTCAAATTCGAAATTGGGTTTCCGAGCGTTCCTCTTACAATCTTCCAGATTCTCTTAAATCGGACGCAATTGTTGGTCATTGGCAAGTTGAAGGAGAGTTTGATGTTTACAATAACACATTTGAGGAAAAAATTGATGATGATAATTCCATTTTTTACTCGAATTTTATAAACAAAACCCGCAACATTTGGATGTCTTTAAATAGGACATATACAATACAATTTGATTGGGAAATTGCTAATGTTTCACAGAAATGGAATTATTCCACTACAATTGAATACATGACAGATAAAGATATTGATAGATCTCGCTATAAAGTTGAATATTATAACCTTATAAAATCCAGAGTGAAAACAACATATTCAGACGGAAGTATAACATATTCTAAATGGGAAGTAATAAATAAGAAACTACATCACGTCAGACATAGATGTAAAACTGAGAGAGAGGTCAAGCGAATAGGTAAACAATTTGGAAAGATATTTGGAATCAAATGAAAAAAAAAAACTCATTTGCGCAAAAGATTCTTAAAAATCTTGGAAGCTCTCAAGAAACGGTATAATTAAAGACTTTTTATGTAAATTTTTATATTTTCATAAAATTAATCATGAACCAGCACAATTGATACTGATTTCAAGCAATAGATCAAATTTAAGATTATGGCGTACGCTGACTACCAGAAAATATGCACATAATCTAATTTCTGACTATAAAATTAATAAAAACTTTACTTTTCACTTTTTTCATTCAAGAACCTCACGAACATAGATCATTCTTTATCAATGCTTAGTACAGTTCTTTATAAAATTCATGGTATTGAGGATAATTTTTGTGATATAAAATTCATCATCTCATGAGATAAATAAAATGATCGCAGTCTTGATCTTATCTGTATACAGAAGTACAGTTGCAATATTATTAAAATTAACGATGTTTATTTTTAATTGAATAATGCGGGAGATTAACTCATAATTCAACTACTTGTATTATATAAAATAAGTGTCAATTGGAGTAATATATTAGGCAATTCTAATTAATTCTTTCATTTCCTGCGTATTGAACAGAAAGGAAGAGATCAATAACCCTAGGAAAAAAGAATAATAGTGTCACTTTTTCCCACTCATTTCAAAAATCTATAATGCAAGAACTCAACGAAACAGAAATTAATAACCAGATATATGAGGCTATTGAGAAAGGTGATCTGAGTACACTAAAATTACTTCTCGAACCTCCTTATTCTGTTGATATGATAGTACGTTTTATTTTCTAATCAACAGCTAAATGATATTTACGTATTACCTGAAATATGCACAAGAAAACCAACTCTTTTAATTCTTGCTTGCGCATTTTGTCAAGCTGAAATCGCTCAATGGCTTTTATCACAAGGAATTAACCCAAATATAGCAGACAAACGACTTCGATATCCAATACATTTTGCAGCATTAGCACAAAACATTGATATTATTCGACTTTTAATTGCTGCAGGCGCTGAAGTAAATAAACAAGATTGGGATTCTTTCTCAGCGCTTCATTATTGTGCCAAAAATGGATTCATTGTTGGCGCAAAAGCCCTTCTTGATGAAGGAGCATCCATAAATATTCAAGGAAGAGCAAAAGAAACTCCTCTAATCGTTGCTTTACAAAATAATCAGTTAAACTTTGTAGAATTCCTTATAAAAGCAAAGTGTGATGTCAAAAAACCATCAACAATGCATAGATCTCCTCTTTTCTTTTGCCAAGATTATGAAGCTACTCGATTACTGCTTGAAAATGGAGCTGATCCGAACATACCAGATGATGAAGGTATTGTTCCGCTTGCAGAAGCTGCAAAAATTGGCGAATATTACATCTGCCGAGAATTAATCTATGGCGGAGCCAATGTAAATACTTTAGATGATGAGAGGAGATCACCACTACACTATGCATGTATGTCTGGTGATCCATTAACCACTGAATTATTAATAGATTCGGGTGCCAACGTAATTGCAAGCGATTCAGATCATAATACGCCAGAAATGGTTGCAAAGAAGAATGGCAACCTACATTTGATAAGCATTTTTACAAACTATAAGGAAAAGCATCAGAATAATTATTAATTTTGTTTTATTTATTTGTTTTAGTATGAAATTATAAATATTTTGTGTATTGAATTATATTAAATGCAACAGTGGAAAAAAAATTATCCGAAAATCAAATTAAAACTTTATTACATAATTTCCACAACTTAGTGGGGCTTCTTCTGTTGCATTCTCTGCTTCAAATAGTAGAGATAAACCTTTCTTGCCAGTCTCTTGATTTCAATTTGATTATTGACAATGTTTAAGTACTCGGAGTATCCGTCAATGAATTCATCAAACTTGAGTAACTCTGTTTGTTCGGGTTCTTTTGGTTCTTTAGCGTCTCTTGAGTATTTTCCGAATTCACGGGCAACAAGGTAAATTTGAGGAAGGTTGTTTTGCCAATTTTTATCTTGAACAGAAGGAAGCTTAGCATGCTTGTTTTCTAAGACTTTTGTAAATGGAATAAAAGAGTCTGGTTTTTTACCTTTAGGTGCTCCATTATTGATAGAAATGGCTTCAACAATAAAATCGTCATACTGCGAAAGAACTGAAAAATAGCGCGCTGGATGTACAATTGAATCATCTTGTTGCTCAGAAAGCCACTTAGACAGATTAAGAGTTTCAGCCTTAATTGATTCGAGTTGGTTGATGAAATAGTCAACAATGTTCTTGGCTTTGTTTTTACTCCAATCTGTAGAATCGATGATATTCGAAAGATATCCTGCCTGTTTAAACCTATTAAGCTCTTCTATCTGTTTATCTATTGCTGATTTTAATAGTTTGATAAGGTCAACTAATGAGCTCATATGAAAAAATATATTCTATAAAAAATAATTTCTGATGGAAAAATTATAACAAAATTCAGAGTGTAAAATTTTCCATTTTTTATTGGCGTGAATAAATAACTTTTTCTTTCGAGGATGCAACATTATCCTTCTCGTTTCCATAACCCAAAATTGAACCTATGGCAATCAGCATGCATATTGTATTGTTCATTTGTCTATAATTTGTTTGGAATTGAGACATTTTTCAACATCTCTCAACTATAATTAAGGTATAGTATTAAATGAATCATTGTTTGTCTACCTCAGTCATAAGAATCAAATATTTGAGTGTTTTTCACTGTATTTCCTGGGAATTGCTATGCAAATCTCTCAAAAACTCAATCCTTTGTATTTCATATTGTAAGTTCCTGTACGTTCTGACAAATTTCTTTAATTTTTTCCACTTTTTAACTTTTTTTTGATATCAGATCAAATCTTTCTTCCAAAGAAATACAGTGAATTGATAAGTACCTACAAATACTTTATTGATTCATATAATGTGTTATATCAGTTACAAACGTATAATGGTGATATTTTTGAAACAACATTTTGTGATTTATATTCAATTTTGCAGATGAATAAAGTATTTCTTGAATTATTATGGTAAAAAGCAATGAAATCTACTAATAAGAACAATAAAAGTTTAGAATAAAAAAAGAAACAAAAAAACAATTTTCTCTATATTTCTTCATCATTTAATTCGTCTTGGCCATTCTCTGGTTCAGGAACATACAGCTGGATGACATCCTTGCCTTCTTCATCCTGATATCTTACATAGTAGTTTCCGTCTTGTCCAAGGAAATAAATATAAACTTTTCCATCTTCTCCAACAACTCTTGTATATGGATATCCATTTTCATCTTCAAGCATCTCAACAACACCTGCTGCTTCTTTAGTTTCCTCTTTTTCTTCAACTTTAATTTCATTTTCAGTGTTGTTACTTTTTGTTTCCTCTTTGTCACTTTTCGTTTCCCCGTTGTCACTTTTCGGCTCTTCATTGTCACTTTTGACTCCGGTGTTGTCACTTTTCGTTTCTTCCTTTTGAACATCAACTTTTTCTTCTGTAATTTTTTCTTCTTCTTTAGGCTTTTCTGTGGTGATTTCTTCTTTAGTTGTTTCTTGCTTGACTTCTTCTTTTGATTCTGGTTTAGTTTCTGCTGGTTTCTCTTCTTCTTGGAATGTTTCTGATCCTGAATCTTTTTCTTCTTGTAAAGTTTTTTCTTGATCTTTATTCTGGTTTGTTTTGATGGCAACATTGAGTGGTTTGTTGACAGGAGCCTGGTAGTTGGCTGTTTCAATTGTAATTGTTTTATCCGCACTTGAAACTGGCTTCTTTCCGACATTTGGTAGTTCAACTTTGATATAATTTTGTTTTTTGTTTCGTCTTTGTTTTTCCAAAATTTCGTTTCTGATTTCTTTTTCAATGATCGCTTGTTCGCTAATTGATTCACTCTTGGATTCTTTACTTCTTTCTTGTGAATACTCAGCAACAAGTGACATGCCTTTGCTTGTTTTAGGTTGCGGTTTTGTCACTTTTTCAATTACATCTTGAGTATGAGTATCTATGAAAATTGGTGGTTTTCCTCTGTTCTGCATGTTTGGATCGTCTTCTCCATCTGCGAACCATTTGTGGCTTCCCTTTGGGAAGTTCATTCTTCTTGCTCTTAAGAACTTTTCGACCTTACGACTGATTTTTTGTTTCGGAATTGAATCTTCCGAAATTTTCGGTTTCGGTTTTTCCTCTTTTGGTTCCTCTTTTTGTTTGAAGTAGATTTGAAGCAGTTTCTTTGATCTGACAGCTGCATTCTCTTCTCTCTTCTTTTGTTGTTCGAGTTTGGCCCTTCTTTCAAGCTTATCTTCCAATCTGCTCCTTTCCAACTGGGCGTCTTTGAGTTTCTTCTGCACTTCTTGGATATTCGTAGTTAGTGTGTTCTTTTGTATGGTCAGTCTTTGCAATTCGCTCAGTTCTGGAGGGAGATTTGAAGATGCATCGATCAAAGCTTCTTCGTACGCCAAAGATGCCTGTTCCTCTGCAAGTGTCTGGGCAAGAACTGCTAAGTTTCGACGTTCATCTTGGAGTTTATTGAACTGAACAAGGAATAATTCTTTTACCGGTTTCGTACTTTCTTGTTCTTGGATCAGGAGCTCGTATTCCTTCTTCAATTCTTCTTTCTCTTCATTTATTTTGGTTATTTCTGACCTAATCTTGCGGTTAATCTCAGAAACTTGGTTTGCAGAATCTTGATAAGCGGTTTTCTTCATTTCGAACTGTCTGATGTTGATATTTATATCTTCTTGGGCTTGTATGAGTCGTTCTCTTTGTAGATTGATCTTTCTGGTCTCTTTATTAACTGCATTTACCAAATCTCCAAATTTCTTCTTCTTTTCTTCATGTTCTTTGAGCTCTTTCTCGAATTCGGCTGTAAGATCATCTATTTTCTTCTGTTGATCTTCGTATTTCTCAACATCTGAACGAGAAACTGTAAGAATATCTTGAACACGATTAAACTCGGCTTCTAGAACTTTGCGCTCATTCTTAACACGTTCAAAATCATTCTTGAAGTCAAGTCTTTCAGCATCAACTTTTTTTCTTTCCTCAACAAGCTGATTTCGCTCTAAAAACATTGTTGTTTGTTCTGTTTCAATAGTTTCGCGTAATTTTGCTAATGATTCTTTGTAACATTTGTACATATTTTGTTCTTGAGTGATTTCTTCGTCTGTTGGATCAGGAATTTTGGTTGTTGTATCATTTATGTAATTTTTATAGCCTGTTTCGAATTGAAGTATCTTTTGGTCAAGAATTTGACTTGTCTTTTGTGTTAACTCTCTTGATTTCTTTAAGCGCTTCGAAACTTTTTGAATATTTGTAAGATCTCGTTGAAGTCGAGTTTTTAGTTTAGTATAGTAATTCTTTTGGCCATTTACAACCATTTTAATGTTCTTTTCCTCATTTAGCTTTAAAAATTTATCTGAAATTTTATTTGCTTTTTTATCTGGAGGAAACATTTGGATCATTGGGATCTTTCCAAGCCCGGTATACTCAATATCTGAGTTAAGGCTGGCCTCCCCGAGAAAATTCTTCCCAGTATGAGGGTCCCAAAAATTCATAGAATTTGTCACTTTTTATCAAGATTTCATATTCAAGAATCACTTCCTTCCAACCAAAATTTTGACCTGAAACTCTAGCAAGAGACTATATATAGCTTTTATATGTAGTTGGCTGGGTTTAAAGAAAATCGGCTAAAACATTCTTTAGTTAAATTATTACAACGAACTATCTACAGAAATCTCTCAAATATCGGCATAAATCGATTCAGTACAAGGAGTAAAACAGTTTCATATCATAAAGTGAATCATTTATCAAAATAATGCAGAAAAATCGAAACAATTTACCATATTGGTATAAAATTAAAGCTTACCATATCCTTAGATTTACAACAAAAAGTACAAGAATCTCACATTTTAACTACTATTTTAGCAATACGTTTTTAAACTTCTAATTTGAAGATAAATTAGACTAAAAACTTGATTTATACTCTTTTTATCAGAATTTTTTACTTATTTAACTTACAATTGTTCACATTTTAATGCATTTGTTTCAAAATTATATTCCATTTGGATTGATATTTGTGATTGAAAATATATTTTAAAAATGACTGTTAAAATCATCCTATTATATGATAGGAAATAAAATCGCTATATTATTTTTGTTCTGTTTCTAAGTTGAAAATTCCAAAAAAAATTCAAAAAAATAAAAATAAATATCAAATTCTTGATTTTTCGCTTGAAAAAATTGATTTTGAATTTTTTTTGGAAACCCAAGATGAAGTATTATTGTCTGAAATTCGAATTTAAATCCTTTCTAAGTGTAAAAAACCAATAATTTTTGAATCCGATATTAAATCTTTTTATTCTTCAATTTAAAGCAGACTAAATCTCATATATTATTATAAAAATGCTATCCTCATTACGAATTTCTATATTTTTCCAAGTGAATTAATAATGTTTTTATTTCAACAATAACAAGTAAATATAATAATCGTATCTAAGTATATTCGTAAATACTTCGTAATAGTTATTGTTTGCAATATCAAACAATACATTATGATAAGATTTCAATTCTCAATATCAAATAAATCTCATGAAATCATAGTAATTGCTTGGAAAATAAAAATCACCTAGCAAGGAAAGATAAATTACTTATGAAAAACTTCATGAAAGCATTTTAATATTTCAATTATATCCCTACAGAAAAATTGTATTATCCTATTTGTTGCATATTTAAACAGCGTATTTATCACTTGAATGTGATTTATGTATCTGATATTCTAGCAAAAATATTGGTTGGATACTATGGAATTGAAATTTGATTTTTTAATGTATGTTTTTGTATATGTGTTTTATGATCTTATTCATTTTGAAAGTTATCCTATTACTTTGAATAGTTTATAACGACATTTACTGAAAATGGAAATATAATCAGCCCGAAGAGGGTTCATCTGAATAAATATGCTTTGAGAAAGTATAGATGGTTATGTTCTGTTGTGTTGTCCCATTGAAAGCTTGCTTGATAAAATACATAAGGAGATTAGATGAATATAATTATCCTATATATTTTATTGATTTTAAGGTTAAAGAGTGTCTGTACCAATAGAGAAAAAATATGGAATCTTTTGTTGCTGAAAAATTCTGGACAATGACAATTCATTCTGGAAAACCAGAAAGGCCACCAGTTCCAAAAGGCAGTAGATTCATGCTTTCTCAAATTCAAGCAGTTGACGAAAAAGCAGATAAAATTTTAGTGGAAATGCTTACAGAAGTTATTAGAATGGATAAAATAGATGATGAAACAGACACTACAGTAACAGATGTTGCTGAAACAAACATTGCTGTTATATATCCAAAGAAGAAATCTACTTATGCAACATCTCTCGTTTTTAGCGAGGTCAATGATGTGCTTTTTGGATGTGATGGTGGTGATGTCATTTTGAGTGGTGTTTATGATGATACAGCACTCAACGAAGAAATGGCCCAAATGGAAGAAGAAGAAGCACATGAAAAATGAATCTCAGGCTACCATCATTTGAAAAAATGTAATTAATAAAGTTATTATGTACAACAAAAAAGAATTTATTTATATTATTTTGAAAACTAAGGAATAAAGGTCAAGTTTCCTTGACCTATGCAAAAATTAATAGGCAAAACTCTAATGTATAGAAATGAGGTCTTATTTCGGAATATTGGTAGCTAACAACTTTAATCAAATTATGAAAACCATTAAATAAATATAATAATATTGCAAAAATCTAATCCTTCTCAAACAGATTTGAATATATGGGATTATGTAATAAGTTTGCAGGAAAACATTCTTGCAATCAATACAACCTTCGAATGTTGTGAAGTAAGATTATTATCGCATGAATTATCATAAAGTATACGATAATATCTGTTAGATATATTAATTTTATTTGGATATGTGTAATTTTTTCTAAAAATCGAGAATTACAACGAATTTATTATGATTTCAGAAACGCAAAGCGATATATAATCTGCAGGCATGCAGATTAAAATAAACAACGACGATTGGCGTAATTCAAAATTGAATTTTCGTTTAAGGGTCCACTGTAAGGCCAAATAAGGCCTATCGTCATCCCAAAAATATTGCTCAAGATGGTGTTTTACTAAGACCCAAAACTTAAAAAAACACAAAAAAATTAACTTTACTCTTTTGAGATCCTTATCAGATGTGCAACAATTTGATGCAGTATCGCAATTCGAATCCGATTTTTTAATGTAGATGTACTCTAACATTCTTGAAAAAATGCAAAATGATATTAATTAAGCTTTTCATTTCTGTATCATACACGAAACAAAATCATTTATTATACTAAATTTATCAAAGTTTGAATAATGAAAAAATAATATCTAAATTTTTACATTGAGTCGGCTATTGATATGGTCAATATTAAATTGTTTAAAAATGGGCATTGGCCAGAATAATACCCACTAAAATACACTTTTTTTTAAAATGTTATCAATTTGTTATGGTATATCTTTATGATAATGAATAAAATGCTTATCTTTCATAAGTAAATACATAATTTATGCTGAAACAAAAATAACACGAAAATTTTTTGCCAACAATTTCAAAACTAAGGATAATGTTTTGATAATATAAACAATAATACTTTGTCTGGAGAATTAAATTTGTGCTATCCAATTGTCATTCTTTGAATTTTTTATAAAATGCACGATATTCCGACATTAGCCTCTTTAAATATAAAACTACATGCATCACAATATTAGTATGTAATGGCATTAAAGCGAATTTCCTAATTTTCTTCTCAATTAATTCCTAGAAAAACTTAGGAATTAATGATTGGAAATAGGTCAAAAAATTCCTAATATAAATTCATACTTATAATAAAATCAAATTCGAAAATATCTATTTTTCAAAACACGCATCCAGAAGCAAAAAAAATAGGAAAAAATCATGTTCTTATAAAACTCGCTGATTTTGCAATTTTTATGTGATTTGAAGTGATAGAATATATTATCATCTTATTAAAACATATACTTCATTGTTACATTCACAAAATATTAATCAGAACACTAGGAAAAGTGGATTTTCGAAAAAAGACGATAACGATTATTTGCAAATCGCCTCTCAATTTTGAGAGACTTTCAATTTTTACAGTGGACCCTTAATCGCAAAATAAACCAGAAAAGATAATAGCAACGATAAAAACCTTTACAGAAATGATGGAAATATCGACGAACCAGCATTTTTATCCGACCATCAAAAAAACGATGTTTTTTTCCTTTTTTTCAATGGTCAAGCGCGTAAAAATTTTATTGATTTGACCATGTAGTATGATTCAAAGAAGTGTTTAATCAACCATTCTAATTAAAATTTTGATAGCTCCTCTGAAATTTAAGATCACCTTGATTGATTAGTGAAAAAATAATCACTGCATATAGGAGAAATTTTGGAAAATGGCTTCACAATTGAATGCTCTCAATTTTTGAGTGACCGAAATATAATTTTTTTCGCATGTCTCTTTCTCTCGACATCATTCGTCAGCTTCCAAAAGCCGAGCTCCACTGCCACTTAGATGGTTTCTGCCGTCCATCTACCATCATTGAGCTCGCTCACGAACAAGGCGTTAAGCTCCCAACCGAAGATATCAATGAACTCTCCAAGATTTTAACAGCTCCTCCGGACTGCCCAGATCTTGTCACATACCTTCGTTGCTTTGATGCTCCTCTCGATGTTATGCAGTACCCATATGCTATTACAAGAATTTTCTACGAAGCATGCGAAGACGCTTGCAAGGATGGAATCGCTTATCTCGAACTTCGTTTTGCCCCAGCTCTCCACACACGCAAGGGCCTCTCCTACACCCAGATTCTTCAAGCCGCCTGCGATGGTGTTCACATGGCCGAAACAAAGCTCCCAATTACAGTCAGAATCATCTGCTGCGCCATGCGTATGATGCCATCAGAGGTTAACAAGGAAGTCGCCGACATTGCCTGGAGATTCCGTAACCAAGGTGTTGTTGCCTTCGATCTTGCTGGCCCAGAAAACGGTTTCCCACCACACAAGCACATCGAAGCCTTCCGCACAATGCGCGAAAAGGCTGTCTACCTTACAGTCCACGCTGGTGAAGCTTATGGCGCCAAGTCCATCGAGCTTGCTCTTGAATGCAACGCCAACCGTATTGGCCACGGCACACGCATCGTCGAAGACGAGAAGGTCCTCCAGCAGGTCATTGATCGCCGCATTACCCTTGAATGCTGCGTTTCATCCAACCTCCAGACAAAGGCCGTCACAAACATCGATGACCATCCAATCAAGAAACTCTTCGACCGCGGAGTCATCACAGTTCCATGCACAGATAATCCAACAGTTTCCGGCGTTACACTTTCTGGCGAATACTTCCTTCTCCAGAACAAGTTCGGCTTCAACGTCGAAGAGCTCGTCCGCATGATGGATTACGGTTTCAGATCCGCTTTCGTCGATGAGACACTCAAGACACGTCTCAGAATCGAAGCAATCACAAAGACAATGAAGATCCTCAAGGAGAACAAGATCGATGTCTCACCAATCCTGAAGAACTCCTCATACTACCTTCCAATCGGTCTTGTCCTTTCCCATGGATTCAAGCCACCGTCATCCCTCCCACCAGTCACACTCGAGCTCGTCAAGTCTCTTACAAAGGCCGATACAGATACACGTCTCATCGGTTCTGTTCCACTCAAGACACTCTACAAGTTCTACTCCGCCCAAACACCAGAGGAGAGACTCAAGGAGTTCCCAGACTACAAGGAATTCGAGATGTACATCTTCGATGAGGAAGATAAGAACCACGAGAACGCCAAGAAGCTCGCCGTCTCATTACTTTTGACAAAGGCCAACATCACAGAGGGCACAAACGCTCTTCTCGACCAAGCCATCGAGGACAACGTCAAATACATCGAAATTACAGTTGCTCCACAGCGCCACACAAAGCGCGGCCTTAAGGAGCAGGATGTCATTGACGCCATGACAGAGGCCATCAACGCCCACGCAGACAAGATCACAGCCAAGATCATCGTCGGCATCAACACCGAGAAGGACTCTCCAGTTGTTGCCATGAGAGCTGCTGAGCTTGCTGTTGCCAACCCATCTGTTGTTGCTGGTTTCGCTTCCATTGCTTCAGAGCTTTCCAAGGATAACTTCCACTTCTACGACGAAGTCTTCACATACCTCCGCCGCAACTTCGTTTCTGCCTCCATGTTCGCTGGCGAGAACTCTCCATCATCTGTCCAGGCCGCCATCGTCAGAGGAAACGCCAGACGTATTGCAGGTGGCTTCAACATCACAGAGAACGATTCCATCTTATCAGAAATCGCTTCATCACAGACAAACGTCATTGTCAAGCCATCCTACAGATTCTCACTCGCTACAGCTCCAATCTTCGGCCAGAAGAACGTCAGATCTCTCTACGATTTCGGCGTCAAGGTCGCATATGCTTCTGTCCACGGCGCATTCGACGGAAAGACACGCTGCGAGGAAATCTTCCAGATGTGCAAGCAACAGGGATTCGGCGCTCTTGAACTTGTCATGATTCTCAACAACGGATTCTGCGCTATCTTCCAGCACTACGACCAGGTCAAGAAGTTCCAGAACCAGTTCTGGAATGACACAATCGAAACTCTCAAGGCTAAGGGATTCGATAGAACACTCAACCCATCTTATTTCGTTGAGTAAGATTTTATTTTTTGATGCTAACGCATTCGCCTAGCACTTTAAAGTAAGTTTTTTTTGGAAACTTTTTTTATTTATTTATTTTGGAAACTTATAAGTTCGATACTCAATCATTGAAATATCAGCCCAATTAAAGGATTAGAAGATGCTACCTTTTGAAAAACGTTCCTTTGCGAAGGAATTTGAAAAGATTCTGAGTTTATTTTGATAGTTTTCGATCAAAAATTTTCGGACAAAAAGATATCTAATATGCTTGTGAACACCACTATGTTTTTATCTAAATAATACTTATTAATAAGAATCTTATTATGGATTCCTGACAAAGGTGTATCAACCCAAGCTTTACCTATATTTTGCCATAATACTCTAGGATATGCATAGTGTTATAATATAGCATCAAATGCCACCAATATTGGTCGCTCCCGTCTTGCCAATTTTGAATTACGCAAAATATCATCATCATATTCAATTCTTTTTTTGTCATTTTTTAAAAAATGAAAATTTTTTGGAGGTTTTTCGTTTTTTGAGAATTAAAACTCTTTATTTCACGAAATCTTGAAATAGACTTGCTTATATTTTAGATGTTTAAGCATTTGATGCTGGAAATTTTGGAATTAGTTCAAGATTGCAAATTTATGATATATGAAATTCAGAGAAAGATGTAAAAATTTGAAATAGAGTAAAACAAGTTTTATTCATAAAATCTATTTGTCGATAAAATATCTGCTGAATACCATCCTAATATGGACTTATATCGTATTGAAAAAAATTCATGAAAATAACCAATGGATATGAAGGGATTTCCAATTGTTGTGAAAACCTCCATATACATTTGGCTTAAATTCGTAATAAGTTTTTAAATCGATTTTTATCAGCAATAAAATGTGCTAGCTTAATCCTCAGAAGCATAATTCAATTATGCATCATTTGTATCTTGTAAATGATTCTATTTCTAAGTTTGATTCGATTATTTTGATTCAATAAGAATCAGATTTTTGCATTTGTCAGCTTTAGTGCATAAAAAACACTATTAGATTGGTTGAGGTGTAGTTTTTAGCAAATCTTATAGTTTATCTGATCGGTAGGTTCAAACTAAATCTCTCGATGAAATTTGTTGAAAAAGATTGAATATTTTGAACGTTAAAGTGGCGTGGTTCTAACTGATTTTTAATGCTTTATCGATTTAAGAACTTTTAAGATAATTTCTGCTTCAACTCATGCTCAGCATGTAAACTTAAATCACATATCAAATCAAAAAATGGTATAATCTCAAAACTCATAGAATAAAACAAATGTATCTTGTATACACTTGGCTACAAGCATGCTCATAGCCACAAATAATTTATAAACGAAAAATAATTTCATCAATCTGAAAATTGATCAGTTGTATGCTAAAAAGAATATAAAAATCGTATTATATACGATATGAGCTTTGTAGCCTTGTGCAGCCATTTGAGGTTTTATTGGCGGCGTATGGCGATATAAGATTTCAAAATTAACAGGTAGTTTTCGTAATCGAAATCGTTTTGCTTTGACTAGGTATTGATACTGCTAGATTATGAATGAATTATAAAATTTTTGAGATAATCTTGAAAATATTTCATCACAAATTAGAAATGACGGGAAAATGCCGCACAATACAACAGTTACTGCTGTATTCTATGCATTGGCAATTAAAAAGGAGCTTGATTTAGGCTGTAATGGGCCGAGCAGCAGCACTTTTATTGCCGGGCCAAAAAAAATTAAAAAAAAATTTTAGGTTGGTACACCTTTTTCCTGACTATTTTTTTTTGAATGGATTCCTGACTATTTTTTTTTTGAATGGATTTCTGACTATTTTTTTTAATTAAATTTTTTAATGTCGGGTCATAGTGTTCTTCCAATTCAATTCGATGAATTGAAGAATCTCCTTCAGGACGATATTGATTCATTTGATGCATAATATAAGTGAGAGAATCTTTATAAATATTCAAAAGAAATTTACCAATATTAACAAGAAAATAAACAAATATGAAAAAGGAAAACATATTTATGGCATAATATTAAGTATTTATTAATAATAAACAAAAAAATTCTTAATTCAAATTTGATTTTCAGCTTCTGTTTCATAGAAGAGTTCATTTTTCATCTTGCAAACTCTAAGTGATCCATCACCTTGGAATATCACCAAATTTCCTGTTCTGGATGAGATGAAAAAGTCAATTATGTCTGGACATTCAATGCTATAATAATTTCTATCTGTATTTGGTCTGAAGAAATCAATTTTATCTTTAGATCCAACAGCAAAGAAAATTTTATGGATGTCACTTTTCTTGTTTACATCACTTTTATCGTCTTTTCGGATTATGTAATCGAACGGAATAATTTTTGTACAATCGTGCAGTTCCATAACTCTTTTTGGCTCTCTCATCAAATCAATGTCCATTGTATAGACTACGAATAAATCCTCATCTTCTTGTTGAACAAAAGCAAACGAGGAATTCATTAAAGCGCACTTTTTTGGTAAAAATGGACTGTGATTTATCAAATATTCATGGTGACCGTTTAAATTCTTCAATGTCCTTATGAATATGTTTTCTAAGTTTGCAAAAACAAGAGCTTCTCCTTCGCATGGAATTAATTCAAAATTAATTAAATTCCTTTTTGATTTATCAACAAGATAATGAGTTTCGGTCAGATTTGTTCCTTTAACTGAACAATGGTATACTCCTTTATCTGATTTGGAAACAAAAATGATGTCTATATAATCTTCTAAATTATTACCATTTAGATCAGAATATTTGACAACCTTTGCTGACTCAAACTCTGTAGCAGCTTTGTTTGGTGAATGAACTTCGTGTTCGAAGTGACTGTATTCGCTAAAATCTGAATTTGTATAAAAAATAAGTTTTGTGTCTGTTTTGAAGAGAAAAGTGCCATCTGTATATTCTGAAGCGATTAGGCTGGCGTTTTTGAGCTCTTCGCTGTCGTAGTTTTGTAATAAACTAATATTATTCGAATAATAAGTTAAAACGTTATCAAGTTTGCCTGGTCTGTTTAAATCAAATCTGATTAATGAATTAAATGTTGGAACAATAACCCAATTGTTGTTTCCAACGATATTTTTAAAGAAGCTTGTTATTGAACCTTCTTTTGTGTAAAGCTTATGGGTAAAGTCGATAACCTTGTCATTACGTAAATCTACTATGATTGGATCTTCTGATTCATTTGAAAATTTGATTAAATATATTAAACCATCAACCTGTTTGACTTCACTAATTCCATGAAGTGCCTGAGAAGCATTACTAATATTTTCAAACTTAACTGGCTCGAAAATCTGTCGTTTAAATGGTTTATAAAGTCTGATTTCTGGAGAACTTGTTGGTATTTTAAAATTAAATTGAATTAGATCTTTCATGTAGTTTGTAACTGCTTTGAGGCTTCTGTTCTTTAATTTTTCGAGTAATTGAAATGGAATATAATTAAAATTCACTTCTGTCGAGATGAACTTCATTAGCTCGAGATATTCAGTAACAAGCTGCTTTTCTTCATTTGTAAAATCTTTATGAACTATCTTATAAGTCGATTTATGATCATCACCTGAAACTTTCTCGTAGTATTTGACTGGATTACTAATTTTAAATGCAAGCCTTTCTGAATACGAAAGATATGGAATTTTACCATCTAATTCTTGATAAAAATAATAATCCATACTAAAAATGTCAATTTTTCATACTATTCAAATGATGAAACTGTCTAATAAGGAGATAAGTTCCTCTTTATTACTTGAAAAAAAGACAAATTTAAGTGAAATTAGAAAATTATTAAAAAACAAGAGTATTATAATATATTTATTCGACAAAACTGATAATAAACAAGCAACAAAAGCGAAATCTTTAAAAAATCACAAAGGCACAAAAAAATTTAATTTTCTTCTTCCTCTTCTGAGTCGATAACTACAGAGAGCATTGTGTTTTTGGTTATTTCAGCATCATTGAGTGTTGAACCTTTTTGAATCTTGGTACTTACAAACATAAGAGTAAAATTGCCTAAAATCATAAATTCATGGGCTGCCCATGCATAGATGTCATCTGTTTGTTGTTCTGCTGTGAATTTTCTTTTAGATGAGTTTTGATTATATTGTATTTTAATTAGGAATCCATCTTCAGGTTCTGGGCCTAATTTCTGATATTCCTGTTCAATTGCATTTCTTCTGTTTTGTTCTTGATTTCTCTTTTCTTCTTCTTTGTTTGATTCTTTTTCTTGGTCTTTTTGTGTTTGTTGAAGTATCTCATCATATTTTTTATCCTGGACTGTTTGTTCAGATTCTTGTGGTTTCTCTTTGTGTTTCCTACGATTTTCTTCTAGCTTTTGAGTTCTTTTATCAACCATTAGAGAATGTAAAGAAAATAAAGCGCATTGAAGTGCAACCCTTGTTTTCTTGTCTAATTTCTCGCGGCATGGCGGTGGTAATGGAGGTTCTAAGCCAGATTGAATTAAAATATGACAAGTAGTGAAGAATTCGGATGAATCCATTGCTTGAATGTTTTCAATAGAATAACCTGCATTGAGAAGTTTAGGTGTCCATAGTTCTTTAAGATCATTCATTTATAAAAACGAAGAAAATTTTTATGATTGAAATATTTTTTTTTGAATGGATTCCTGACTATTTTTTTTGAATGGATTTCTGACTATTTTTTTAATTAAATTTTTTAATGTCGGGCCATAGTGTTCTTCCAATTCAATTCGATGAATTGAAGAATCTCCTTCAGGACGATATTGATTCATTTGATGCATTATACCGTTTAAAAACGCACAATGCAGAAGAGATAAGTTCAATTTACAAAGTTATTAAAACGAAATTGCTTGAAACAAAGAAATATTCTCCACAAACCATAATATATAGCATATCGGCATTAATTTTTAATAATAATGGCTATATAAAGTCATATTTACAATTAGTTAAACAAATATATGATGATTATCATCCCAAAATTACAAAAGTCTATTATACTTTTAAATATCTATTTTACAAAGAATATGGAATATTGTTAAGAGAAGGCGATCATGTGGCACGTTTGAAATCTTTTGAACAAGACAATATAAATTCAAATGTTCATGAAAAAAACACAATAGGCAGAGCTATTATGGATGATGATATAAATTCACTTATATCATTCACAGAAAGAGAAGGTTTTAATCCCAAACAAAAAAATCATTAAGAATTATTTTATAATCGTGAGTTATCACTTCTTGAGCTATGCTGTTATTATGGATCAGTAAATTGTTTCAAATTATTGAGAACAAAATTCAATTCAAAAATTACTGATACTTGCCTAGAATTTTCATTTTTAAGTGGAAATCCAGAGATCATGAGTGAATGTTTGAAATACCAAAAACCAAAAGAGTACTTAATGAAATATGCTTTATTCTCGCACAATATAGATTTCGTTACATTCTTAATGAACGAATACAACATTAAAATTGATTTGGAATATTGTATCAAATATAATAATCCTCTTGCATTTTTAGTTTATTTAGATCAAACTAAAGATATTAACAACTGCTTGATTTATTCACCATTGTTTAATAATGTTAAACTTTGTGAATATTTGATTTCACATGGTGCAAATGTAAATTCTAAAGATAAAGATCAAAAAAACGCTCTTCATAATGCAGCATGCAGAAATATAAAAGAAATAACAGAACTTCTTATTTCACATGGTGCAGATGTAAATTCTAAAGATAAAGATAAACAAACCGCTCTTCATATTGCAGCAGAATATAATAGCAAAGAAACTGCAGAAATTCTTATTTCAAATGGTGCAAATATAAATGCTAAAATGAGTTATGGACGTACTGCTCTTCATATTGCAGCAGACAACAATAGCATTGAAATAGCAGAAATTCTTATTTCACATGGTGCAGATATCAACGAAAAAGATAATGATGGAGATGACGCTCTCTATTATGCAATTCATGATAATAGTAAAGAAATGGTTGAATTTCTTATTTTCCACGGTGCAATTATATCTACCCATCTTAAGAAAGCAGCATCACAGAATTGTAAAGAAATAGCAGAATTTCTTATTTTACACGGTGCGGATATATCTACCGCTCTTCATGATGCAGCACACAGTAATTCAAAAGAAGTAGCAGAACTTCTTATTTTACACGGTGCAGATATAAATGCTGAAGATATAAATGGAAAAACTCCTCTTCATATGGCAGCAAGAAACAATAGCAAAGAAACAGCAGAACTTCTTATTTTGCATGGTGCAGATATAAATGCCAAAGACAAAGACGGATACACTGCTCTTCATTGGGCAGCAATATCTAAGGACAAAGAAACAGCAGAACTTCTTGTTATGCATGGCGCAGATGGAAATGCCAAAGACGAAGACGGAGAAACACCTCTTCATCATGCAGTATTTCATGAAGTTGAAAAAATAATAAAACTTCTTATTTCACATGGTGCCGATATAAATGCCAAATCAAAATTCGGACATACACCGCTTTATTATTCAACAGGAAAATATGCTCGTTATGAAATAACTAGACTTCTTATTTCACTCTGTGCCAAAGGTGATTATTAATCTTCTTCTGATGAAATCGAAGAAGAAGAAGAGGAAGATGATGATGAATCTTCTTCTGATGAAATCGAAGAAGAAGAAGAGGAAGATGATGATCAATCTCTTTCTAATTAATAAAAAAATTTATTTATTATATAAATAAAATACGAAGATTTAAACCATTCACAGTAAACAATATTTTTGATTTTTTCGTGATCATACTTCAATGTTTTATATAATAATTTAGTAGAACAATTTTCTTTTGTATAGGGAATTAAACTAATGTTATCCCCTGCATTTTCTTACGTTGAAATATTGGGTTATCTTTGGCGCCCAAAAAAAGCCCAAAAAAGATTATTTTGAATTGAATTTGGGCCTTTTTTGGGCCGCGCTTATTTAGGGGATGGTAACGATTATTTCAGCGTGTGAAACATGCATTTGATATATTTTGGTAATAAAACCTATTCATACATAGTTAAAAAATAGTTATACAAGTATTTAGATGTTCATATTTTCTATTCTGACTGAAATTGAGAATTGAATTTCTTCTAAAATAGTTTTATGAGGGTATTTATATGATGGTTATATGTTCATTAGAGATTTGAAATAGAATCGATAGGTAGATATATGTATTATCGATAATGAGGGAAAATTGAATATTTCAAAAAGGATAAAAATGCGGTTTTGTTCATATATAAAGGTTTGAATGGTATTAGATGCATATTGTAAATATATTAAACTATATAGCTAATTTGGAATCAAAAAGAATTACGTCAATTTGAAATCTCATTTTAGAAAAATATAAAGAATTTGATGAATTATATATTTACAAAGTTTTATTTTATGCATAGATAAGATAGTGATATGATAACAAGCAATTTCTTTCGAACATTAAAAATTTGATGTAGAAACAAGGATATTTGAAATTTATATTATAATATATAGATATGGATAAGATATATATAACTTATATTAAGGATTTCATGAGGAAATACTCTTTAAAACTGCTGAAAAAATGAATCTAAAAAAATAATAAAATTGAATATCTTTTCAATTTTGATGTATGAATAAAAATGTTTAAAATAATATAATTCTATATGAAATAATATTTTTTGTGATTTTGACGTAAATTTGAATTGAGAAGGGGGTATCAAAAAATTGATTTTAAAATTGAGTGGATAAAAAATAAAACTCTGAAACATGAACTGAATTAAATTAAATGCAACATTTTAATATTAAAAAATATCATTATTATAAAAAATATTTTTCAAAGTCCAAAAGTGCATTTCTATCATGGATGACATCATCAGCTATTATTTTTGCTGATAAGGATACTGTGCATAGCATGATCCTGCCAAGATTTGATGCTGCACTATCCTTATCAGCAAATGATTTCTGCATCAAATCTCAATTTGGTCTTTCATGAGTGGTTTGCAGATCAGAAGCGCAAGGCTTGTGCAGTCTATATGCTATGGCATAGCATATAGACTGCATAAGCATTGCGCTTCTCTTGATATTATTTTTACTTTAAAATTTACATGCACTATTTTACTTCTCTCTAGCCTGTTTAAGGTCACAAATTGCGTTTTTACACAAATATAACAGAGTCCTTTCGAGATCTCTCATTGAATGAGAGGTCTCGAAAGAACTCTGTTATAATGCAATCTACATATGTTCACTGGCCAAACATGGGCTAGGGAATGTAAATTTAGTCTTCCTTCGTTTTTATTTGTAGTGTAAAAAAGAGAAAAAGAAGAAGAGAGGGAAAAAAAAAGAAAAAAATAGGACATATTTGATGATCAGGCGTTATTTTTATATTTCCACATGCGAACGTGGAGCGAAGGCTCGAGCGAAGCGAGAGGTCTGAGCTCCACGTTCGCGCAAAATTTTCGACCCTAAAAACCGCTTTGTCCGAGGGTCAAGGCAAAAACGTCACTTTTCCAAAGCATATTCGAAAATTTCAACATGTTAAGGCTCCAGTCCTGCATGATTGCTGCATATAGTTAGGACGAGTATCTAATAAGGAGTAAAAATATACCAATATATTGCACATATACCAATATTTTATAAAAATTAAATATTATCTATTTTTAAAATTTTCGAATTTGACTATATTATCGTTTTAAACATGATATATACTAACTTTACTATTTGATATATGATAAATAATGATATTTTAAAAATTGAAAATTTGGATTTTTAAATTTGCAAAGTATATAGTATAGTAAATTCATAAATGAGTATAATGCGCCCAATTATAACAATTTTCAATCATTTGATAATTCTATGACTATGGATTTTTGTACTTCTAATTAAAATAATGTCACTTTTTAATATATTGAGTTTAAGGTTTAAATTTAATTTAAAAAATCGATTTGTTTATACATATTGGAAATGAATTTTTTGATAGTATCTTTTGTATATTAATACATTATGACTTATACTATGTCACCATAATATAAGTTCAAATTTTTATCATGCACATCAATATAAAATTGTAATTCAAAAAACACCTACTTCTATCGTCAAAAATCTCTCAATTTGAAAAATACATCAAAAATATCAAATTTGCAAACCTAATTCTTCGAAATACCGAAGAAGGTAGAATATACAAATAGTGTCGATAGAAACTATATAATTTTCTTTACAAATTGTCGAAGGGGAACTTAGAGTTTTTTCTTACACGTTGAATTATAAATCAAATTATTGAATGGATTTTTGGAAAATTGAATACTCAATTATCGAAAAACCGTTTTGACAAAAAGTGATTAATACAATATTGTTGCCTATATTAAGTAATTATCATATATGATTTTTATTATCATATCAATTAATCGTGCATGAAGTTATTCTCGACGCAAAAATGGTTTTTTATAGGGGTCTTGCAAATCTAATTCTTCTTTCATATATTTTTTTAGAAACAAACTCACTATATCAAAATAAACTTTAGTTGCATTCTAACAATTTGTCGAAGGGGAACTGAGAGTTTTTTCTTTATTATCAAGATATGACAAAAAATGTTAATATACAATTTTTTAATATTCGACATATATAGCGATAATGTAATATTATATGATTTTATTATATTATGATAGCATATATAAACCTTATCATATTATTAAAACTTTCACAAATCAAAAATCTTTAGATTCTGTCAAAAAGTGATTTGTCAGATTTTTTCAAAAAAACAAATAACTCATCTAGAAGAGATTGAAAATCAAGTTTACTAATAACAATATAATGTATCACTAATATGCTATAAAATGTCGTGGGCTTTTTTGATTATAAATAGTTTTACCGTCAAAGTTGAAATTTGTCAAAATACCGAATTCTCAGATAAGATGAACTATAATAGTAATACTCAGTTTAAATATACAATACTATAGTGTATTACATAATGATATTATATACTAAAATAAAAGTATCAAAAACTCATATTGGTGGAGATATTAAAACTTTTAAAATTGAGAGGGTGGGACCGGAGCCTTAAATATAAGTTATTTTATGTCCTTTATTTGATGTTCAGTTTATTTTGGAGTTTTGATAAAGATTGAAAATTTTGAAAATATAGAAATATAAGAAATCTCTTTATTTCTATATTTTCAAAATTTTTTATGATTGAAATATTTTTTTCAAAAGATTCTAGAAGAAAAGTATATAAATATTATCAGCAAATCATATAATTTCAATTTTTCGAAGAAGCTTCGTAGCAGAACGGATAATGCGTCTCCCTTCTAAGGAGAAGATTGGGGGTTCAAGTCCCCCCGAAGCTGCTTTTTTATTTTTTTTTAATTCGAGGTTGTATCATTCGACTAAAAGTTATATGAATAAATACATGTGATTTAAACTCTTTGCCTAAATAGCATGACATATAAAAGACGTATTTTTAGAATTTTATTATTAGTTTATAAATATGATAAATTAGAATGAAATTCTTTAAATTATCTTTAACAAAGCCTTTCTATTAATCAACTTTCAGAATTACAAAGATAATAAAAATTCAATAGAAATAAAAGTAAAACAATAAACGAAGAAGAGTTTTAATTTATCCTGTAATTTACTACTAAACTAAATTTAATAGAGAGTCACTCATTTAATGTTATTTCAATCAAAATCAGAAATTTTAATAATATATTTAATGAAAATGTGAGTTTGATAGTTTAATTTATTTGTTATCAGAAGTCTGCGAAGTGTCATTATTCGAAATTCGAATGAAGATCAGTAGTATATATTGCGGGTTTTGTGACTTTTTTTGTAAACGTAAGAATTCATACAATATCGCTCGATTTTGTATCATTTTTTTTAACATATGAAGTAAAAAATGTATGATTCTTACGGTTTTTATTCTTACGTTTTTGAATAAATCAAGATTTAAAAAATTTTCAAAATTGTAAGACATTTACACTAAACCCATACATAATGAAATAAAAAAATAAAAAAAATAAAAAATAAACTTTAAAAATTCATGTCTTACATTTTTGAATAATTTATTTTTTAATTTGTATGAAAATGAGTGGATCAAGATTCGTAACCGTCAATCAATTAATGGATGCTCTTTCACCAATTCTTGAAAATGTTAAACAAGTAGATGTTTATTTCGATGATTATGTAGAAAGTTTATATTATAAAGGTAAGTTTAATATTAAACTTATTGCTTTTGCATTTGATAATAAATTAATTGAAAATGCAAAAATTTGGGAATTAATTCCAGATATTGAATATATAACAAATATTAATGATAAATGGTTTAAACGAATTCCAACCACAAAAGTTCTTTGTAAATTAATGATCAAAACTGAGGAAAAAGAATTTAACGGGTTTAAATATCATCCAAATAAAGTTTCAGAACTAGAAAATGAAAAACTTCAGAAAAAATTAAACGATAGACTTTCAAATGATTGTATTGAAAAAATAAATAAACTAGCAGAAGTTGCATTTAATAATGAAATATTTGATGAATATAACCTTGAACTCAGTGATGGACTTTAAGTCCTGGGCACTTTGTGCCTTGAGCTTTAAGGACCCGGGCTCAAACGAGTCATGATTTATGAAATCAATAATTTGATTTATTCGCTCTTCAATAATTTCTATTCTTTTTGTTAAATCATCAATTTTCATTAATGAGGTGATTCTTGATTGAGGAATAGATTTCAAACTACCACTCCTTTTATTTTTGAAATTTTGAATCCATCAACTTTAAACATTTTATTCAATTTACATGTTGTCAATTCAAATAATTTTTTATTATTAGCATAATAGTCATTAAATTCATCAACAGATGAAAAAAATTTTATTTCAGTAATTGGTTAACAACGTTTTTTTTTTGTTGAACATTTTCACTTTCATTTATTTCTTCCTCCTCTGTTTCATTTATTTTTAAAATTGGTTTCATTTATCATTAAATAAAAATTAGAATATAAGTGATGAAATATATTTTTTAATTAATATTAAATCAGAAATGGCGGCAGGATTCTTTAAAAAATTATGGGATGGAATTAAGAAAGCTGCAGGTTGGGTTTATAAAAAGGTTATTAAACCTGTTGAAACTTTTTGGCACCAGTATGCGAAAACGGCAGGAACTATCATAGGTGGAGTATTAGGTACTAAAGCAGGTAATCCGGCGATGGGAGCACAAGCAGGTAACGCAATTGGTGGAATTGCTGAAGGAATACTTAATAAAATAGGGGGTAAATAGTGGAAAAATAAATAAATATTATTTTTATCTTAGTATTGGTTGTAGTCTTTGATAAACTTTTTCTCCTTTATTTAAAATTTCTCTTATTGGGGCAGCTTTTGGTGTTATTGATTCAGCAACGTCACTAATTGCTTCTTTATTCTTAAATATCCAATTCGCTCCTTTCTTCATTGTTTCCCAAACTTTATGCGCTCCTCTTTTTACTTTATCCCACAGTTTCTTAAAGAATCCTGCAGCCATAGTTGATTATTTCATTAAAATTAAAAATTCATTTTCATATTTTAATTTTGATTTTTTATTTAATAATAAATGACGACTAACTATTTGGTGCCAAACACTAAACCAATTAATGGAAATGTGTTTCATTCATTCGAAAAGATAAATGAAATATTCGCAAAGAATGACGGAAGAAGATATTATAGAGAACTTGAAAGTTCATGCTATGACTCTGATGCTCCATATTTTGATGATAAACAAACTCATTTAAGAATTACAAATCCGGCTCATGATGTGAACCAATTAGGTGACACATATATTAAACGCAAAGTTAAAGCAACTCTAGTTTCAAATAAAGCTTTCACATGTGATGCCGCTTTTAAATGTATGCGTTTATTCGTTGGTTACAAATCATCAAATCAAAGCTTTAAACAATTAGAAGTAGAAACCGAAAGAGGTGATGCCGGTTATCTTCAGATGGATTGCGCCCGTGAATCTTTCGCATTTGCAACATATAAACCAAAATCAGAAAGGAAAGTTAAAAAGTTTGTTCATTCGTTATATAATAATGTTCAAAAATATGATAACTCAGTATGTGGTAAATATATTGACCCTTCAGAAGTTTTCAAGAAAGCAAATGAAGAAGTTGATATCACTTTTGATATGATTATTCCAGTAAATGATTTGTTAGCATTTCAGGCGTTCGATGATTATCCTAAATCATTTGGTGAAATCATTCTTAAATATTATGTTTTCAGGGATACTTTAGTATTTTGTCAGGTTGACCCGTTAAGAGTTGCTGATTTACAAAATTACGTTTATGAAAAGATAACTGATGAAAATTATGAAAAGATTATGAATCATGTTTATAAATATGATCGCAAATTCCAACAAATCGGACTTCCTGCCAAATTAATTACAAGCTTAGCCGCTACATCTGCTGACGCAACAGTTGATGACGTTATTATTTCATGCACAAAGATGGAAGTTTTAGAGGATAAATGCATTACACCAGGATACGGTTTAATTGAAGAATCAGTTAAAGCAATACCACGTTTATTCAGTAAGGAAGATCCATTCATGATTCCAGCTCAACATATTGACGTTCGTTCACTAAATGGAGGTTGCATCACTCCTGAAGGTATCAGTTCAGATTTCTCATACGCTCTTCATAATGTTACAGATGTTGTGTTAGCATTTCCGAAGAATGCAATGCAAAGAACGGTTTTAGAAAATCCAATGCTTCGAGGTCTTCAGGTCACTATAGATTCCAGAAACTTCCCGATCAAGCGATGACCACAGTGGGCGACATATTCTTTACACGTATGCTTCAAGCTTCTGATTTAGATGGAGTGAATGAATGCACGGAAGAATACGAGGACTCATTAACTAGACCACTGAATGATGATAATGGCACGCCATTAGCTAGAACATGGAAAGACCAAACTTCATTCTTATGCACTATTCCAGTTCAACGTGATGGAGCGGGTATATTCTTTGATGGATTAGAAACTTTCAACTCACAAGTTACAGTACAAGTGAAAGCTTATCCAATCATTCAGGGTGTAAATGACACTTACTGTTCAAAGGTGACAAATCCTCCTCAGGTTTGGTTTACTAGGACTACGTATTGGACATGGACACCGGATGAAGGTTTGAAATATCATCCAACAGGTACACCACCACAGTATAGAAGTTCATATGATGAAATATTGATGAATAGAAATGTATAAAATTATAAATTTATTTTTGATTAAATGGATTTAAATTCTGAAGAATTAGCGGGAGTATATAATACATACGTAGATGATATGATTAATGAAGCATTGAGTGATAATAGAAATGCTCTATCTAAGGAAAAATTAATGAAAATTCCATATTCTGAATGTTACTTAAATTCAATCACTGCAGCAATTGGTAAACAAAATAAAGGTAAAACATTAACGATATTAAAACAAATTATCATTATTGCTAACACTTCCCCCCATTCACATGTGTTAATTTATATCAACCGTTCAGGTTCACCTTCAGATGATACATTTGAATCTTTAAAGCATTTAATCAAAATTCCAATTATTTATTTATCACAAGAAGAAGCAGAAGATTATTTAAAAAACTTTTTAATGTATAAAGAATTATATAATACAATCAAGAAGCAAGGATTAGAGGATAAAATTATTGATAAACAACGGGATGAATTATTTGAAACACTTTCTATTTCAAATTTTGATAGAGAATTTTTGCATTCACTCATTTTTCTAGATGATGCGGTGAAATCAAAACTAATAACAAATGAGAAATCATATTTTAATCAGTTATTAACTCAATGTCGACACATTCAGTGTTCATTCTTCATGGCTGTTCAATACTTCAAAGCATTAAGCACAAACATTAAATCAAATCTATCAACACTTTTCATTTTCAGTGGTTTTAGTCGTCAACAGTTGAACGTTATGCTTTATCAAGTGAATTTACCAATGAGCATTAATGAACTTTACACACAATATCAACAATTAGGTGAACATGGAAAAATAATAGTTGATTTAAATAAAGGATGTGTTAAATTTGATTAACTTTTTATAATTAATTTTTATTTTTTATTTATAATTAAACATGACAGAAATAGCAAATCTTTTACAGGTTCCATTAAAACAGGGACAAACAAAAAGGGGGGTGTGTATAATAGAACTATGAAAGTTCCAGACGGAATGAAAGAATTAGTTCATATTGTTGCTGGTCTTCAAAAAGATGTAAAACAAATGAGAAACGTTTTAACATTACCAGAAGCTCAAGCATATGCCAAACGTCAAGGTCCAAATTGGGAAGCACATGAAGCAGACATTACAGGTCCAAATGGAAAAC